CTTTTCAACGTTCATAACATTCGTATCCATCCTTAAAGTATCAAGATAAAATTTTTTTTTGTAAAAAAGTTGAAGAAATATAACTTAAAACTTAAAAAGTGAAAAACGTATCTATTTTAGCCCAAAAAATGATAAAAACTCACACTCGTATCAAAAACAGCTGTCAGTCTCTACGCAGGCATCCCACCGAAATAATTTATTTTATATCTACAAAATTCCCACCCTCTCCTCTCCCATGTTTGGACTTACACAAGGGCTACACAAGGTAGCGTTTGATTAATAACATAAGGATTGATCTACGAGTTGACAGGGATTTAATTTTTTAAGGAATAATTTTTTAACTCTCAAGAATCAACTAGTGTAAGGCTTCGGAAATACGCCCATCCCTCCATTTTATTTATTTCGAGAGACTAATTCATGGTATTTCATATATTTTTGTAAAATTTTAAATTTGTAAATTCAGGGGAAGAAAGTTCCAAACTGAAATTTGGCCCAGACCTGACACTGAGTGTCAGGTTTGGGCCAAATGGGCAAAGATATCTTTATTAACTGTTTATATTTGTCTATTTAAGTCTAGAAGTAAAAAAACCGTCTGCATACTTCAATTCAGAATATTTAAGTCTACATTTCTATAACAAATATTCAAGTTTAATTAATTTCATTTTAGAACATGTCACATTTTGAAGCAAATGCAAAGTTTGGTCGCAAAACACTTTTTGGAACATGTCCCGATTTTTAGACATTTAACAGATTTACATTAATGATATTTTTAAGAATTACATAATTCGGTAACAAAGCAATTTTTTCGCATACAGTAGAATTTAAATAACAAAACAATAAAAATATTAATAATCCATTTGATTCTGATATTTCAAAATATAACGACTTAAAACATTGAAAAATTCTAATATTAATATTATATTGGGTAATTTTACATTGCCTATGAACTTTTGACCTACTTACTTTCCAACTTACTGCAATATCGGACCTACGACAATTGTTTATTTTTGTATTATTTGAGGGTTAGGTTAGATTAAAACAATTTCTAGGCTGAGCATTGTGGCTTCAGGACAGGCTAGGGGCGAGCACCACAGCTAGGACAGGTTAGGGGGCTGGGCGCTGTGACCACAACTCCATCTAGCAGCTGGAAAGCCATGTGCTAGTAGGTCTGATGTGTAGTACAGTGGATTTAGCATAGGTCAGAAGTGAAGTATAGCAGGTTTGCGTAAGTCGAAAGATACACCATCATTATATTGTTCTTACAAATATAATGAACAGAAAATTTGTAATTGAAAATGGATGAAACCTGATACTATTTTGGAGTACAAGGATTAGAATTTATAATTACCTATAGTTTCTTCTGGAATACAAGAACTAGAATTTATAATTACCTAAAGTTTCTTCAGGAATACAAGGACTAGAATTTATAATTACCATAGTTTCTCCTGGAATACAAGGACTAGAATTTATAATTACCATAGTTTCTCCTGGAATACAAGAACTAGAATTTATAATTACCATAGTTTCTCCTGGACTACAAGGACTAGAATTTATAATTACCATAGTTTCTCCTGGAATACAAAGACTAGAATTCATATTTACCATAGTTTCTCCTGGAATACAAGAATTATAATTTATAATTACCATAGTTTCTCCTGGACTTCAAGGGCTAAAATTTATAATTACCATAGTTTCTCCTGGACTTCAAGGACTAGAATTTATAATTACCATAGTTTCTCCAGGAATACAAAGACTAGAATTCATAATTACCATAGTTTCTCCTGGAATACAAGGACTAGAATTTATAATTACCATAGTTTCTCCTAGAATACAAGGACTAGAGTTTGTAATTACCATAGTTTCTCCTGGACTACAAGGACTAGAGTTTATACTTACCATAGTTTCCCCTGGAATACAAGGACTAGAATTACATTTACTCCATGAGCTCCAAGAGCCCCATGAGTCTCCAGTAAGCCGACGAATAGGAATTCTCTCATCAATTCCAAAATCGTCTCTATCTATGTTTTAAAGATAATGAGGATTTTTAAAATTTTTATTAAAATCCAAAAATATTAAATATGTCACCAAATCTTTTGTTTTATTTTTTTTACACCTTTTTGGTTACTTTTTAATTTTGTTCAGTCAGTTCTATTCATATGCACGGTTACCCTGCACAAAGGATGAGACTTCAGAGACAACTTTACACATTTTATTCATTTCTTTGTCTTACCCTATTTTCAAAATAATTCAATTTCAAGTGTTAAACCTTTTTAACCTAAAATTAGGTAATTTTAGAACATCAATAAAGTTTGATCCTGTGTGGGTAACCCTGTATAGGTTGAAATTTTAAGATAAAGGTTTGTTGAAGAAAGATGAAAAGTCCTTCATTTCCCTGAAGTGTCTACAGGAGTCCTGCTGCTGCTGGGAGAACTAAAATTGGAAAACAGAATTTTAATTAAAGGGACTGTAAGCGTAATTTCAAGTCAACCTCATTTAAAATATGGCAATGCTTGATTTACAACAGAACCTTTGAACCTTGATCATGGCCAGGGAACCGTGTGATTGCCTCTCAAATAGTGGTTGTATTGCTTACAGTGAGAACTCAATACAGCTTATGTTAAATGTATTACTCGAAAATTATGAATACTCTATCTTAATTATGTTAAAATTCAAAAATTTAAGTGTAAATACTTTATTTGCATTATTGTGCCCAAACTTTAACATTGAACAATTGTAAAGAAATGTTTCTTTTGAGAGACTACTATTTTCCTCCAGATCTCAACAAATCGCAGCAAAAGGTAGATGACTGCCAATAAGCGATTTTTTAATGAATATTATTGATTTTTTTAGTTTCACTTTATCTTTGGATCTTACTGTATGTTGTGTATGATCCTCAAACAACTATCTTGAACAACAATTAAAAAAGCCATTATCCCTAGTGTTATGACTACTTTCAGACATGCTTCAAGTTAAATATGAAGATTGTACTTTAAACTGAACTTTATCGTGTGGATTGTGTATACATACTAATCACGTTCAACCATGTTTTTATGCAGGGTGTACCAGCAAACATGACTATGAACAGATGTCGTCTTTGATATTTGTTTTGCGGGATTACTCGTTATAAACTAATTTAAAAAGTAATACTAAATTAATAGTCACAAAGTGCTACTATAGTCCTGAAATTTAAAGCTCAGAATAGAAAGACGATATTTTTAAATTTTATCATTATTCTGTAAAAATCTAGAACTTTCATGTTTCTTGTTACACACTCTGTACTTTAGATATCTTTCTAATTCCTCCTAGGATGTATTTACTGTATGGTGTGTATATATATATATAGATCTTATTGTATGTTTTGTTTATATTTAGATCTTACTGTATGGTGTGCATATATTTGGATCTTACTGTATGGTGTGTATAAATTTATAGATCTTATTGTATGGTGTGAATATATTTGGATCTTACTGTATGGTGTGTCTGGAGGAAATGAGAGCAAAAGGGAACTTTAANTTAGTATGTATATATTTGGATCTTATTGTATGGTACACGTATACATTTGGATCTTATTGTATGGTACACGTATACATTTGGATCTTATTGTATGGTACGCGTATACATTTGGATCATATTGTATGGTGTATATATTTGGATCTCATTAGTATGTATATATTTGGATCTTATTGTATGGTACACGTATACATTTGGATCTTATTGTATGGTGTATAAATATATTTATATTTTATATATTTTTTTAGATAATCAATACTTGTCAAAACCTACTTCTTTTGTGCAAACTCAATAATTATAATTGAAAGGGGAAATCTAATCTCTCTCCGCTTCTAAGACAGATGATAATTGAATTCTTATTATATAATACACTGCAAACTAAACAGATTGAGGAGGTAAAATCTATGCGTCAAGTACTGCTACCACTTTGTGACCTCGTAGCTCCTCTGGTTTTAAATTTACATACAAAAGTAAGAAAAGCAAATTTTTCTGGTTATATATCAGAATTTCAAAACATTTTTGTTCTTTAAGCTTTTTAATAATGGATGAAGTTATAATTGAAAACATATAAGATTTAAATCATACATGCAATTTACTTTATCTTAACGTGAATAGATAATGAGATGCATTTGATCTTTGCACCTCTGTCCTCCAACTGGATGCATTTCCGCCAAATTCAAATGCACAAATTTGCTAAATTATTCAATGGAAAAGTTTAGTATAAAGATTTAAAAAAAAAATTCAAGATTTTTAAATTGAGTTTACGATTAACCGACGAGGTGAGGAACCCCACCTGTTTTGGTTTCTACGCCACAAATATAATTTAATTTTGTGGGTAAGCATCACGTATACCCACAAAAGTTTGGCTTCCGAGGTTCCAGGTATATCATAAAAATGTTTTTGATTAGCATTTAAAATACAGATCTAATGGGACTATACGCGTAATTTCAAATGACCTTTAATTGATAAAAATGGCATGGCTGATTTACAACGATACCGTTTAAACCTTTGTTTGATCAAGTGTTTTGTAGATATTCTTATTTTTTAAACGAGAAACAAACAAAAAATAGCAAATTTGAGTTTTTTGGATATCTATGAAAAATTGTGATTTATAAAGCAAAGATTGTTTCTTTCAATTTATAATTGTTTTTACGAAAACCAATCAGGCCCACAATTTTGTAATTTCAATGCACCAACTCCTTACAAAAGTTTTGGGAAATCTTACATTTTTCTGTTTGTATATTCATAATGTCGTCTTCTTCCATCACGAGGAACTGTTACAACTGTATCTACAGAACAAACAAAAAATCAATGACAAAAATGGTGGTTGAAACATTATTTTTCTGGTCATCCAAGCTTTCACGATTAAATTTCATATTATAAAATTATAAAAAATCCCCTGTTAAAAAACATTAAATCACTTTTGCATCAAAGAACATTTGAAAAATTACCATATAAAAAATTCTGTTTATAAACATCAAAACTCTTTGTTGAAGAAAAATAATATTAAATTAACCTGTAATAAAATATGCCCCAATTCCAAATCCGATGAGAAGGAAGACGACTAGGGCGAGCAACCGATGCCGCGTTTTCATTTTATTCAGAATAAAATGCGTGAAACTGCAAAAAATATTAGAAACATTATGAACACTCATTTCATACTGAAAATGATTGGAGAGAAAAACTTTTTGAAAACTTCAAGGTCCTCGGTCCTTTTGCATTGAATTATAAAAATGATTTCTAAAATTTGTATAGAGTCATTTTCACCAATTACCATTTTGTGTATATTTGTTTGCATTATTGAATTTGTTATTCAATAATTCAAAACTTTTGATAAACAATATAAAGTGTCACAGAAACAATTTGTATGTTTTTCCGCATTATTGCATCTTTTTCCTTTCACAACGATGAGAAATGAAATTTTGCGCATTATCAAAGTTAATTCAATATTTTACCTTTTAGAACCACGATGATTTTTTTTCCAGGGAAGACTGAAATGTGTAAAAATTAATTTTCTTGAATCTAGAAAATTCTTTCAATTTTTGTTTGCATATTGTCTGTATGGAAGGAGAAAGAAATAACTGCGATTTGCATTTAAACATACGATAGAAATATTTTTAATTGTCAAATAGAAAATGAAAATAAGAGAATGCACTTATTAATCTAAAAATATCTCGTTTGCAAAGTGCACTTAGAATGTATGAATCTTACTTTTTTCAATACTTAAAAAATTTACAAATGCATACTCTTACTTAAAAAAAATGTACCTGACATATGAATTTTCTGTTTTCAATGTATCACTTTTGTCAACTTTCTCTGTGGTTTCATTTGTTTTGATAACATCTGTGAAGGAGCTGCTGGCAGCGGGGGCAATATTCTTGTTGAAAACATCACTAGTCAGCTGTTTAGCTGGATTGATAGGACTAGACGGAGTTGGTTTTATACTTTTATCAGGTACAGCGTACAGGGAGGATGCAACATTCTTGCTTTCAGAGATTATTTTTTTCTTTTTCGCCTTTTTATCTATAGGGAATAAAACAGGATCAGTTTTAGTGTAGATCTAAAATAATCATTCTTAACTCTATCTGGCCCATCAATTTTTTGCGATAACTCAAAAAGTATTTGAGCTAGGAAGCTCAAACTTTCTGGCTTTTCTGCACAATTTTTGCAAAGAAATTTTGCACAGATTTTTTCAAAGACACCATTAAAGAGAATTTGTACATGTTCAGTTTTTCTTCGATATACAGGTTTTAAAAAGTTTTGCAAATTATTTTGCATATTTGAATTCGCTTTTTAGTTCTTGGGCTTTTCAAAAATGTACAATTTGTTGCAATTTGCGCATTTTTTTGTTGCACATTTTTTGTTTAATAATTATATTTTGCAATTGATTTTTTGCAAATTTTCCATTTTATTGCGGATTATCGAAGTATAGCCCAAGAGCTTTCCAAAAACTTATCAACTGTAAAGATTTGCATCACAATAAGAAAATAAAGAGGGTCAATTTCCCCCTTCCTCAGGCAGCCAGTCAGTAAAAATGCCTTTTTGGAAATGTGTGATTGTATATCTCCAGAACTCAAAGCCAAAAGACAAAAAAAGTGCTAATCTTATTTAGATTTTTTTGAAAGACAAATAGCTAACACTTTATGCATATTTTAGAAAGAAAGATTTGAGCTACACATTTAATATTATCTAATATAATTCAAATGTGAAAAGTCTGGATTTAAAATATGTAAATTACCTAAAACTTTAATAGAAGGAAACCTGCGTGTAAGACCAAACATATCAACATCAAGAGCCTAATAAAAAAATTCATAAATATTATTTTTATTGATTTTTTATCTATATTTTGTGTTTTAATATTTAAACATGAATGCAACATAGAAAGATGCAATAGTACTAATTATATTAATATTTATATCAATATTAATATTAAAAATAATTTGCTGTGTATAGATATATAATTATTTAGGTTATAACCTATAATTATTTCTAAAATGTTAAACACCAGTCAACAATTTATGCCAAGGGTCTAACTTTTTAACCTACACAATATTATATTACATTCCTTGACCTCCACTATTTACTCCTTGACCTCCACTATGTATTCCTTGACCTTCACTTCGTATTCCTCGACCATTAATATGTACTCTTCGACCTTCAATTTGCACTCCACTACCTCTATTTTTTATCTGCTCTCCTTGACCTCCATTATGTACTCTTTGACCACCAACATGTACTTCTTAACCACCAATATGTACTCCTTAACCACCAATATGTACTTTTTGACCACCACTATACACTCCTTGGCCTCCACTTTATACACGTCGACCTCCACTATGTACATATTGACCACCAATATGTACTCCTTGACCTCCACTATGTACACCTTGACCTCCTCTATATACTTCTCGACCTCTACTTTATACTCCTCGACCTCAAGTATGAACTCCTTGACCTCCACTATTTACCTGTACTCCTAAGCTTTCTTTTTGAACTTCTGGAATTGAATATAGTCCTTCATCCTCTTCTACTATACGACTAGAACCTACAAAATGTTTTTTTTTTGTAAATTTTGAAAAGTATGAAATTTGAAAATTATAAATTCCTTTTTGTCTCCTTTGATCAAATTAAACTTCCTGAATTAAAATAATAATTTTAAAATTGTTTTGACTTTACACATTTTTATGAGATATTTTTTATCTTTTTTATATATGTTATATATTTTTTATATTCTATGATTTATTTCCTTTTTTATTTGGACTAATTCTCATCACTGATTATTAATTTTACAAAAAACCATGAATTGATGATTTTACCTCTGAATTCCACATGCTCATAATACTGGTTATCTGGTACAAGATTCTCATACTCACCCCGGTGCACCTCATAGTAAACATAAACGTAAACAAGATGCAGTACAATTATTGGTAGTACACAAAAATCTTAAACAAGGTTGATGGTACAATTAAATCGGAGTAAACAAAAATATAACCAGTGTTTAGTACAAATAAATGGGAGTAAACAAAAATGTAAACAAAGCGAAGTGTTCAGTTCATACATGATGTGAACAAAAACGTAAACAAAGTTAACCACTGCACAATTAAATGTTGTAATTGTAACTAACTTAAAAATATGTTGTAATTGTAACTAACTAAATTACACGTTGTAATTTAACTAACTAAATTACACGTTGTAAGCAAAGTAAACAAAACGTAAAAAAAGAAGTATAACTATATTGGAAGAATGTTTACCATATAAATAATACATTCGAGAATATAAAGTTTAAAGGGACAGTAAGAAGTGTAATTTCAAGTGACCCTCCATGCAAAGATGACAAATACCGATTAACAACGGTACCCTTAAAAGCTTTGTCTGATCAAGTATGAATAAGATTAATGTATATATATAAATGTTTATAATTATAATATATCAATGTTTATAATTTTGAAGTTATCTAAACTAAAACTAAACATAGAAAATCGAAAATATCTCCTCCACATTTTTGATCAGATAATGCTTTCAAGGGTACAATTGTGAATCTGACCTCAATACATCTTTACATGGAGGATCAATTTAAATTATGTGCGCTTACACTTTCTTTACTTACACACTCACAGTTCATAAAAATTGTGTTCGATAAAATAAAATCCATCGATAATAATTATTATTTTTTGAGTACCTCTTATATTACATTTTTCTTTTCATATTATATTCATTATATATTTGACCTTATATATTTGTCCTTATATATTTTACATTATATATTTGACCTTATATATTTGACATTAGACATTTGTCCTTATTTTTTTGACATTATATATTTGTCCTTATATATTTGACATTATATATTTATCCTTATATGTTTGACCTAATATATTTGTCCTTATATATTTGACATTATATATTTGACATTAGATATTTGTCCTTATATTTTTGACATTATATATTTGTCCTTATATATTTGACATTATATATTTGTCCTTATATATTTGTCCTGATATAATTGACCTTATATATTTGACATTAGATATTTGTCCTTATATTTCAGACATTATATATTTGTCCTTATATATTTGACATTATTTATTTGTCCTTATTTATTTGACATTAGATATTTGTCCTTATATATTTGACATTATATACTTGTCCTTATATATTTGACATTATATGTTTGACCTTACATATTTGACATTATATATTTGTCCTTATATATTTGGCATTATATATTTGACCTTATATATTTGTCCTTATATATTTGTTCTTATATATTTGACATTATATATTTGTCCTTAAATATTTGACATTATATATTTGTCCTTATATTTGACATTATATATTTGTCCTTATATATTTGACATTATATATTTATTCTTATATATTTGACATTATATATTTGACATAGTATATTTGACATTTTATATTTGTCCTTATATATTTGACCTTGTATATTTGTCCTTATATATTTGTCCTAATATATTTGACATTATATATTTGACCTTATATATTTGACATTATATATTTGTCCTTATATATTTGACATTATATATTTGACCTTATATATTTGTCCTTATATATTTGACATTATATATTTGACATTATATATTTGTCCTTAAATATTTGACATTATATATTTTTCCTTATATATTTGACATTATATATTTGTCCTTATATTTGTCCTGAATATAGAAATCGTTTTATTTTATCTTCAAAAAACATTTTTTGGCTTCATTGGATTTTTTTTAGTTTAAACTGAACAAAACTGCTAAAATAGTATAATTCAATTACCTGTGGATGTAACTCACTTAGTACTGTAATTGGCACGGCATGTACAACTCCTTCTAGAAAGCCACGATTGTACATGTCTTCATGTACACCGGGAGGAGGAGTGTACATGCCTTCATGTATACCGGGAGAAGGGACATTTTCTTGAGTACTATTATTTACGTCACCGTTGAAATATCCGGCATTGTACTCTCCCTGGAAATAGAAAGAAATTAAGAAAACGTGGTGTTCAATAAAAAGTAGATAAAAAATAAATAAGAATTACCTACCAAATTTATCAAAATAGATGAAAAGTAGATAAAAAATAAATGAAAATAGATAAAAACTGAATAAAAAAGTAGTAAATAAAAAATAAATAAAAATTAATAATAATTTGATAAAAATGTATTATAAAAGAAATTTATTAAATAGATAAAAAATAGATAAAAATAGATTAAAAAATCGATAGGGTACGGTCAACACTTCTTTTCGACATAATTAATCCAAGGTTAATGTTTTTATTATCTACCCATTTATATATCTTATATATCTTGGTTTCAAAATATTCGTCAGAATTCAGATTTTCATGGTTGTTAACAATAAATCAAGAAATTTTCCAAACTGCAAGTAAAAATGTGGTTAATGGTTTAAAAATCATCTTTTTATCTTACTTGAAAATGACTGATATTCATAGATTATATAGTTCCTTGAAATACCGGGGAACCAAGGCTATAAGAATAAAGACTAAAAAAATCCTTTCAGTCGTCTCTGAACTAAGTCTTATCCTTTGTGGATGTAGGGAGGGGGTGCAGGGACGCCATGAGCCCCGGAAAAATGGTCTCCAAGCCTCTTGCTGGATTCCCAGATGAGTATTATAAATGACCTGGCGCTATCACTATCCTTAGAATAAATATTAGAGATTAAGGAAGTAATGTATAAAAAATATTAGAGAATATATTTAATATTTTAATTGTTCTACAATGTATTTGGATATTCATAAATACACTGCTATTCAAAGATTAAATATTTTCCTTAAAAAAATGTGATTTTTTACTTTTTACTTCTATAATATTTTATCTAACTTTAGGGGTAGCGCAATGATTTTTTAAATACTCATCTGCGAATACGGAGGTTTCGAGACCATTTACAGGGCTCATGGCGGCCCTGCAACCCCTCCCTCGTGGTTAATCTTTACCTCCTCATAATCTCCGTCCTGTTGAACTGTCCCCCGACCTGAGTCTGTTCCTTCATCACTGGGTCGTCTCATCCTAGGATCCCTGATCAAACACTGACTCTTTTTTTACAACAAAATCAATTAAAGGGACTGTAAGCGTAATTTCAAGTGACATTTCATTTTTAAAGTGGCATAACCAATTTATAACGATACCCTTTAAACCTTTGCTTGATTAAAGAATTTCGTAGATATTCTGATTTATGAAGCGGGAAACTAAGTGCCAAGAATAGGGTGACCAACTCTAAAAATTGAAATATTCCCTAAAACAAGAAGAAAAATCCCCAAGGTTGGTCAGCCTGGCCAAGAAGCCGCGCAACTGTACACTAGCACGGAGAGTACAGTGTACACTGTAAACTCGAGCATTTAATCTTCAGGAGGTTATATACCTCATTGTTGCTTGGACAAAGATTTAAATGGTACCGTTGTGAATCCTTAATTAGAAGGTCACTTGAAATTACGTCTACAGTCCCTTTAATATAATCACAAGAAATCATTGAATTATTTTATAAAGATTTATTTATATAAATACATATATATATATATGGTGTAGTTTAAATTTATAAAGGTTAGACAAATAATTAACTGTATGTATATATGGTCATCAAGTGAGCATGCGTTTTTAGACTAAAATCCGAATTTATAGTGCAGGGTACTTCAGTTCGATAAGAATATTGTTTTTTTTTTGACGACGTTACTAATTAGAACAATGTGTTTAAATATTGCAAATAGTTTTACCATTAGAAAAATAAATAGCTTTTCAAGTAAAATGGATCTGTGTAGAACTGTAGACTGCACTAATGCTATGTTTCATGTTAACATTAGACCATTTGAAATGATAACTTAAGCATACTCAAATAGATTCTAGTACAATAGATGGCAACGTAGAATTTGTACACTCTTAGTACAGCTGTATTCTTACGTCACAAGTGTTAACTTTGTTTTTGTGACCGAGAAAATTATTAATAAATTTCGTTTTCCTTTTTTGTATTTGACACTTGTGACGTCGTGTATGGATGGTCCATTTCTCTCTTGCCAAATATTGTACTTGATAATCTATTTGGAGCATACCAGTTTTATATACACTCACTGTATTATTTTTTATCCAACTGATCTTTAATTGAAAATGAATTTTCTTTAAATCATAGTTTGAAGATGATCATGTTTACCTAGGAAGGAGTGGGGGAGCTGCATTATAGTCTGGAGATTGCAGTTCAAAATTCATCTCAACATCTAAAATGTTAAATATTTTCAACAAACTGCAATTTCTATTTAGTTATTAAAAACGTATTTATCGGCCACATGGGTGCAATAGTTACGAGGATTTACCGGGCTTGTACCAGCCCGTCTAGTGAACCTAGTGCGTTTTATGAAAAAATATAGGTAAAAGCTAAAGAATGTGTACATCATGTGCATGGACATAAATAAAGGTTATTAAAAAAGTATTATTTTTATTTACATTCTGTTGATAAACATACAATATGAATCACCCTGTATAATTATATTATTTGTTTAATCAGATCAATTTATCTAGAGGCCAATGTTGTGTTTATTGTGTCATGGTTTTATGCATTTTGTGTAGTTGTAAAAAAATAATTCGAATTTCTGAATAATGAATTGAATTAGAAATAGTGAATTTTACTGTAATTCCGTGCAAATCCGCTTAATTTTGCACAATTCTGCACAATTCTCTCTATATATATATATATATTAATGATTGAGATCATTAAACACAAAAAATCATGTTTAATAAAAACATTGAAAAATAAAAAGAAATATTCACCCAGCTCCTTATTCTTGCTTTTCTGAAATCCCTACACACGTCATGATTGTTTTTTTTTTCTACGTTTGCCAATGTTTCTTTTTAACGTGTGGTCCTTCTTTTTAGAATAAAAACGGGTTCTTAAAAACTCTTCAACCCTATTACGGTGTTTGTGTGTTGTGTTAAAATTTACCCCCACTCACCCCCACGTGGTTTTTCTAATTAACAAATAACTAACATTAAATTGTGTGTCAAAAAAAATAGGCCCTCGCCCTTTAAGTTAGAATAGTGCACGGAATTTGATTCACAAAAGTACCCTTCAACCCATATTGATTGATTGATTAAGGATGACGGACTAATCCTTATTTATCAAGTCAAGCATAGAGGTAAAAACTATGTCCACAGTCCCTTGAATTCTCTATTTCTGATATATTTTTATCTATATTTAAGAAAAACGAATATCTTTTATTGTTTTGATAAATACTAGGGTAAGGATATCTTTCGTGTAATACGTGTAAAGAAAACCAAAGATTTTCCTGCATCGATGACGTCATTCTTATAAAAAGAATATATACTATTATCTTAACACACAGAGAGAATACAATGCTAGAACTGTCACTTAGATTTTACTTCGAAAGATTACACAGAGAAACAGAAAAAAAATTTGCATACAAAATATTTAAATAAGAATAAAAATTACAGTTTGGTAAATGCTCTGTATTTAGATTGGCACTTGTGTGTGGGGGACACAACTATACCAGAATTTTTTGATCGCGATATCCACTGTAGGCACTCTTTATTTGAGGACTAAATGCTTAATCGTTTCATTTACAGACATTCATTCGCTGATTAAAGAGCCATTCAACCCCAGACCAGGTACGATTACTATGCAGGACATCGAAAAAAGATTAAATTAATCTGCAGATTAACATAGGATGGAGATCAAGCATTGATCTCGATATCCACAATACAATAGTTCCCTCCTAGCTCAGTCTAAAATGCTTTCGTTTTGTTTCAAAACCACAAATAAGAATTTATTCAGTTAAAAAAGAAATATATATATATATATATCTATATATATATATATATATATATTTAGCTAAGGCAAACTAGATCAGAAAAAGATTTTTAGGGTACCATTGTGAATCTAACATGTCACTAAATTACTTCAAATATCGTTCACAGCCTCTTTAAGGTAAATTTTATTGTTTCATATTTTTTCTATAAATGAGAGGTTCATAGTAAAGCTTGTCACACAAAAGATCTAATAACATATCCATATATATCCTATTTATTTCTCTTTTTAAGTTTTATTTTCTAATGATATAACTTTAATTACCTGAATTAACCAACATTTTTGGTCCTAAACTCACATCGTGCTGATCACATTTTCATTAGTTCTATTTAAACAAAGCTGTGTTTATCTTTAATGCATAAAAACGTATGTTGTACGCTTATTGTTAATCTCATTGACATGCTACTGAGATTTGTTGATGAACAATTTTTGTGTGTTTCTTAGTTTAGTCAAATATTTATCTACCAGGCGTTTTTGGCGCTTCGCGCCCATCTTTTTTCCACTTGTGAACATTTTCTCTTTGAATACATTGTAAAACAAAAACAAAAAGATTCGCAGATTTTATCAAAAATCGAATTTTGTGAAAGGCAAATTTTTAAAAATTCGATCATCAATAGACCTTCCTTGGGGTCACACGAGGTTCCACAAAAAATGTGTGCCCAATTGGTTTAGTAGTTTTGACGTTTATTGAATACAAACGGACAGACAAGCAAAGTATATTTATAGATGTCTAAAGTTTCTTATATCTTATTATTTCCCCCAGACAAATATTTCAAATTTACCGTTGTAATTCTTACGTACGTAATTCTTTCAGTAGATGGTTACTTGAAATTACATTTACAATCCCTTTTCCTTTTCTTTGAGAAAACAAAATCAACGTCATCCAAAAATCATTTTAATCAAGAAATTAATAAATAACACAAGTAGAAACTATAAAATCTCAGCTTAAAGCTAAAACTGTACGACATACATACTCTTAAATAATACAACTGTAAAGACTACTGTGCGGAAATTAATTAGTGTTCTTTTGGTTCAGTAGTTAAAACCTTTTGTGTGGTCTACAAAAATACTTTATTTCCCCTTGAAAACTCTCATCCTTTGTAAATAGTCGTTGGTAATAAATTCAAAAATATCCAAATTGAAAATTTAAGATAAAATTTTCAAATAAAAATTGAGTTTTTCTAAGATATCAAATGCGAAGCAATTTTGGATTTAATTGTAAAACAAATTTCTGCAATTCCATAGTTCTCTTGTAGAAACTTGATGACAACTTTTTAATGAGATAAAGTTAATTTTAATGAGATAAAGTTAATTTTAATGAGATAAAGTTAATTTTAATAAGATAAAGTTAATTTTAATGAGATAAAGTTAATTTTAATGAGATAAAGTTAATTTTAATGAGATAAAGTTAATTTTAATAAGATAAAGTTCATTTTAATGAGATAAAGTTAATTTTAATGAGATAAAGTTCATTTTAATGACTTTAACTTTGTAGGAAAATTCTAAATTTTAGAGTTATAAGTTTAACTGATTGTATTTTTGTATTAATAAAAAACTCAAATTTTGTAATCCCTTTATCTTTGCAAGCTAATGATGTAAACCTCTTAAAACTTAGTCTATTTGATCTAACAAAATGTGTACAGTTTAAAATATCTAAGGTCTGAGACATTTGGTTGCGAAGATATAGGGATTAGAACATCAGATTTTATGACAAAGACTAAATATTTTATGGCAACCTTGGATTTGGCTAAGATTTCTTAATTTTTTCTTTGATATTTGACAAAATATATTGATACAAGACTATAAGGGCGCTCCGCGCCCATCTTCCTTTTTAACTTTTAATTTTGGCGTTATCTGTAAGCATCTATTTGAGTACAATATTCTTGTGGATATAAATTTTGTCAAATTTGAGCATCCATTAACTTTCCCTGGGGTTATGTGAGGTCTAATGCACAAAATTTGGTCCCGATCGGTTCAGCCGTTTTGACGTTTATTAGATACAAAGCAAAGTATATATATACTAGCCTTAGAGGGCGCTTCGCGCCCATCTTCTAAATTAATTGTGAGTGAACATGTTCTCTTTGTGTATATCGTAAAACAAAACAAAAATAATTCGCGGATTTTTACAAAAAATTTCGCGGATTTTCAAAATTTTCAAAAATTTAATGACGATCTAATTTTGATGGAGACAAATATTTAAAATTTCAATCATCCATAAACCTTCCCTGGGGTCCTTAGATGTCCCACAAAAAATTTGGGCCCGATCGGTTCAGCCGTTTTGACGTTTATTGGATACAAACAGACAGACAAACAGACAAACAGACAAACAGACAAACAGACAAGCCAAATTTATATATAGATAGAAAGAAGTCACTGCAGTTTCACTTATAATTTCTAACACTGTCCTACACTATGTAACTGTGCACTGTATGAATTGAAATCAAGGAACCGGAACAGACGACATTCGCTACAAAAGAGACTTGTACGCTCTACAGTAGGGGAGGGGGCAGTCGTCCATGTCACTTATCATACAGGTAGGCAGATAGATAGATAGATAGATATAGATAGATAGATAGATAGATAGATAGATAGATATATAGATAGATAGATATATAGATAGTTAGATAGATAGATAGATAGATAGATAGATAAATATATAGATAGATATATGTCACTTATCATACAGGTAGATAGATAGATAGATAGATAGATAGATAGATAGATAGATAGATAGATAGATGGATAGATAGAAGTATGGAAACAGTACAACAAAATGGCCGTTTTACACTTTTTTCCATTAAATTCCTCTCTATATATTTTATTCTCTATGTTTGGGTATTATCCCAAATTCGGCCGTTTCAGCTGTTTCAGCCATTTCAGGCGCTTCAGCTGTTTCAGCCGTTTAAGCTTTTTCAGCCGCTTCAGCTGTTTCAGCCTCTTCAGTTGTTTCAGCTGTTTCAGCCGCTTCAGCTGTTTCAGCCGTTTCAGCTGCTTAAGCTGTTTCAGCCGTTTCAGCCGCTTCAGTTCAGCTGTTTCAGCCGTAAATTGGAACAAACCAAAAAAAGTCACACAAAGAAACGAAGCAGCTAAATAAAGATTTATTTAAAGATGTTCAAAGAGAGTTTTATCAGATTTTTTTTGTATTTAACGAACAATGCAATTTTGAAATTTATCTGAAAAGTTGGAAACCTAATTATAAATCTTTTACAATAAACTTTTAGCTTTTCATTTAATAATCCAATTATATCCAAAAATGAAAGAATTGGATGAAAATCCCTTATTTCCAATTCTAAATCTGAACCTTCAGTGGGGATTAAAGAATGGACTAAAGGAAAATTTAGAAAAACGTGGCACTCACAGATCTCACAGATAGGACAAACCTGGCACTCACAGATTTCACAGAAAGGACTTTGGATCCAGGAAATATCAAAACCGAGCTAAGATCTAAACTTGTGTGCAGATTTTTTAATCTAGATCTTGATATCCAATAAGAGCATTACTAAAATTGAGGATCAACAAAATCTATCCCGCAAGGTGACTTTTACGAGATATGAAAGAGTATTTAAATTAATCCGTAGATGGAAAAGTACTGACTTCTGCCTAAAGAAGTTTTACTTTAAAATAAAACTTCATCGTTTATTAAAAGCGTTCGTTAATTAAATAAAACGTTCAGTAAAATTATTCGTTTAGAAGAATCTTTCGTTCAAACAAATAGTAAATTCTCTAAAATTTGCTCAAATCAAATCATGTGTTCAGTTTTTGTCTACGTTCGTTTTGAAAACAATATTTTTTTTCATTTCTCTGAACGATCCATTTTGTTCGCTTTTTTTCTGAACGACACCTTTTTTTCACGAAAAATGTTGTTCGTTTTCAAAAATGTTGTCTTTTCAAAAAAAATGATGCCCATCTCTAGGTGAGTGCATTATACCTCCCATATCCAATCTGAGTGATCTTGGAAACGTTTTATTAACTTAATTTTCTCCATTGACACTTTGACAGGGATCTTAATGAAGCAGTTTTTTATTCCAAAATACAAAATCGGCTAAAAGAATTTTTTGCCGTTAAATTAAATCTGTAAAATTTGAATTTTACTGTTGGAGAAGATAAAATAAAAAAAGATAAAAAATAAGTGTTTTTTTCGTATATGTCCTTTGCTAGAGCCAAAATTTGGCAAAGTGAGTTACAAGAAAATGTTCAGAATAAACAATTTTGTAAAAATTTCTCTGGTTTATGTGGAAATAAAAAAATTAGCCTGTTACTGCCCATACCAAAATATGATGTCACATAAAAGATATGAATATGTATCTATCAAGTGATATTTTTTAAAGCTTTATTAAATTTTAAATATTGCTTCAATTTAAATTTCTCCCCATTTCCAAAAACCCTTTTGATTAACTGTCTCCGTTTAAGCAGATTATAAAAAAGTTTAATTTAAAGATAAAAAATTCGTGAATGCATAAATTGATTAAATGGAATCTAGATATAATTTCAAGAGAGTGGCATGTCGGATTCACAACAGAACCCTTTACAACTTTGACTGGTCAAGGTTGAATTTAATAAATATCAATTTGTAATTTTTAAGAAGATGCAGAAATTTTCATTAAATCTCTTTTGGAAATAAAATATTCGGTATTTTTGGAGGGTTTACGGCAATTCAAACAGTTTTTGAGAGATAAACAAATACATTTTTCTGCTCTCGATGTCAAAGGTATGTAAATCAAACATTGCCAAATCTAAATGGATTTTCTTTAAATTATTAATACAGTCTCTTTAAAGGGAGTGTTCGCGAAAAATTAAAGGCGGTACAGGCTTACGTCGATTAAAAATATTCGATGGTGATTGCTAATAATCTTACTGCTATCTGAAGAACGTAGCGTCCATACAAATTTAGTTTCAATATTCGACTCGGATAAAAAATCAATTTAACTCCAAATAAATCATTCAGATATTAAAACCTATAACCATCGATTTTTTTTTAGACGCATTCACATATGTTTGATATTTCATGAAAAAAATAACCACATTTTGGTAGGAAAAATGCTAAAATTTGGCGAAACAAATATGGAAGCTTATTGGAGAACTTTGTTGAAAACTATACATAATTTAATTTTTAGATTTAAAAAAATATAATTTTGGTTAGGAGTTATGCTGTTTAGTTTATATCAGGGGGCGGGCATAACTCTCCTAATTTTGCCTGGCTAGGTTTATACTGTACAGTGAATTTTGTCGAAAAATGTTTCCTTATGACTGAGTTGGTATCATAGAGTACAGTGGGTTTAATCCTAAGTACATCTATTTGTACGGTATTGTGTGGACAGCAGGGAGCAAGGAATAGAAAGGAGAGACAACTGACGCGGTTCGCCCTACCATATGATTATACATGCTTTGCAGACGGTACTCCATTTTATATCGAGCTGTTTGGTTTCTTTAGTAGGGCCCCACAGGAAAAATATGTATTGGCTCAATTTTCTTTGACCAGTTTCGCTAATACATATTTTTCCTGTGGGGCCCTAAAATCTACGAATTATGATCCCCCAGGTAGAATTTCTGATCGGGTCATTGTGTACAGTGGCTGTACAACAAGAAGTTATAAATTCCAGATGCCCCCTCTTTTACTAATATCTCGATGGTTTATATTTATTAATGTCGTCTTCTAAAAACAAACAATGAAAACTAAAGAAAACCTCAAAATTGACTTGACTTAAAAAGTGATGTAGAAATTAATTAAATTTTAAAATTCGAAGAGTTAAACATTAACAATCCCTTTATTCATAAATTTAGGAGCTGCTTATACCCTTGTCTCAGAGTCCTATATCACATTCAAAATCACATATTTTTCCTTATTTATGATACAAATCTGAAACATTTGATCCATTTTTGGAAAGCACTTAGGCTCTACTTTAGCACTCTGAAAAAAAAATTTGCGAAATTTCAAAATATTTATTGCAATATAAAGTTATTTAGCACAAAATATGCAAAATTGTAAAGTTTACAGTTTACAGTTTACAGTTTAAAGTTTACTGTTTACTGTTTACAGTTTACAGTTTACAGTTTACAGTTTACAGTTTACAGTTTACAGTTTACTGTTTACAGTTTACTGTTTACTGTTTAGAGTTTACAGCTTATTTACTTCCGAACTCTCTGATAATTGCTCGTCCAGCGGCGGCATGATAGGCCCATGTTTCTTCACCTTTAAAAACAAAAAATTGATAAAAAATTGATCTTTTTTAAAGTGTGACCTGTAAAAATGTGGATTAAAAGGACGACTGTTAGTCTCAAATTAATGACGACGACTTTCTATTTAAATTTTTAATTTCAACCAATGTTTGCAAACAGCAGAGACACATTAACATGTAGACAAAGAGAAGTTTTTAATTAACAGCATTTTTATAAAAGCAGCATTTAAAAAAAGGAAAAGCCTATTTTGGAAAAGGGGATTATATATATACAGAGTCTCAATTGAATCCGAAAGAAGTTTTCCACAACACTGCATACTCAGTTCAACAACCTTACATAGCCGGTCACTCCCTTTAAAGAGACTGTAATGGTAACATTTAAGTGAACCTCAGGCCCCATGCAAAGATGCCAATACCAGATTCAATGTCAATGTTTGTAATTTTGAAAACTGATTATTTTCAATTTTTATTTCTTTTCAAACGTGACATGCGCATTTCTACAACAGGAAAACGTATAGGAATTATTAAAATTAAGCACTTTGAACCCTAGAAAAATGAGTATATTTTCCTTTTAACTGATCAGATCAAGGTTTCTAGGGTTTGTAAAACGTGCATTGCATACATCCTTGTTTTGGGGGTCTCTTAAAGATATGATCATGCAATACTTTAAGAACTAATATTTTCAAAAATATGTTTTTCTTGTCATGTTCAGGGAAAAATACTCCTGACTAAATTATATTTTAATTTCTGAAAATACCTGTTGGTAGAATTTGTTCAGGGGGAAGGAGAAATCCATGAAGTCCGTCTAATTCTCTTAATTCCATACCTTCACAAATACAGTGTTGGTTGAGACTTCAGAGATAAACTTATGATTGTTTTAGATGTTGATACCCCTTTATAACAGAAGATGTAAACAGAAGTAGCAAGACTTTAAAATCATGTGGTATTACTAGGGTTTCCAGCAAACTGGACAAATTATGTTACCGATAATTTCGCAATTTTCGGCAACATTTTCTGTTTCACCGAAAATTTTTTTTGCATTCCTTTCAGAAAAATAAATATCGAAAATGTTCATAATTTTTCTCGAAAAAAACAACCTGTTAATATATTTATAACAACAACCTCTTACTTATAAGAACAATCTGTAAATATACTTATAAGAACAATCTGTAAATATATTTATAAGAACAACCTGTAAATATATTTATAAGAACAACCTGTAAATATATTTATAAGAACAACCTGTAAATTTATTTATAAGAACAACCTGTAAATATATTTACAAGAACAACCTGTAAATATATTTACAAGAACAACCTGTAAATATATTTATAAGAACACCCAGTAAATATATTTATAAGAACAATCTGTAAATATATTTATAAGAACAACTTGTAAGTATATTTATAAGAACAATCTGTAAATATATTTATAAGAACAACTTGTAAGTATATTTATAATAACAATCTGTAAATATATTTATAAGAACAATCTGTAAGTATATTTAATTCAATTTTGATATTTTGGAATTCACAACGGTACTCTTGAAAGCTTTGTCTGGTCAGATATCCATGTTTTAGTTTCTTAAAAGCTAGTAGTTATCATTTCTATTTTTTCTCATAAAATGACTGGCGCATTTCTTGCTGCAAAAATAGTTTCTAAAATCATCAGAATTAAACACTTCATGGTTAGCCGTAGTACATTTGAATTTCCGAGCCGGGTCAACCTTTCCGGTCCCATTTTGTACTGTACCTAGCTCTATGGACAGGACTAGCCGGTGCAACAAGGTTGACGCGGTCAGACTTTATGCTTCATATTATTACTAAAGAGGCAGAGGGGCGTGACTTGTCCGTCAAATGAAAGTTTCCGGGTTACGATTGTGAATCGGACATTCTCTATAGAAATTACGTCTATACAGTCCATTTAGCATAAGTTAAAAAAATAATGACTTTTTTCTTCTTCTTTGTAAGCTTACCATAGCTGTAGGGTATTTTTGCTTCACCAAACGCCCAATCATAACTCTCTCCACTTGCATAATAAAGTAAGCATGGCACACAACCGATCATATACCTTAATAAGGTAATAAAAACATAATTAATATTTGGTCCTAATTTTAACCGATTTCAGTTTTTATTCAATTTTTTTGTGGGGTATTTTTAAATGAAAATATAGGAATGCATGAGAAACCTTAATCTGATCAAAAAGTGTTCATTTCAGTGATATTCTTTTACATCCAAGATTTACGCAGGTCACTTTGGCTGAGAACCCACAATTTTAATAAAGAATGAATAATCAAAAAAATGCATTTTTAATTGATACTTGATCAGACAAATATTTCAAGGGTAACGTTTTAAATCGGGCATTGTCATCTTTGCAATGAGGATCACTTGACATTACGCGTACAGTCTCTTTAACCAAGTATCTAGTTTCTGACTCACCATGTCCCATGCACATTATGTAGTTCATCATATGCTTCATGAGCTAGAGCCATTTGGGCCTCATAGTTTTCATTAGGCTCAGTAGTGTAACCCCAGGGTAATAAGACCTAAATTCAAATATTTCAATTAAAGCTTAAAACCATTATGAAGTTTTAGAAGGAATTGAATTTCCACAAAATTAAATTTTCCTTTTACTTGCAAACTGATGGTTTACAATTTTTATATTTTAATCTTAGATAATTTGATTTTAGTTTGAAATGGCCTACAACATTAGGTTGCAAAGATTGGAATAATAAAATCAAATTTTGTTGCAAAAACTCCATTTCTTTCAAAAAAAAATTGATAGATATCAAGATTATTTATTTATTTATTATAAGTTTTGAATATTACCAGTTGACCGAATATTACCAGTTGACCGAATATTACCAGTTGACCGAAGGCATGAACAGAGTTGAAAAACTTTATTTTGTCTCTTCTCTCCCAAACAAAGTCTCGAACATTTCTTGATTCTATCTCAGAGAACGCCTCTGAACCTTTGTTATATGTTTGGTTAAGCTTTAAGTGACTCTCCGAGCAAAAACTTAGTTCGAACGATTTTGGCCTATCTCAAGTTAGAAATAGGCCAATAATTTTAAATGGTTTCTGTCTTTTAATTCAAGCTAAGAAGAAAAAAGGCTACATAATAACATTTTGTTTTTGTTAATGGGAAATGCCAATTTAACTAATGTCCTGGCCTGCACACTACAGCACAGCTGCAGTCACATAAACGTATCTAGAGGTTCCAAAGAAATGGGGAAATAGTTTCACGACATTGTGTAATTTTTTTCTCACAAAATTTCGCATTGTGTTCGCTTCCTTTCGAAAAATTCAATTTCGCGAAAAACTGCAAATTTTCTCTAAAAACTCTACGTATAACCTAATAAACTCTACCTATAGCCTATTACTTTCCATTCGTGAAAATGTTTAGATAAAAATAAAAAACTCTACCCATGTAAGTCTCAAAACAAGGGTTTGAAGAAGACCCACCGTCATTCCAATGCCAACCAAAATTCCTGAACATTTTAGACGATCAATTTAGGATTGAACTTTTAGCAAAGGGTTTCCATTTGCAAAATATGCAATAATCGCGTACAAATTGGTCTGACTAACTTTTCTGTAAAAATTTTAAATATATATCTTGTTGTGTGCAACAACAAAAATCATTTTCCCAAATTTACCGCATGTAGCATTGTTTTGTTAATCATTTTATAACCTTGTTTTTCATTATTTAAGACAGAGTTTTGCCATACTTCCCTGAAGATTTGTGCATGGAAACCCTAGTTTAAGGTTTTATAAATAAAACAATTGACCTGTTGGCATCAGTTCCAAAACAACCATTACCCGATGGTGATCGAGTTTTTCTCCACATTCTTAAATATTCAAATTATATTTTTTGCTTTCTTTAACAAGTTTTAACTTATCATAATTAACCATCAGACAAGATTTTAAAGAAAACATACGTTATTTTATTCGTTGAAATGGTTTTTTTCCCTTATCTATTATAGTTGAAATGAATCCTATATGACAAGAATTATAATTTACCGATCTTGTTCAATGCTGTAAGCATACCCATCTGGATTCAGTATTGGTAGGATATACCAATCTAACTCCTAATAATTATAATTATTAATAGCTTTAAGGTATTGTAAATGTAATTTCAATTAAACTTATAAATAAAGCCATTCCTGATTCACTACGGTACCTGTTAAACCTTTGACTGATTATCGAGAATATAGATACCAGTTTCAAATGTTATCAAGGATATGGATACCAGTGTCAAATGTTATCAAGGATATGGATACTAGTGTCAAATGTTATCAAGGATATGGATACTAGTGTCAAATGTTATCAAGGATATGGACACCAGTTTCAAATGTTATCAAGGATATGGATACCAGTGTCAAATGTTATCGAGAATATGGATACCAGTTTCAAATGTTATCAAGGATATGGATACTAGTGTCAAATGTTATGAAGGATATGGATACTAGTGTCAAATGTTATCAAGGATATGGATAACAGTGTCAAATGTTATCAAGGATATGGATACTAGTGTCAAATGTTATCAAGGATATGGATACCAGTTTCAAATGTTATCAAGGATATGGATACTAGTGTCAAATGTTATCAAGGATATGGACACCAGTTTCAAATGTTATCAAGGATATGGATACCAGTGTCAAATGTTATCGAGAATATGGATACCAGTTTCAAATGTTATCAAGGATATGGATACTAGTGTCAAATGTTATCAAGGATATGGATACCAGTTTCAAATGTTATCGAGAATATGGATACCAGTTTCAAATGTTATGTAAAAATTCGGAAAATTGACGCTCGCATTCTGTGAATTCTGTAGGAATTTAAAAAAAGTTTTAATTTTGAAATTGACAAACATGTTTTTAATGATAAATCAATAAAATAATACATACATCAATTAGTTGAGGATGGTCCATAAAGTTTTCTACAAGATCAAACATGGTGTATGCAACTGTGGCTTGAGCAATCCATTCACTGAAATAAAATCCTTACTCTTTTTTTCTTTTTTAATTGCTTTATAGTAACAGAAAACTACAGCAAAAAATATTTTTAAAATCTTGAAGGATTTCGTGAAATTTAAAAATAAATAACTGTAAATACTAGTCTAAGGTTGTTGGGGCTAAGGCAACTGCAATCTCGCGCCCATCTTCTACTTTAACTTTTAAAATTGGTGTTTCATCTTTAAGCATTTTCTCTATTAAAGGCATGAAAACTAATCAATAGTAAATAATTATTAACACAACTAGCTTTTCCTAATCCTAAGGTTAGGATATGTATAAAGAATTTTTTTTTGTTACGATGAACTTGTTTATTTAGTATTTATTACCGTGCATGAATTCCACCATCTATCCACATTGCTGGTTTATTCCCGCAACCTCCTTTGCAAACACTTAAAACCTAGAATTAGGTTTTTTAAATAGATTTTTAAAAATAATTTATTTTGGTTTTTATATATAAAGAAAAAAAATATTTTTGATTTTATCTTTGCCCAGGGAATCGAATTGTGAAATAAATCAATTTTGGAAAAAAAAATAGATTTTTTTGCCCATTTCAACCCCTGCACCCCTAGGGTACCCATGGGTTATATATTTGATCGTTAAGATCTTTATCATATAGACTAGCTTGAAAACTCAGCTTTGCCTGGAAGCTAAACTTTCGATATAAAAGGCAACCCACTCAAGTTACAATTTTCAAACTGCAAGTAGTTCCCCAATCAAAATTTGAAACACATTGGTACGCTGGTTCATGAGTTATGCTCAGACATAAAAAACACACCAAAACAGATAGTTACCTTCATATCTCTTCCTTCATATGATAATCCAATGGACTCTATTGACACAAAGTCATAAGTCTCCGCAAGATATTCCATGAAACCCTTAATATTATTTTGACAGTGATGGGAGATAGCTTGGTATGTTTTTGTTTAATTTTTAAGATTTTAGGACTTTTAAAAGGCATTGTACACGTGGACTTTTAGTATTTTAAAATTGTATTCTTTTAATGTTTTTGTTTACCAAACTATAAATTGCAAGTATTTTATCCTAAAAGTAAACCAAAAAGATTATGATTTGGTTGTTTTTTTGCAAATATGTTCTATCAAAACTTGATAAAGTGTAAAAAAGGAAAATGTTTAGAATATGTGTTCATCAAAAATGTCAGAAAAATCAAGTTTGTTTCTATTTTATCAAGGTATTTTAAAGTCTGAAATGAATTTTTTTTAATGTCTGCCTTAAAATCCTATACTTAGCATTATTTTATTGATTAAAACTATCCCGCAATTCAATATAAAAGTAGTAAAACCTCGTTATATCCCATCACAGTATACTCTCTTGACGAATAAAATTTGTATTTAAGGACAATATGTAAATATTCATTCCTTAAGAAAAAACTGTTTTTGTGTACAACAATTTTAATTGAATCGTGCTAGTCTAAAACCTTATTTCTGCAGGCCCATGTTAAAACTAGTTCTTTACAAAGGAATGGAATTTACTTTCAGAAAAATTCAAATCAATGGAAATTTAAATGCCTGAGAGCTCGAATTTGTCTGCAAGTATATTAACGAGTGAGGAAACAAATCATAAAAAATAAATATTCTTGGAAAAGGATTCAAGTTTAATTTCATTTCTCTAATTTTCTAATTCCTAACTCTTTGCTTTCTGTTTGAATTCTGTAAGATGAAAAAATTTTGAATTATCCAATGTTTGCAACATCAGGTTGCAAAGATATTAAGTTTCTTTGAGCTACAAAGTAATAAATAAAATGGTTTTGCAATTTTTCTGAAGTTTAAAAATTGTGTTTACATGTATGTCCTCTTCTCCATGATATGAGATCCAGTCCATGTTATGTCCAGCATATGTTCTATATAAAACTGTGTTATGTATTTACTAAAAAATAAATCTGTTGTATTTTCTAAAAGATAAATCTGTTGTATTTACTAAAAAATAAATCTCTTATATTTACTAAAAGATAAATCTGTTGTATCTACTAAAGAAATAAATTTGTTTTATTTACTAAAAAAATGTCACACCTTGTTGAGTTTGATGGACTAATCCATGCTTTGCTTGTCTCAATTCGGGCTTTTAAGTCCTGAAATGATTTTAAGATTTTTTTTAATATTTAAAGAAAAGTTTCAGAAAGATACTTTTTCCATAAAAATAAAAATAAATACAAATAAACAAGTGAAAACAACTTAGTCTATGTTAAGAAAATAATAAGTAGGAATTTTACAATTAATCTATTGCTGTCATTTTAAGGTCTCAACCTCTCAAATAAAAATCGATGAGATTTTTCATAAATTATAATTTTCATAAAAACCAAAGCTAGCAACAAGTGTTTTGTAGTGCTAAAATGTAAAAAGCCTAAGTGAGTTAAAGCGGTAAAATCAAAGCTCAAGGCGTTGCAGCGCTTCAAAATCGACTCTGCACTGTGATTTAAAGGTCTTATGCTCTTAAGGAAAAATCGATGAGAGTTTTGCCAATAGCTTCTTAAAACCAAAGCTAATATGAGTGCTTTATAGTGCTAAAATGGCTACAGAAAAGTATAAGTGAGTTAGAGCAGTAAAATCAAATCACCAGGCTTTGCAAAACTTGAAATTCGACCCTATCTTAAAAATTGATCAGACATTTTATAAGCCCACTGATTGCCTGTTCTAAAAATTGATGCGAATTTGTGTAAGCAGGCTGAATCTATGTGCATACAGCAAACAGACCTCGATTATGATTGTGAACTTGATGTTCAAACTGTTGATGCTGCTCAATACAGATTCTTTGTCTGAAAAAAAAAATTGCACAAATCTTGAAACCCGTTGAAATGATTACGCTAAAAAGGAATTGAGTCTTGGCCACAAACGCTAGTTTTTTTGCTCCCTTTTCTTTGCAACCCAATGTCGTAGACATAGGTATTTTTAACAATGAATTTAACAAATAATGCTTTAACATCAAAGGTTTACACCATCATGTTGTAAAGATATAAAAAATATGAGTGTGTGCCAATTCAATTAAATGTTAGAAAATTACCCGCAGAATCAACCCTCAAATCAACATTTCCAGGACGGATCTAAAACAAGGAACTTTAATAAAAATAAAATGTTTAAAATTTGTATCTGAAAAATCGTTGTCTAATTTGTTAAAGAGGACTGTAAGGAGTAATGTTTAAGTGACCCTCCATGCAAAAATGGCAATGCCCGATTTTGTTGATCAAGTATGAATTAGATTTTTATGTTTTTGATAATTTAAACTATTTATTTTCATTTGTGGTTTCTCTGAGAAAGAAACTTTCGCATTTATTGCATATAATTCTCGAGTCAGAAAAGGATGTTATAAGACTTATGTCATTTTTTGTTTAGATAAAGGGTTTAAGGGAACCTTTCTGAATCGGACATTGCTATGTTTGCGCTGCTATCTTAAATATACTATATACAGTCCCTTAAATCATCACCCGTGTCCAGAAGTCAGCTCCATTTGACTCTAACTGTTGAAGATATTGTATTTGTTGATTATTTTGAATATTTAGTCGGAGAACTTGACTGCCAGCATAGTCCCTACCCTCGACACAGGAAGATAAGATGGCGCCTAAATATAAGGTTTAACCCAGAACTTGGGAGACATTGAAGGAATTTATAAAATGTCGTCTTGACAATTTTTAAATGGGTTTTATAGTATTACACCCAAAGTTCAGTAATTGTAAACATGACATTTTCTGTTACAAACATACTAGCATCCTAACGAGTATAGACAAGCAGAGTATTTATTACATTATTTACAATTTTCACAATGCACATGCCATTTCATGAATTTATAAATATATATATTTCAATTTTTTTCTGCATTCTGTCATTTCAAATACAAGTGACCCTGCACTTGAAGAAATATATGTCCAATTGTATTTTTATCTAAATACAAGTGACCCTCCACTTGAAGAAATATATGTCCAACTGTATTTTTATCTAAATACAAGTGACCCTCCACTTAAAGAAATATATGTCCAACTGTATTTTTATCTAAATACAAGTGACCCTCCACTTAAAGAAATATATGTCCAATTGTATTTTTATCTAAAGATTGAGAATTTCTAAATACAAGGTCCTTTTTTAAAAGTGACTTACAAATTTATTCTTCAATTACAAGGGAAAAAATCGACAGAATTTGTCATATTTTAAAGTTGGAAAACAACGTATTTCTTCCTTAAAGGCTTAAAAGATACCCTTGCGAATTGAAGTTACCAAGTGGGGTTGCTTAAAGCAAGTATTAAACTTACCTATATATATTGCAAGAAATACTGACAGCTGTGCCATCTTTCATCGAATAATCATAAAAATTGTTTTAAAGCTTTATCTCATTATTTACGTTTTATCTTATTGAACAAATGTCCAACTTATAAAATTTATCTTTAAATAAACAAAATCATATTCAACAATAATAAGGAAAAAAAACAAGATATTTTTCAAGTGGGGGGAGGGGGGTATATTTTATGGCAAAAAACCTATACATCAGAAAGGAAATGAGCTTTTGTCACAAACTCTAATTTCATAATCGCATATTTCCTTTGCAACCCTATTCAGTAGAACTTTGATATTTCAAACTATGAACTGTGTTAGATCAAATACCTCTAGTTTGAAACGTCAAATGTTTACATCATCAAATTGCAAAGATTTAGGAGTTATAAAAAACATTAAGTTTCTTTATCTTATCATCACTGGGAAAGTCACAAAATTGATTTATCTTTCTTTTGAACTTTTAGTTTTTAACACAGACAAAAATTATTAAAAAATTTTATTAAAGTAAATACAAGAAAAACTACATTTTGACAGCATATATTTTCACTGCAATTTTAATGATTAATTAAAAATTCTTTAATGATTTCTCCAACTTACGTACTTTTATATTTTTTTAGCTTTTAACACAGAAAAATTAGCACTGGTAGAAAACTTTTATTTTAACAGCACATATATTTATATTGAAAAATAAAAATTTTAAGGATTGATTACAAATTCTTTGATAATATTTTTACTCTGAAAAATTATATGTTAGGGATTGATAACAAATTATTTTATGATTTCTCTAACTTACTTTTTTATTTTTAAACTTTTAAAACAGAAATGTTAATGTAATAATCATAATCTTGTACAATTTTTTATTATTTAGTTTATCTTAACATCTTTCAAGGAGTAATTTCTCCAGACCAGGCATAAATACCAGGAAAAGTCCGAACCCAAAAATGTTACACCTTGTATCCCAGTATCATTATAAATCCTTTTTTTAAATTTCTCTCTTTTATAACGTTCTATATTTCTATCTTTCTGGTTTACCAATGATTGAAGTTTTATAATCTTTAGATTTTATTAGAGCAATAAATCTATCTATAGGATGTCAATCTACTCATTATTTTAGATCTTGGATGTAAGGAGAATATACGGGTTCTCTGCATGGCTCTGATAGTAAGGAGCATATCTAGCTCTGTTTGTGCTCGTACTGGGCTGGGATGTGGTCCAAATACATCGCAAGCAAGTGGGAGATCCATATCGTTGTAAGCTTCAAACTGTTTCTCAATAGCTGTAATTCTCCGGCCATTAGTCTAGTAATTCTGATAAGCAATCCTCAACCATCCTCTGTCAACCTCTATCTCTATGTTGAGGGTAGAAGGATGCTCGGTATCTACCATTACAGATTCATCCTCGACTTCATGAACAAGGTTTAGCTGCTCCGGCTCAGGATCCATCTGTGCAGATTCCTCAAAGTCAAGTTTCTCTCCGAGTTCTAATTCTGGACTGGGAGTTCTGGGATTAGATGGTTCAGAGAAGGGTATATTATACTTCAACCGAGGCATCAATCCTTCATTTACAGGTTCCACATTTACTGCTGATTCCTTTGCCGCCTCCCCTGCTATCTTAAGTAAATCATCTTGTTAATCCTTCCTCGGTAAACCACCTTTGAGATCTGGGTTGATCAAAAAGATCCTGGTTCTTTGTACAACTCAAATCATGAGGATGCTCTGCATTTATAGTGATGTTGCAGAGGATGAAATCCCGGAAAAAGGATTATGAAATCCGCAAAAGAGTCGTGTCGGATCTTGGAACCAGAGAAGACCTCCTCAAGTTCCTCTCCTTTTATACACTTGTTATTTATCATGTAATTATATCTAGAAGCAATAAATGTACTTCTAAAGGGGTGACCCCAGATAACAAACGAACCATGGCCAATAACACAGCCTCCTGCAGGTCAGAAACAGCCCAAGAATTGGACAAGGATGACTTTCTTCATCCTAAAAAACCTCAGCTACTCCTGAAGCTAATAAGCTAAACCTCAGCTGCTCCTGGAGCTAATAAGCTAAACATCAGCTACTCCTGGAGCTAATAAGCTAAATCTCAGCTACTCTTGGAGCTAATAAGCTAAATCTCAGCTACTCCTGGAGCTAATAGGCTAAATATCAGCTACTCCTTGAGCTAAAAAGCTAAATCCAAGCTACTCCTGGAGCTAATAAGCTGAACCTCAGCTACTCCTGGAGCTAATAAGCTGAACCTCAGCTACTCCTGGAGCTAATAAGCTAAACCTGAGCTACTCCTGGAGCTAATAAGCGAAATCTAAGCTACTCCTGTAGTTAATAAGCTAAAATTCAGCTTCTCCATGGAAGCTAATCAGCTACACAGCTACTCCTAGAGCTAATCATACAGCTACTTCTGGAGCCAGCAAGCAACTCAACTAACAACTTTAACCTAATCGTAGATATTCTGGCTGCCAGTTCTCTACAGGTTAAACCTATTCCCGCCTAGCCTTCACATCTCTTCAAACGGCCACTGGCCAGCCTTACTTAAGACTGATCATGGCGTAGGGTGGGGGCAGATCAGAAATTCACGAACAGCTAATTGCGAATAATGATCTATCATCCCCAGAACTCCTTCTACTCCTTTTCTAAACACTTACACAAGGAGATATGTATCAGTCTCGACTACCTCTATGCTCCAGACTGGGGGGGGGGGACTTCTGTAAAGGATGAAATCCCCAAAAGAGGATTATGAAATCCGCAAAGGAGTCGTGTCTGATCTTGGAACCAGAGAAGACCTACTCAACTTCCTCTCCATTTATACACTCATTATTTATCATGTAATTTTATTTAGAAGCAATAGATGTACTTCTAAAATGTTAACATTTTCAATTTTTTGAAAAACTATCGTTTCGTTATGAAAACGATGACAAAAAATCGAAAACAAAATAAAAAAAGTTCGTTTTTTAAAAACAGTCGTTTTTAAAAATGATATTTATAAAGCTCGTTGTTTCTTAAAAGAGCGCTAACAAGGACCCTTTGTTAAATATCATTAACAACAACCCTTTGTTGACGTGTTAACTATCATTAACGATGATTCTTTGTTGACGACCGTTAACAAAGAGAGGAGGAGAAAGGAAACCAACTTGAAGGGCATCGGTACTTATCATTGAGTAGTTTTAAAGAAAATATCAAGAAGTGTTAGCTCCCCCACAACTTTCTAACTTCATGTAAGACAATATTCGATAAGATTGGATGTAATTTATTTTCAAAAACCACCATTTTTATAAAGTTCGTCGTTTTGTTAACGATCGTTAATGACAACCCTTCGTTAACGATCTTATATTTTTACTTTGAAAAAAAATTCTAATGATTTTTAACAAATTTTTAAATACTTTCTCCAGCTTATTTTTAATTTATTTTTTAGCTTTTAAACCTTTATCTTACCTTGAAAAATTTTAATTCCAATGATTGATTAAAAATTTTTTTTAATAATTTTTACATCTTACTTTGAAGTTTTTTAGCTTTTATAACTGAGAAAAGAGTAAATAAATAGAGTAAATAAATAAAAAAAACAATATTTCAATAGTGTTTATTTTATTTTTGAAAAATTAAAATTCTAATTGTTGATTAAAATTGTTTTTAATGATATTTCCATCTTACTTTGAAGTTTTTAAGCTTCTATAACTCAGAAAACTTTGCCCTGATTGTTAATAGAGTAAATAAATAAAAAAAAACAATATTTCAATAGTGTATATTTTACTTTGAAAAATTTAAATTCTAATGGTTGATTACAAACTCTTTAATGATTTCTCTAGCTGCCTCTGCATGGAAAGCCCAAGTCTCTTCACCTAAAATGAATTTCAAATATTGAATAAAAATGAACAAGGACAATTTTTATATCGATTAAAACTATCCTTTACATTCTATGGCTCAGTCAGACAATTATAGAACGGTTTAGAAATCTGTTGTTCGAACGAACTTGTAGAAATGAAAGTTTTTTACTGTTTTTCAATTGGACTTTTTGAAAAAGATTCATAATTTTTCTGTATACAACTGAAAAAAACCCGACTTAATTTGGGGTTTTAAAGAACAATGACCAACAAATTAAAAAAAGGAACAATTGAGGTTTTTAAGAACATGACAGCATTTTCATTGTAAGAATTCTGGGTTCAAAAGTATTGGTAAATCTGAACACGACAAAAAATCAATTAAATCGAAATAAATTATCAAATCATAATAAAAATGTCAGATTTAGAGATTTCTGAATGTTATTAAATGTACCAGTTGGTAATATCTCCGAAGGAGGAAGGAGGAAAGCATATTCTCCTGTATCTCTTAGTTCCATTCCTAGGTTCAAAAAGAATGAATTAACCTAATGTGTGAAAACTCAAAATATTTGGTTGGTTTTTACTCTTTGAATGAAATGTATCAACACCATGTCTGGGAAGCATTTATGAGACTAAAAGACAAGACAACGAGTTTTAGATGGAATTGGAAAACCCAAAATATTAAAGACCACTTGATTAAAAATAGTTTTAGTCATTGAAAATTGTCGTCTTCCTATTCGACAGTTTTCCGGTTATCAATGTTTGTGTCAGATATTACCAAAACTGTAAGGAATCTGTGCTTCTCCCAGCGCCCAGTCCAGATTCCCTCCACTAGCAATAAATAATTGGCAAGCAAAGCAACCAACAGTGTAATTACCTATCAATGAAAAAAAAACTGTATGTGAATAATTCTAAAATATGGAAAAAAGCTTAATCAGCTAAAAAAGTATATGGAATTGTAAAGATGAAATCACACAAAAGGAATTGAGTCTTTGCCACAAACTTAAATTTTTTAATCCCTATATCTTTCCAATCTGATGGTGTATACCTTTGAAATTTCAAACTTAACTTCTGTGATCAAATAGAATAAATTGCAGAAATTGATAATGTTTTTTTTTGCTAAAAATTAATGCTTTGAAAAAAATGATTATTTATTCTTTGATACGTTTATAAAATAAAATTGAGAGCTTGTAAGATAAATTAAAATTAGCAATGATTATTACAATCAAATCAGAGGTTTGAACTTTTTGATCTGATCAGAAGTTTTTGTTATTAATCGGATTATCTTAACTCTTGATATCCAATGTGGGCACTTCTGTTTTAATAATCAATGCTTGATCCCTTAATTAGAATTATCCCTCTATAAATTAAATTAATTGGTAGGTATGCATAAGATAGGGATCAATGCTTGATTTTAAAGTTCATAACAGAAAAGTTCTTAACAACTTACAAATCAATCAAACTTACTTCCATGAACAGCCGTCAGTTCAGCCACAGCTGTATTTGCAAGGGCCTCCATATTGTCGTAGTTGTTTGGCTGTTCTCTTGTGAATCCCCATGGTAGTAAAATCTAATCAGGGACCATATTTAATGAATTTAAACTGCTTACCGCCGGTTTAAATTTGAATCACTGTCTAAAATCCCTCCCTAATTCTTAACTTTATAACATTCTTCCCTAATTTTAATCTTTAAATCGGTGGTTCAAATTTGAACTGACAGCAGATAGAAAGTACAAATTGATGAAATTCAGTAACATATAAAATGATATCTCTCATTAGTCATTATAGTTTTTTGAGAAAATTCGAGAATTTTTTTTTCGCGAAATATTCGCATTTCGTTTGCTCGCAAAAAATGAGAAATTATCGCGGAACGATTTTTCCTTTTCCCTACAAACCCTAGTCAAAAGTGTCAAATGTAACAAGGATAACAAAATTTACTAACTATAGTTGACGTGTTACGGTGTTTTCCAAGATTAAATACGAAAGTGTAAAAACAGAAGATAAAGAACACATAAAATTGCACTTATTTTACTTAAGATAAGCACTTTCATCCAAAATTATCACTATTAATAATAGTTTTGCCGGACACAATAATATAAGTTGACACTTGTGACGTAAGAATACAGCTGTACTGAGAGTGTACAAATTTTACGTTTCTATCTACTAACTAAATAAACAACGATTTATTGTTTAAACCCCAATTCCGACATAATATTAGAAATATTTAAATGTCATTTGTATTTAGATAAGCCTATTACAACGTTAGAACTTATTCTGCATTGAAGATAATAAAATCATTTGATATAATTATTACCATTTGACTGTATGAGTGAATTGTATTAAAAAATTTAATTTGGTCTTTACGATCCAAGATGAAATCTCTCACGTTTCGATTTTCAATCTCAGAAAATGCCTCTGTACCTTAAAAAAGATAAATGAAGACAAATTTCTAACTTTTTAAAGATAATATATGTATATATATGGTTACCCATGTATGTATCAGTACAGGGATCATTGGATGCTCCCAGTTCACCATTGTTCCATTTATAATTCCAATTTCTAAAAAAGTAACATGACGTTTTTTATTACCTGTCAAAATAATAAAAAAACATTTGGGTCTGACCTAGTGAACGATTTTTGGACCCCCCCCCAGCCCCCCCCCTCCTATCAATTTTTTACATGACGAAATTAGTGAATTAGTATTTATTTATTAGGTTAAGACACTTTCTGGGCCGAGCGCTGCGGCTAGAATAGGCTAGGGGGCCGAGCGCTGCGGCTAGGACAGGCTTGCAGCCAAGCGCTGTGGCCACGGGTTAGGTTAAGTTAAGACACTTTCTGTAAGATCCATGTACAAAATTGATAGGAAGGGGGAGGGGGTTCCAAAAATCGTTCTCTAGGAATATACCAAACATTTCATGGTATGTGTTGCGTTATAAATAACACCCAAAATTTAGATTTTACAAGAATCGGAAAATAGCGAATAACCAATAAGTTATTATTTCTTTCTTAAAAAAAAAATAATAAAAGAGAACATCAAACTAAATTAACAATAACATTTGTATCAAACCTATCCGAATCTGAAATTTTACAGAATACTTTAAAATTGGGTTTCAGGTGGTTTGGAAAAAGAAATGATAAGCAGGTTCTTGACATTATTTCAAAATTGGTAAAAAAAATAAACATAATAACAAAGAAAATAAATGAGCACAATACATGGAAAACCAGAAAAATCTGAAATAGTAAGACGACTTTTAGAATCAAGTCATAACTATCACTATCTAACTATAGTTATATAGTGTTATTTTATTTGTAACATTAAAAACACTGAAGTATTGTAATTATGTCGTCTTCATATTCCATTTTTTCTGGTCATTGCACTGTATATGAAAATATTAATTTTCTAAACCTATTTGAATCTACTCCAAAACAACCTCCAACACTGGGCGATCTGGTTTTCTTCCACATTCTGAAATTTGACAGTAATTTAAATAGTTTGATTCAAAAGCAAACATTTCCAATTTTGGGAAAACATTTATGAAAAATCCAATTTTTGACAACAAACTCCGTTGCTACTATTGAAGAAAAAATAACAGTGCATGATGCGTTTAAACTAAATTTAAAAATGTACTATGATTACGAAAAAAACACCCTTGATACCTGACAATTTCATGGTTTATTTAAACTCAATCTCAAAATGACTTAACTCTACTTCTTGGCAATTGGTACATTGCAGGTATTTTATATCCCATATGTGACCACAAGGACCAAATTCGTCTAGAACATTGTTTTCCTGCTTGAAGTGATTGGTGGCATAATTTCAATTGACCCTGTATTTGTAGAGTGATGTGTCCGATTCACAACAGTACCCATGAAACTTTTTAATTTATCAAGGATGTCGGACTTTTTCTTATTAATCTACAAAAAGAAACGCTTGTAATCGTCAAACACTGTTATGTATTTCGGAAATATTAATATTTACTTTGTTAAAGGTCGCAGAATTTTTTGAAAACCACTTTTATATCTAGGACAACAGTAATGTCGGTTAAGTTGTGTTGACACTGTGCGCGAGCGTACACCCCAGAATTACAGGAATCGGAGCAATATTTAAGAGATAAACACAGGTAGATGATCCTTATCCTTGATGTACAATCCAAGGTTTAAAGGATATTGAACATCAGGTATTGCCATCTTTGCATGCAGGGTCACTTGAAGTTTCGCTTACAATCCCTTTTATTTGTAGTTTAAAGTCTATCCAGGCCTACAGGACAATAGATTGACCGGCTACACTATAAGATATTAATCATGTGTGCGCATGCATATTGACATTTAAAATGAACGTACCTATCTACTTGAAGAGTGTATGCATACCCATCAGGGTTCATAGAGGGCAGAAAATACCAATCCAAATACTAGAAAAATATTGTGTTTAAATTGTTTTGTTATAATATACAAGGTCTCCCACAAAACATGCGAGTGAAGAGAAAAGCTTGAATATCGTCTTTGATCTTAGAAATACTATGCGGCATTCAGCTGTCAACTTAATTGTTTGTGTTTTACATTTTACCGAAGATATTCAACTTTTGTGTTAACGTTTTTATTTTTTAGAAAAACAATCGTTTCGGTTTAAAAACGGCAACAAAAAAACGAAAGCGAAACGATTGTTTTCAAAACGATCGTTTTTCTAAATGATATTTTTTATAAAGCTTGTTGTTTCGTTAACGATCTTTAACGACTTTAACGACGTTAACGAAACAAAAACGATCGTTATTTTTTTTCTAAAAGTTCAAAACGAGTAGATCGTTTTTAAAAACGATCATTTTATTCCAAAAACGAAATGATCGTTTTTGAAAACGAAATGATCGTTTTTGAAAACGAAATGATCGTTTTTGAAAACAATCGAAAAACGAAGCAAAAAACGATCGTTTAACAGTCGTTTTCAAAAACGATTAACAACCCTAAATGTCTCCGGTAATTTAAAAGCACTAAAATATTTTAATGCCAGGACCAGAGGTAATTTGTGTTTGTTATATAGAAGATGATAATTAAGACGTCTCTCAAAAATAACATAAAAAGAATCATAATTCAGAAGGAAATACAACATAAACCCTTTTATCAGTTACTTTCATTATTTCTTAACTTTAATCCACACAAATCCTTTACAAGAACTTTAAGAGATTTGTTGAACAATTCTCTGTTAAAAGACTGACTTTAAATAAGATTACTCAACCTGGGTTAGTTGCGGGTGTTCTACATCTAACTCAATGAGTTCTAGCATCATATAGGTGACAACCGCTGGTGAAACCCACTCTCTAGGGTAAATTAGAGGATGTTAGGTGTTCCCAAGTGGCGACTTTAAAGGCAATTTTTTAGACTTTTTTGTTACAAAAACTGTATTTCTCTCAGTGTAAAGAAAATTACATTTTTTTCTAATCATCAGCAAACATATTTTTTATTCTATCAATGATCGAAAATCAAAAGCATAAACAACTAAAATTTGTTTTTGATTAAAAAAATGCACAAAAATTAGTGTATATATTACTTTCTATTTAAAAGATTAAAAAATAATATTTTTACCTGGGATGTATACCTCCATCAATCCAAATTGCTGGTTTATCTCCACACCCTCCTCTGCAGACAGCCAATACCTAGTTTTTTAATGAAAAGTTGGAACTTTATATTTTCAGAAAGCCATACTGTGGGTTATTGGTATCTTTTATTGCAAAACTCGCTGTTTATATAATGTCATTGATTTTGTTAAATGATAGACTGCAGTCTCTGTATATGTATTTGATTGATTCCCATTTTATAATTAATTAATATATAGATATAGAGATATATATATTTCAATATGAAGCGGACTCCTATGTGCATGATCATAAATGCAAAATAGGTCTTAACAATAAAAAATGGAGACAGACGTAGATATAATTTGCATTTTTTTTTAATAGATGACATTCGCTTGTATTATAATACAATCTATCAACAAACACTATCAATAAATGAAGAATCAAAGAAGAAAAAGTGGCTTGCGCATTTCTTGCTGAAAGAAAAAAACTTTTCGAGTAAAAAAAGACATTTCGTCGATATTTTTAATCAAACTAAGGTTTCGATGATTCGGGCATTGCCATATTTCATGAAGGTTCGCTTGAATTTACGCTTATCACTTTCCACTAAACACCACACCACTGTTTCTTCGGTCAATGTACTGGAAATACCTGCAGTACCACAGTGCAAACCGAAGCTTAGTTGAGTTCAATTATTTCAAATATTATTATTAAAAAACTTTATATTGATTACTATTTTAAAATAAATTTTAGGGAATATATTGTTTACTATTTCAATATAAACTTTAGAGGATATATTGTTTACTATTTTAATATAAACTTTAGTGAATATATTGTTTACTATTTTAATATAAACTTTAGAGAATGTATTGTTTACTATTTTAATATAAACTTTAGGGAATATATTGTTTACTATTTTAATATAAACTTTAGGGAATATATTGCTTACTATTTTAATATAAACTTTATGGCATATATTGTTTACTATTTTAATATAAACTTTATGGAATATATTGTTTACTATTTTAATATAAACTTTATGGAATATATCGTTTGCTATTTTAATATAAACTTTATGGAATATATTGTTTACTATTTTAATATAAACTTTATGGAATATATTGTTTACTATTTTAATATAAACTTTATGGAATATATTGTCTACTATTTTAATATAAACTTTATGGAATATATTGTTTATTATTTTAATATAAACTTTATGGAATATACTGTTTACTATTTTAATATAAACTTTAGGGAATATATTGTTTATTATTTTAATATAAACTTTATGGAATATATTGTTTTCTATTTGAATATAAACTTTAAGGAATATATTGTTTACTATTTTAATATAAACTTTATGGAATATATTGTTTACTATTTTAATGTAACTTTATGGAATATATTGTTTACTATTTTAATATAAACTTTATGGAATATATTGTTTACTATTTTAATATAAACTTTATGGAATATATTGTCTATTTTAATATAAACTTTAGTGAATATATTGTTTACTATTTTAATATAAACTTTATGGAATATATTGTTTACTATTTTAATATAAACTTTATGGAATATATTGTTTACTATTTTAATATAAACTTTATGGAATATATTGTGTATTATTTTAACTTAAAAAAGTACCTTCATGTCTCTACCTTCATATGAAAGTCCAATAGACTCTACGGATACAAAGTCAAAAGAGTTTGCAAGATAGTCCATGTAACTCTAAATTGGAAATTTATACAGTGAAAACCAGAAAACTTTGGAATAGGAAGACGACTTTAAGCCTCAAGTTATCCCTACATATAGTGCAATGAACATGAGACACAGCAATTGTAAATGTAAACAGACTCCAATAACTTGATAAGTGAGTTAATAAGTTATTAATAACACTATTTTCTTTGTAACAATATCAAATACAAAAATGTTTGGGTAGTATGTTGTCTTCTTATTCCAAAGTTTTCTGATTCTCACTGTATAGTATTTTTGGTTTTAGTTTAAGTACAATTTTTGCTGTTAACACAAAGCTACAGATTTAACGATTTTTGGAGGGGGGGGGTCCAAAAATCGTTCTCTAGTAAATACCTCTTTGTGAATACTTACATGCATATCCTCTAAAGGATGGTAGGTTTCCCAATCCATATTATGTTCAGAGATAGTTCTATAAACATATTGTCAAGATTTAGAAATTTATTTCAAAAATAGAAATCAAATGTATTAATTAATTTGTGTTTTATTTTATGCATATAGAAGTAATTTTAATTTTTATTGTTGTTTATCATAACTCATGAGCCCCTTGACCTTTTTGTCTCAAAGATTGGTAAACTCGGTAGAACCGCAAAAATTTTCTTGTCTTAGTTTCAAAATTCTAAATTGAATAAGTTTACTTTTAAAGCAAACTTTAGTTTCCCGGCAAAGCTGGTTTCTCAACCTAGTTTTCTTATAATAAAGATTGAGATAAGGAAAATTTTTTGTAAAAAAAAATAAAAATTATACCTATTATTTTTGGATGCTACCCAAGAGTAGGAGTCTTGAATTAATTCATCTAAATCCTGCAAAAGTAAGGAAACCTTGTAAACATAATTTAATATGATTTTATAATCACTTTATCTTGGCAATCCAATTTCATGGATTAATAACACTTAGATATTATAACTGTGAATTCTGTGAGATCAAATAATTTAAGTTTTAAGTACCAAAAGTGTATACCAACAGGTTTCAAAGATATATGGATGAGAATATATGAGTTTAATTGAGGCAAATATTCAATAAGTCACAAATTGAAGTGATTGGCACATAATATTGAACCCTGATCAGGCTAGGGGGGGGGGGCTACGGACGCCACCCCCTCTACTTTTTTGTCCTAGCACTCTTTTTTTTACACTATCATTGTAAAATTTTGTGACTTTTAATGAATTGAAATTTAAAGGATTTTTTTGTAAAAAACATTTTTGTAATGCCTAGAGTAGGGTACAGTGCGGTAAAAAAGCTACAGCTGTAAAAACTGTATTTTGGAAAAACCCATGAAAAATGGCTAGAGAAACATGTGTCAAACTTAGATATTTGTTTTTAAAAAAAATTCTTAATTTTTTTACCATTTTTTTGGAATGTTTTTCATCCGTCCTTAGGACCCAAACTATGAAATTATCGTTCTAATTATTTTTTCAATGAGCTGGCCTTGAAAAAAAGGGCTATGAACATGCATTTTAACCCTATACCTATAACTCTAAGCCTTTTTTCTAGGGGGAGGGGGAAGTTGGACGCCTCACCCAGGCTATACATATATCCAGACCCCCCAGCCTTTATAGGGTTAATTCTTACATGTTCTTAATCATGACTTCTCTTTGTTTAAGGCTATTGAGAAAATATTTTGAATATCTGACTAGAGGAGCTACGAGGTCAAAGAGATGTATTGGTAATGTAGCATAAATTTTACATTCTACACCTGGAAAATATGCAGTCATTTAAAATATAAATCAGTTGCTAGATGTTTTTTTCTAAATGATATTCATTGTAGTTTCGGTTTTTTCAGCTTGAAACGTTATTTTGTTCCAAATTATCTGCATTCACAAAACAGAAGTCAGAACTTTTGGATTTTATTAGATATTAATCATTGATCTCCATCTTATTCAGATCTACAGATTAATCGATAATCTCCATCTTATTCAGATCTACGGATTAATCGTTAATATCCATCTTATGCAGATCTACGGATTAATTTAATTCCTTCTGTAGTGATTATTTTAATTGAGAGACTAAGCATTTATTCTCAAATATGAAAGTGCCCACATTGAATATCGAGACCAAGCGTCCGATATTAACAATATTCACGCAAAAGTTCTGATCTAGCAGGATAGTTTACCTTTATCAAAATAATGTATTGTATTCCAAGTGCTTCAATCTCTTTATCAATAATTTCTTTTTCTAAAATTATTCTATATTTTTCTGTCAAAGGAACTGAGTTTTCGCGACAAACTCAAATTTTAAAATCCCTATATTTTTGCAACCTGATAATAAAACCATTGATATTTCAAACTTAGATTACTTAATTTAACAGAATTCCTATTTTGAAATATCAATCATTGGGTCGCAAAGATATAGAGTTTAGAATTCAGAGTTTGTGGCAAAGACACAAATAAACTCAACAGAATTAATTATGCGACTATTTTACGAAAATAATTCCTAGAATTTCTAAGGAATTTCTGAGGAAAAAAAAACAGAATACATTAACAGGAAAAAAACTTTATATTCAGTATAGTTATTTGTATACAATTACTTGATTTGATAACGGTATCATTTAAATCTTTATCTCTTCAATAATGTGGAATATATCGTCGTTTTTATAGTTTAATTCCGATTTTTTTTTTTCATCATTAATTCTGAAGCAAGAAATGCACAAGTCACTTTTGTTGAGTAACCACAAGTTAAAGTAATACAAAAACATGGATATACAAGGGCGTATACAGAAATAAATCTAGGGGGGGCAAGATTTGCGCGAATCGCAAAAAAAATTTTTGCCCCCCCCTAGGAGCTCCTAGGGGGGGGGGCAAAATTCGAACTGTAAATTCATAACACTTGGCTTCTTGGATATCAGGCATAAGTATAAGATACTTAAAAGGCACACATACAGTCCAAATAATTACCTTCTAAGCACTACTTTATCTCTCCTTCAAACAAAACTAGGAGAAAAAAACATTGTTTCTAAAAAATCGACATTTTATTATACTTTTATAGGTATATTTAGTATTTAAACTAGAGATAGTAAAAGACATTTTTGAAAATAAAAACTTAACTTAAACTTAAATTCTATGAGATGAAAAGAAGTACAAAGGTCCAGAAAATAATTATGACTTGTAAAAGTTTCTGTTGTGAAAAAGACTAGCATATAATGTAAAGTGTGTGAGCTGTACAAATGTATGCAGACTGTGTGTTCTCTGAACGCAACTAAACTCTGTGTACTCTGTGAACTTAAAAGTTAAAATTAGGTTAGGTTGGTTAGGTTAACTTGGTTACAGCATATGAGCACTGCACTGTAATTATATATATTTTAAAATTTTGATTTTTTATAATAATCATGAAAAGCAAACTTATTTTTTTTGTGTTCTTCACTCTTCAGTTAAGATTTGAAAAGTGTGAAAGGCTTGCAGAATTCTGGGGGGGGGCTACGCCCCCCCCTTTACAAGTCTAGGGGGGGCACTGCCCCCCACCCTGTATACGCCCTTGTGGATATATGATTTATACTTGATCAATCAAAGCTTTTGGGAATCAAACATTCCACTCTATCAATGAAGGGTTACTTAAAAACTCTGGAATAGGAAGACGACTTTTAGAATCAAGTTATGACTTTAAATAGTGCCATGAATGAACATGAAAATGTGCAGGTAAATAAAATAAACTTATAATTGATTTTATACGTAGGTTATTAGTAAATGTATTAGCTTTGTTACAACATTAAAAACACAATTCTCTATTGCTCTATTTCAGTCTTGACCCGGCATTCAACCTGTTAGCAACCAGCTCTCTCCTCCCTGCCTATAGTTTGGCCGCAAACCTTTGTTGGCCCCCAAATCAGCTGAAATGTTGGGAGCGACCACTCTACCTGTTCAACCTGTTTCAACTTAACAAATACACATGGGTTCAATACAGCGGGTCCTGGCTCTATACCAGGAATTTGTGAAGGCCGGTGAATCTGTGGAGCAAGCTGAACCTGAAACTGAACCTCATCCTCACCCTGAACCTGAACCTAATCCTGTGCCTGTTCCCGAGCCTAAACGAAGACCTACAAAGGCGGAACTAGATTTAGAATTGAGGAAAATTATGAAAATGATGCAAATGTAATGCTATATCTTGTAATGTAATGTAAACCTGTTTAAATCTTTAAATGGATTAGCATAAAATAAATATTTAGATCTTAAAAAAAAGCTTTGTTACAACATTAAAAACACAATTCTCTATTGCTTAAATGTCGTCTTCCTCTTCCATAGGTTTCTGTTTATCGATAAAAGTTACCAAAACTTTTAACTCGAACATCCACAGACCCCAGACCAATCTAAAAAATTAAATCATCCATTTTTATAATTTTCTTGACTGTCTCTACTTTTTTTGGTAACTCACATAACCCCAGGTTGATGGCTGGTCGAAATTGTAAAAATGTCGTGTTTTAGAAAATTATAAAATTATATATGTTAACAGAAAAATCTACGATTTTTTATCTTTACAAATACAAAGAAAATTTTCGGCTTTCATAGTATTATTTAAACGTTAAAATTGTTACTAGAAGAGGGGCGCAAAGCGACCTATAAAGCCTGTTCATAAAATCATTCTTTTTTTCCTCACCCTTGTCCAGAAGTCCATTCCTCCCAAGCTTAGTAATTTTAGACCCTGAACTTGATTTTCATTCTGTACATCTAGTCTGTACACTTGGTCACTGTACACTTGTTTCCTGTACACTTGGTTCCTGTACACTTGGTTCCTGTACACTTGGTTCCTGTACACTTGGTTCCTGTACACTTGGTCTCTGTACTGCTGATATTGCTGTGAGTGTACAACTAAATAATTAAAACAACTTTCAATTCAAAGTAAAACTGAACAAACATTTATTTAGAAAATGATGATTTTTTTTATGGAGAAACATTTTTTTCTTAAATTTTTCCAAATTAAATGTAAAATTTTAGAAATATTTTTTTTTTATTTATATATGTTAACCTGATAAAACCAGAGAAATATAAAGAATATATTGAAGGAACATTATTTACAAATAAAGTAATTTAGATATTTTTCTTATCTTTAATAAATGCAATAGCTGAATTCAAAACCTACATTTTCAGGGTGTAATAAATATTCAAATATTTCAGCGTGTAACAAATATTTAAATATTTCGGGGTGCAACAAATATTCAAATATTTCAGGGTGTAACAAATATTTAAATATTTCAGGGTGTAACAAATATTTCAATATTTCAGGGGGTAAACATATATTTAAATATTTCAGGGTGTCACAAATATTTAAATATTTCAGGGTGTAACAAATATTTAAATATTTCAGGGTGTAACATTATTTAAATATTTTAGGGTGTAACAAATATTTAAATATTTCAGGGTGTACAAATATATTTAAATATTTCAGGGTGTAAACAAATATTTAAATATTTCAGGGTGTAACAGATATTTAAATATTTCAGGGTGTAAACAAATATTTAGATATTTTAGGTTGTAACAAATATTTAAATATTTCAGGGTGTAACAAATATTCAATATATTTCAGGGTGTAACAAATATTTAAGTTCTAAAATTATTTATATAGGAATTTCACAAAAGGAAATGTGTAGCTCTTGTATTGTAAAGTGCAATTGTTTCTACATTTTTTAAAAGTAAAGATGTTGTATTATTTTCTTAATTTCAAATTAATTGCCACACACTTTGATTTTCTAATTCCTTTTTCTTTGCAACCCAAGGTAGACCTTACTCATGCACCTTTATAGGTAAATCAAACTATAGAATTATGTTAGATCAAATGATATTATTTAGAAAAGGTTTACACCAGGTTGAAAAGATATAGGGATTAGAAAGTTTTAGAAAGGTTGTCGATTTTTCGATTTTGTTTGTAAAAAATGTTGTATGAATTGTCTCCAGCCTTTCTCCAGTTTGGATCTAATGTTTATTTCAGGTATATGGATAGTTTTAAAACCTTTTTACTCCAACACCTGCAGATAATGTTTACTAAACCTGCCAGAACTTCAAAAGTTCACTCCCAACTTGGAAAGTGTTTACTCCATTTGAAGATTTCACTCCAAAACCTTTAAAAATTAATCCAATCTCGACTTTACTCGAAACTGGATATTTCTAAAGAACCCGGCCATTCCTCTGATATTTTTAGATTTTTTCTCCAAATCCACAAACCCTGGAGTTTTTGCTCCTAAACACCACGAGACGCTAAAAAAAATAGTAAAAATATCAAAAAAATACTTTTCAAACTAACGCTTTTTGAATCTTTTGGATGAAATTCAAATTTCACTTGTAAATCATATTTTTTTTAACTTATGTATACAAATCTGATAGAAATCATCTGAACAAGTTGTGTAAACTTTGACTAAATGTTTAAAAGTGTCTACAAGAGTTTACAAGTTTTTTCAAAACCACCTTGAAGTGTCTAAAATGTCTACAAGTGTCTTTAAGAGTCAACAAATGGTATCTGGAAGTGTCCACAAGTATCTACAATTATTTACAAATGTTTAAAAATGTCTATAAGTCACTATAAGTGTATACACGTGTCTACAAGTGTCGACTGTTATCGACAATAGTATATAAATGTCTACAAATGTCTATAAAAATGTGAAAATTGGTGTCTACAAGTCTCTACAAGTGTGAAAACATGTCAACAAGTTTCTTTAAGTGTCTGCTAAAGTCAACAAGTTTCTTCAAGTGTCTATAAATGTCTATAAGTGTTAAGAAGTGTCTATAAGTGTCTATAAGTGTTTATAAGTGTATATAAGTGTCTGTAAGTGTTCTTAAGTGTCTACAAGTTTCTAACAGTGTATGTTTGTGTAAAAATGGCTAACAGTTGTATGGGTATCACTGTATATCAATATGGATATAACTGCATGTCAGCAAGACCATTTTAGGAAAAATTGGTCTTGCGGAAACCTTCCCTTATCTTCCCTGTACAGTAGTTGTAAATAATTGATTACTGCCTTTGACCAACATTACCGACCTTTGATTACCGCACTGTCCAACAGAGGGATGTCAAGTTACTTTACGTCCCTTGGGACAATTAAGTAAAATGCCTACCCGCTCTGCGATTTTTTCGGGAGAAAATTTGCGCATTTTGTAAAATAAATCCTTAACACTGTAATTCTAAGTTCTGAAAAACTAATATTTAGTTTTTATTTAACTTTTCATAAAACTTTTACTAAATAAATACTAAACTAGATTAAATTTACGTTTCATTATTAGTTAAAGCTTTTACTAAATTAATATTTAACTAGATTAAATTTACGTTTCATTATTCAATAAACTTTCTCAAATATTTCCAATGTTCAATTTCACATTTTGATCCGTTTCAACTTTCAACAATTTATAGTTTTAGCTAAAAACCAATCATTGCACGTCCCTTTTAATGGAACTGTAATAGTGCAATTCAAAAGACCCTCCATGCAAAGCTGCACAGTGCACAATGCTCTATTTTAAAGTGTCCCCTTAAAAGTGGTGTCTGATCAAGTATCAATTAATTAATGTTTATAATCAATTTAAAAAAACTGATTAGTTTCTTTGAATAATGGTTTCTCTACTGTATGTAGGATCAAAATATTTAGAAATTATCAGATGTTAACAATCTTCTAATGAGAAAACGACAGTTTACATCTTCCAAGTCTATATAATAAAACAAGACATTAATATATATGTTGTGTGTAGCTGGATAGATTGCGCTGAATTTTTTTGTGACAACTCATGGGTACCCGGTGGGTTGTTAAAGGCTACAAGAAATTCGATTAAAAAAAAAAAAATTTAGTTAATAGTTTCAAAGGTTTTCAAGGGCACCCTTGTAAATCGGGCATTGCCATTGGGTGTGAAATTTAGTGAAACTTTTCTAAAATCATTTTACAGAAGCAAAATAGTATTCCACTGGGAATTCTCAGGCATGTTTATAAAATAGATTGTTGAGAAAATTCAAAAATATGCCCTTTAAATGGGGTTTAATGATAAAAAATCACTAGTTTTAGCGAAAAGGAATAATTTGACAATTTAAATAATATGGGTATCCATTGAACCAGCATGAAAACCGGAGTTCAAAACAATTTACAGAATTAAAAAATATTGAAAATTGGGCAAGTTATGGTCAAAAATAGATTTTTTCTTTGAATAAATTTCATTATAGTACTAAAAAATGTCTTTTTTGACCTTACTCAGTCAAATTTCATTATTTTTCGATTCTGTAAATTGATTTTAATTCAGAAATTCAATTCGGTTGCAATGATACCCAATTCAATAAGTATTTCAAAATTATCATTTTCACTTATACTAGTGACTTTTTTAAAATAGTCATTTGAGGGGCACACTTTTGATTTTTTTGTGAAAAATATATTTTAAAAACATGTCCTAATATTCCTAGTGGAGATTGGAGGGTCACATGAAACTAATATAACTGAAGGTTTTCACCATTCAGTAATGTTTACTATTCGTTCATGTTTACTATTCGTTAATGTTCACTATTCGTTAATGTTTACTATTCGTTCACGTTTACTATTTTTAAATGTTTACTATTTGTTAATGTTTACTATTTGTTAACGTTTACTATTCGTTAATGATTACTATTTATTAATGTTTACTATTTTTTAATGTTTACTATTTGTTAATGTTTACTATTTGTTAATGTTTACTATTCGTTAATGTTTACTTACTATTTGTTAATGTTTACTATTCGTTAATGTTTACTATTTGTTAATGTTTACTATTCGTTAATGTTTACTATATCTTAATGTTTACTATTCGTTAATAATGACTATTCGTTATTGTTTACTATTCGTTAATGTTTACTATTCGTTAATGTTTACTATTTGTTAATGTTTACTATTTGTTAATTTTTACTATTCGTTAATGTTTATTATTCGTTAATGTGTACTATTCATTAATGTTTACTATTCGTTAATGTTTACTATTTGTTAATGTTTACTATTCATTAATGTTTACTATCCGTTAATGTTTACTATTCGTTAATGTTTACTACTCGTTAATGTTTACTATTTGTTAATGTGTTTACTATTCGTTAATGTTTACTATTCGTTAATGTTTACTATTTGTTAATGTGTTTACTATTCGTTAATGTTTACTATCCGTTAATGTTTACTATTCGATAATGTTTACTATTCGTTAATGTTTACTATCTGTTAATGTGTTTACTATTCGTTAATGTTTACTATCCGTTAATGTTTACTATTCGATAATGTTTACTATTCGTTAATGTTTACTATTTGTTAATGTGTTTACTATTCGTTAATGTTTACTATTCGTAATGTTTACTTTTCGTTAATGTTTACTATTTGTTAATGTTTAGCTTAGTTACTACTTACGATGGTTTAATAATGTGTTAATCATAAATCATTAAATTAGATTTTTTCCCCCGCCCTATAAATGTTAGTTTTTCGTTTAATCCAGTCTCCTTAAAAGCACAAAGAAATTGAATCCTTAAATTTACTCATCCCTCTAATTTTGCAACCTTATGTCGAAAACCTTTAGTATTTGAAACTGCGATTATTTGATTCAACTGAATTCATAGTTTGAAATATTTACAACATTTAGCTGCTAAGATATATGGATATAGAAAATAGCATTTGTGCTAAATACTCAATTCTTTTGATAACGAGTAGTCAGCAATTACATTAAGGACATTGTTTTTTCAGAATCCGGAGTGGAAATGCTTACAATTTTTGTTGCACTGTTTCTTTACAATCATTAATTGATTTAATATTAACAATATTAAACAAAAATTATTTGCGCTAAGAAATTTTTTATGAAAGCAAAATCAAATAAAGAAGGCTCGATCTAACGAATACTTATTTTCAGTGTTAAAATATATGAATAATATATATATAAAGGTTTGCCATAAATGTTTCTATATCAAACTATTTTAGCAAACATAACTAAACCTTTCAATTCACTTGGAACCTTGCAGGTTCTATAATATTAAGGTGAGAGAATATTCATTGATAACATTAATGTTTTTAGATCATTTATATAAGCTTGTATGTATTAGAAAATTCAGGGTTACCCCTTGTAATAGTATATTCAGGGTTATCCCTTGTATTAGTTTATTCAGGACTACCCCTTATATTAGTATATTCAGGGTTACCCCTTGTATTAGTATATTAAGGGTTACCCCTTGTAATAGTATATTCAGGGTTACCCCTTGTAATAGTATATTCAGGATTACCCCTTGTATTAGTATATTCATGGTTACCGCTTGTATTAGTATATTCAGGGCTACCCCTTGTATTTGTATATTCAGGGTTACCCCTAGTATTAGTATATTCAGGGTTACCCCTTGTATTAGTATATTACGGGTTACCCCTTGTAATAGTGTATATTTAGGGTTACCCTTTGTATTAGTATAATCAGGGCTACCCCTTGTATTAGTATTTTCAGGGTTACCCCTTGTAATAGTATATTCAGAATTACCCCTTGTATTAGTATATTCAGGGTAACCCCTTGTATTAGTATAATCAGGGTTACCCCTTGTAATAGTATATTCAGAGTTACCCCTTGTATTAGTATATTCAGGGTTACCCCTTGTAATAGTATTTTCAAGGTTACCCCTTGTATTAGTATATTCAGGGTTACCCCTTGTATTAGTATATTTAGGGTTACCCCTTGTATTAGTATTTTCAGGGTTACCCCTTGTAATAGTATATTCAGAGTTACCCCTTGTATTAGTATATTTAGGGTAACCACTTGTATTAGTATATTTAGGGTTACCCCTTGCATTGTATTAACAATTAATCCGATATTTACATCTTTTACATTTAATCATTTTAGATGGAAGCTCAGGTCAAAAAAGAGAAGAACTATCCAAACAGGTTTATATAACTATGGGGTTGTTAATTGATTTTAAAAACAAACAAAAAGTAGATTTTCCAAAACTTACGAACCTTCATTTTTAGAAAAAACCGAAAGGGTTAAGCTAGCAAACTGTTAATTTTGAACTTTTGAGAAGGAAAAGCGAAAGGAAAAAATTTCATTTTTGCCAAAAAAACGATCATAGTTGAAAAAAATGTGAGTTCCATCAGATTTTGTTTGCGCATTTGTTTGCAGAGAAGTTTATACATAGATTAATTAAAATTACAGATATGCCACTATATGTCGTCTTTTTAAGATCTATTTGTGTTGCGTTCACAACCCTGAGACAGAAGCCCAAAGGACATATAACGCGTAGTCGGCGAAGAAGAAGATTGATAGAGAGCTTGTTCTATGCCAGCTACGAGCAAATTCGTTGGCTGTTAACGAAACAAACAAAAATCTTGAAAAGACGACATCTTGTGTCACATCTGTTATTTTAATCAATCTATGAGTTTACAAATGTTATCTTATATGTTTTTATGTGGAGAAAACTGAATTTATTATTTATAATCATAAAAACGAGCGGGGAGTTAAAACTGTACTATTTAACTAAAAACTTTACTCAAAATTTTTTTGGGATACTCTTTGGGGGTCGTTTTCCTCTCCTTGACCGTTTTTAATCGTTTTTAATTCGTTTTGAATCAAAGTGAAAATAAAGAGGGGTTGCCCTATTCAACTCAGAATCATTTAAAACTTTCTACTGGTCAATTGGATGGCAGACTAGTCTTCTACTATCTACTACAGAAACACTTGTAATTGTTAAACACCTTGTTTATAAGCTGTTTTTAAATTAAATTCGCAGGAAAAAAATAATTTTAATTTCAATTGTAAATGCTGAATATTGTAATATTATTTCAAACTTCAGATGTGCTGATTTCAACTGTGCGCTATTCACAGCAATTCTAAACCAATTTTAGAGATAAATACTCGGAGTTCTCTCAATAATAAGTTAAGGTTTAAAGAATTCTAGGGTACCGTTGTAATTCGGACATTCCCAGATCTTTGAATGGCGTGTCACTTGAAATTACACTTACAATTCCTTTAAATAGATGGTAGCAGGACTGGTTTTACAATGAATGGTACAAATTTAAAAATCTACGGAAATTTCAAAAGAAACAGATATTTTCATATTTTTAATTGATAAATAAAACAATTTAATAATTGTAAGGCAAGAACAAGCTACACTCATGAAAGCCTGGATTTTAAATAAACTTAAATGTTTAACATCAAGAGAGGACTTGAAGTGGAGAAATTGGAAAATTAAACGCCCAAAACTTGAAGAGGTAAATCATTAAAATAAATTATGCTTTTAAACAAACTCAGGCTAACGAGCATGATGTCAATTTCAGGTGTTAAGCATTTTCCAACAAGGTTAAAGTGTATAAAGTGATGATGTACGCAAATTCTTTACTAATTATATAGGCCATAAACTATACCGAGAGCGTACTGCATATTTGTGTATTATAAGTTGATTCTGGCCTAACCTATAGTATATCAATATTAGGAAACAGTTGTAAGTGTAAGTACTGCTAACTGAGCACACAGGTGGAGAACTATCATACCCCCTAGTATTTTCCCAGGGGCGACTTCCCAAGGGACAATTTACCTGATGACAATTTCCCATGTGGGAACCTCCCAAAGGTTAGGTCAGGCCATCTGAGCGCCGCAGGCTGGAAGGGGGTCCAAGCGCTGTAGCTAGGATGTGCTAGGTGGCCGAGGGATGCGGCTAGAACAGGCTAAGGACCGAGTGCTGTGGGTAGGACAGACTTGGAAAGTTGCAGCTTGGGAAACTTTACAGTTGGGAAGTTTTCACTTGGGAAACTTTACAATTGGGAAGTTTTCACTTGAGAAACTTTACAATTGGGAAGTTTTCACTTGGGAAACTTTACAATTTGGAAGTTTTCTCTTGGGAAAATACCCTTGGGAAGTTGCTGAATCTCGATGTTATTCATATTTGCTTCCATAACCCAGGGTTGTACCATATTAACAAGCCTGGATGCAACCAGCTTTGTTGCAAGACAACGAGATATTAAAATGTTGTGGTTCGGGACAAGATAAGCCAATCACAGCAAAGCTTTAAAAGCCTAATATTATGATTATTATGTGGAAGACGATGCCTGGCCGCGTTAAACTAGTTCCACAAGATTCAACAGAATGAGATAGAACGGATACGGGGCATAGTACTAAAAAAACATCTACACGTGTGATTTCGATATTGACTCTAGTTCTGAACCCTCTAGTAATAAGTTATAAGAAATATATATACTGGAAGTTATTTATGCGTTGTTATTTAGAGTCTGACTCACGTCCTCTATAATTATGTATTAAACTATCAAAGCGTTTCGAAATGTCGAATATTTAGAGCGAAATTATGAACATAGTTTGTAGGGTTTCTTTAAAATTTCTTTTTTGAAATTTCAGCGTGAACCACTAGGTTTATATCCCGTAGGCCCACCAAATCCTCCAAAAATTTGTATTATTCATTTTAACAGTTTAGTTCATCTTTTATTAATTTAGGTCAAGGAATTCTTTGCTGAAACCACTCTACATGGGTTAAAGTATGTAACAGAGGTATAATATTTTCAACTGGTTTTATTCAAAGTGAATAAATACTAAAGTGGGCCAAACTCATAGTTGGATGACGACATTTTATTTCCCAAGTAAATATAAATATGTATATATATATATATAAATTGGTCTGTATACGAAGTGTACAGTACAACAGTACAAACACAGACTTAGAATTTGTATTTAACTTAAATATAGATTAACGTAAATTAAGATTTCAGAAGTGAATTTTACCCATTCTACTGCAAGAATGAAGATCTTCGAAATATATCTCTTGGTCTTCACTTTTGTATTTTGACAGATTTAAGAATGGTTGAGAACTATAAGACATAGTTTTAAAGATATTAAGATTTTTTTTCCAAGTAAGCCGGCTTACATTTCTTTTTCTTTTGGGAAGGGGGGAGACCAACCCTCCCCTCCCCACAAAAAAAGCATATATTTCACTGATCCAGGAGGGGGATGAGCCCCCATTGCCCCACCCCTGAATACGCCTCTGGATGATAACATAGATGTGTTTAAGAAATTTACAAACATATTTCAAAATGGAGGGAGATTTGAAAGAACAAAACTAGTCAGTTTTAAAGATAAATTCTTATAGATTTAGAAATGCCAGGCAAAATCAATGAATTGATTAAGCGACTAAATAGTATTTACATATAAAATACATATGAACATACAAAACTTTTTGATTTTCAATCGTGAAAATTTCGTAGTTCTATCTAAAGACGACATTTACATGGGTCTTTAGTCTATTTTTTCTAGTCTTTACTTTCCAAACGAAATCTTTTCATGCAATTAATTCCAAACCAAATAAAACCTTATAGCCCAACCTGTCGTCGTTGCCTTAGTCTGTTCCACTTTAGTATTTATTTACTTTGGGTTTTATTAGGGAACTTCGAGTCCCTTTTCTAGTAAAAAATGTTAGTTGTTAACCATTGCTCTTCCGGCAGCCATCTTTCTTTCTTTCTTGTTTCGCGGATATTTCTGTTTTACAAATTAAGTCGTTGTCTGAACTGTTAGATTCAAATTTCAATCATTTAAATGAACAATGTGAGGATAGAAATCATGAAAGATAATTTGGCTGTAGTGCACGCATTGTCTAGCATATTTAATATTGCTCTGAATTGGAATTTCCAGGATGTGCCATTTCGAAATTTTAAAAATTTTGGTGAAAAAGTTTGACGAAAGTTCATTTTCTTTTTGATTTCATTCTAAAGTCTAAACTTAGGAGAGTGTTTGGTGGTTTCAGTGTTTACTTTGGATAACACTTTTTTGCACTGCTCTGGTATTTCTTGTTTTCCTTACAACACCACTTTTTAACAAGGTATTTGTGCTTGCTAAAGGACTACCAAAGAGAATAGAATATATATTAGAGTGGAAGTTAGACAATCCCTCGATATGAATTTCGTCAGTCCCTTTTAACCTAAAAGGGAGTTCAAAGTGTACAAATTATGTAAATGTTCACAAACTATATGCAGTAGAGTACATTAATACAGTATGTTCCCTAGACTATGCATTTCAATTTCGAATTTTTAAACTTTATAAAAATGAATTAGGTGAATGAAAAACATCATTTGATTTATAGTTATATCGGAAAATCATCGTTTGTAAAGTGAAAGGCATAGTCTATGTGAAATGATCATTGGTCATTTATGAAACCATCCTATTTCATAATTTGGTTTCTTTTAATATTAATTTTAGATTTTCTGTAAAATGATGTTCCAGGGCCCAAAAGTCTATATAGCACAAATATGTGAAGTACACCTGCAGTATGGAAACAGAACAACAATATGGCCGTTTTACACTTTTTTCTAGTAAATTCCACTCTAATATATATATTCTCTTTGGGGACTACTCTCGAAATTTCAAGTGACCCATTTTTAAAAAAAGAGGTTCATCCCTCAATCCTTTATTTGATCAATAAAGAGGAATATATCGTCGTTTTTCTGGTTTAAACAGTTTTAGATTCTCATAATTCCTTTTTTGTTTTTTTCTGCAGTGCGCAAGTCACTTTTGAAGAGTAGTCATAATCAAATAGATTATCAAGTACAATAGATGGCAACAAAGAAATGAACCAATTGCACACGACGTCACAAGTGTCAAATATAACAAGAAAAACGAAATTGTCTTACATTAGTTGACATGTTTTCTAAGATTAAATTAAAAAATGTAAAAACAGAAACTAAAGAACACATAAAATTGCACTTATTTAATTGTAAGAAAAGCACTTTATTCTAAAATTATCACTATTATTGATAATTTTGTCGGACACAAAAACTGAATTGACACTTGTGACGACAGAATACAACTGTACTGAGAGTGTACAAATTATACGTTGCCATCTATTGTACTAGAATCTATTTGGTCATAATTGAAAATAATCATTTTTCGAAATGTTTAACATTGATATCTATTTAATTCATACTTGATTAGACAGAGCTTTGGGGTCCCTTGTAAAATGAATATGCAACTAGTTTGATAACAATTTGTAGTAATTCTAATTGATCAAATCTTAAAAAAACTTTTAATTTTTTATTTATATTATTTGTAATTGTAATAAATGAAAATAATTAATTTAAAAAACGAAATACTGAGTTAAAATACAAAACTAAGACAAAAATTATTCCCGTTTTTGGTTTTTACTAAATCATATCTTTTAAATTTAAATTTAGTACATTGATGCTCCAACATTGACTTCAGTTGATACAACAAACTATCCAATATCAAATATTAAGTTCCCTGGGGTGACCGTGTGTTCAAATATTAGGTAAATGGATAGAAAATCAGTAAGTTTTTAATACTTCTTCTTTTTTCTTCTTCAGAATTTATTTAAGTCACTCAAAAAGTATTCAATATTTCCCAAAAATCTCCTACTGTGCTTTTTCTTCTTCTTCAGAGGACTTCGTGTTAATGAGAAAGTATTAAGCATTTAGAATTTCCCAAAAATATCTTTCTGTGTTTATTTTTTCTTCTTCAGGATTTTATGTAAATCAATAAGCATTAAGCATTTAATACAGTGATGACCAGAAAACTCTGGAATAGGAAGACGACTTTCAGAATCAAGTTTTTACTTTAAAAAATCAAATGAGCGAGCAATTTTGCAGTGTAAACAGACCCATTTTACTAAATTAGTGATTTAGTAAGTGTGGAGCAAAATGTTTTGCTTTATAACAACATCAAATGCACTTAAGTATTGCTGTAATGTCGTCTTCCTATTCCATTGTTTTCTGGTTATGACTGTATTCATTTTCAATATCTTTCTGTGTTCATTTTTCTTTATTCAGGATTTCATGTAAATCAATAAGCATTAAGCATTTGATAATTACCAAAAATCTCTTTTTGTGTCATTTATTCTTCTTTAGGAATTCATGTAAATCAACATGCAAAGCATTAAACATTTAATATATACCAAAAAAACTCTTTATGTGTTCATTTTTTCTTCTTCAGAATTTCATGTAAACCCATAAGCATTAAGCATTTAATTCCAAAAAATCTCTTTCTGTGTTCATTTTTTCTTCTTTAGGATTTCGGCAACTCAATTTCTTGAAGAATGGAAGGTTAGTTAAATTACTGTAACTCACTTGTAATTGACTTGGTGTGCTATCCAGTTTTACAGTCTTTAGCTGTACACTGTACAGTGTACATGCACCGTTTGGGAGAGCCACGGGGCCGGGTTCTCATTCTGACATAGTGATGCAAGTGGGGCATAATCGAAAATCTCACAATGCTGTTGAAATGATTTTATACAACTTTTTATGGAAAACATATCACACTAACCTACATAGATTATCTAAATAATATATTTTAAAAAAGTAATTCCGTTGTAAAGCTTTAATATTAATATCTTAGTCTTTCCATGCATGTTGTCATTGAACTTTAAATAGACTGTTCGCTTAATTACAAGTGACCAATGATACAAGAAACATTGCCATTTACTACAGTATCCTTGAAACCAATCTGATCAAAAATGTTAAATTTGTTTTTCTGACTCGTGTTCGATTCTGATCATATCTCTATTGTCAAAATATATATATATATAATTCATAGTTGATCAGACAACAGTTTTAAAAGTACTATTTTATACATTGAGGCTTAAAGTCTACCTATTCCAGAGCTTTATTGTTATCACTGTACGTATATAATTTCAGAGAATGCCGTGGAGGGAACTGTATAATGAAAATATAGATCTTGAGCATGTAAGTAACATTTCTTAAAATAACCCTATTCCTGCCTTGCAAGTGGAGAAAAATGGGGCTTTTGACAATCTTATCTTTATACAAACATTCAAATCTTAAATTAAGGAATACTATTTGCGCCCTGTGCGGCATTACCATGATTGTGTAACAAATGTTTAGTTAGTAATGCAGCATATAAAGTTTAATACTGATCCTGCGGTTATGAAAGAAACTGTTGAAAGTGAAATTACGAGGCAAAAACTGGAAAAGTTCTTACCCACACTTATGTACAAGGTTAGGTTTATGATAATACACTCTGTACAGTCAGAACATGAAAACTCTGGGATAGGAAGACGGCTCAAGTTATGGCTTTAAATAGTCCAATGAAAATGACACACATCAGTTGTATCAACAACATTAATTTTATGTCGTATTTCTATTTCACATTTTTCTGGTTCTAACTGTATAATGTAGCCATCTGTGTGTGTTTGAATGTCATGACTCATGGCACAAGTGTATGTAATGTATGGTGGTTGAATAGGATGTGTAGTAGTGTGGCCAAATTTTTTAGGATTCATTTGAGACATGTAAAACATTTCTACTACGTATATTTACTGAATTTGAATGCAAAGTCGACGTTCAAAATCTTGAATTTGGGTGATTACGCTTTCAGAATAGTTTTATTTAATTATAAATAAGGACAACAAAAAATGTAAACAAAATTCTACAGTAAACTAATTTGTTGTTGTGGAACAGAAAATAAAAATTTACCTTTATCGTCGAGTAAGTAATCTTATTCAATTATTAGTTTCTATAACCTCTCATTATTCACAAAGATTTTCTGCAGATTTAATGAAATTTTAACTGAAAAGATGGCACTTGAAGAATTTGTAGAAATGTGCAAACAAATTCAATATAATGATGAAAACAAATAATTGATTCTACCATTGATTTATTGACAAATTTATTTTGAGCATATGTTCCTAAACAACGTCCAATTTGCATTCAAACTCGGTAATCATACATCGTGGAAACGTTTTAAATGTCTCAAATGAATCCTAAAATTTGTTTCTAGAATACTGCATTCTTAGTTTAACCACCATACATTGCCGGTCACTCCCTTTAAAACGATTAAGAGTTTGAAGAAAGCTAAACTGTGCCCAACCTTGGCACTGCCATGCAATCTTTATTTTTTAGATTATCAATTTTAAAAAAAATTATATTTCCATTTAATCTTGAATGATATAAAATTTAACATTAGGTAATTTGAAAATTATTTTTTAAGCTAAAAATTTTAGTCGAAAACCATACATAATTTGTATAAATGTTTGTTCTAAATAGTAAACAGTCCCTTTAAGATTACACCAAGCTGTGAAGGAATATTTCTGGTTTGCAAATGGCAGGGAAAACAGGAGGACTGTGCAAAACTAGGTCAGTGGATCGGAATATCTTCCTTTTGTAGATGTCATCTAATTTTTATTTTCATTTTGAAGAATTGCGTCATATTCACAAGCAATATAAATAAACTTTACTTTACAGTTTATGATTGAATTTTGAAGAATTGCGTCATATTCACAAGCAAAATAAATAAACTTTACTTTACAGTTTATGATTGAATTTTGAAGAATTGCGTCATATTCACAAGCAATATAAATAAACTTTACTTTACAGTTTATGATTGAATTTTGAAGAATTGCGTCATATTCAGAAGCAATATAAATAAATTTTACTTTACAGTTTATGATTGAATTTTTAAAAAGCAAGTATACTTAATCCCGTAAAATTGATTACGCAATTTTAAAGACAACTCGGTTTTGAAAATTGATGCAATTGATGATTACAGTAACTATGAGGAAAACGGATACTGGGTTTTGTTGTTCCTTCAACACCAAGAATTTGGCAGGAAACTTTGCTCCGGTAATAATTTAAGTTTTATTTGTTAAAAAGACCGTTCATTGATTTGAGTTATAATTTCACAGACACGCTAAACAGGTTTATCTTCGGTATTTAGTTCTACTTTTTCGATGAAAAAACTTATTTCCTCGCTGTGTATCTATCCGTAATAGATAGCCTAATTAATGCCTGAATAGATGAACTGTCCCTATGCGTAAGCGTAATATTAATTATAAATTATATTACTATGTTTATTTTTGGAAAACACTTTCTCACAAAAGCATGACTTATTCATTTATAATGCAAGAAAACTTTATGAATTTTCAGAATCAACCACCTGAAAACCTAGAGAAACCCTAATAGCTTCAACATTATTGATCCTATCAAGGTTTCAAGGGTACCGGTGTGAATCGGGCATTGCCATCTTGAAATTTCGTTTACATATTCCCTTTAACTCTGAAAACCTAATTAAACCATAATTGTTATTGCTTTATTTCAGATTGAGTCTCCCACCCCTGATTTTCCTTATATAGATCCGTATTCGCATTGTTACAAAGCATCAAGTGATGCCAATAGGACAGCATATGGCAATTGCAGTTATCAACTTCAGAGCGCCTCAAGTTCAGAGAACTATAGATCATACCGTTATAGTGGAGCTTTGAGGGGGTAAAGTATTTAAGTATTTTATTGCCCTTTGACCAACATTATCGACATATGATACCCCAACTGCAGGGGGAGTTTAAGTTTACTTAACGTCACTTGGGTACAGTTAAGTATAATAATCACCCGCTCTGCAAAGTTTTTGTGAAAAAATTCGCACATTTTCATCTCTAAAGATGATAAAACATAAAAAATCGTGAAATTAAATTTTTTTTTACTAAATCACAGGTTTCTTCAACCAATTTGTCTACAAAACATCCTTTGCTGCGCTTTGGATGTTTTGTAGACAAAATTGGTCTTGGAAACCCTTGGTATATAAAAAATTCCCTTGACCCTATCATAATGAGGGGGGGGGGGGTGTTTTCAATCCCTCCCCTTGTGTTTTTTGGTGAAAACCTTAGAAACTTCTTCTTCACTTTAACAAAGGTGGGGGAAGGGTTACCCCCCCCCCCATCTATATTAGACAAAAATAAACTAATCGAGATTTTAGTACATTGTTTGTAGCTCTGACATGATTTTAAACATGCTTTATTAGATATGAAACTGATGACACAAACTACTGCCCTAGACTAAAAGGTTTGTTACAAATTTAGAAAACTTTAAAGGGACTGTAAACGTGATTTTAAGTGACCATCCATGCAAAAATGGCAATTTTTACAAACAGCCTTTTCTGATCAAGTTTGAATTAGACATCAATGTCAATAATTTGGGAAGCAAAAGTGACTCCACATTTCTAGTGAAGGAAAACGGATGATATTGATCAGAATTAATCACATTTAAACCTAAAACATTTTCCACACATTATTAATCAGATAAAGATTTCAAACTTAAGCTTAATGTCCCTTGAACCATATTGAATATTAAATATATAGAGAAAACCATGAATACGTAGATCCTGCTGATGGAGAAGGTAGGATGGCAAGGATACTTGGAACCCCGTCACCACAAAACCAAAAAGCGAAAACATGGCAAAGTGAAGAAATACGAAGTACAAATATGGCATCAAAGGATCTAGGGTTTTCTTTTCTGATCCATGCAAATTTAGCAGATGAATATAAAACATTATCAGATGAACTGAGAACATCAAACAACTTTTTTCAGGGTTTTGAGGTTTGTCTCTTATTATTTGTAACTTTTGTAAAAAAAAACTTATTAAATCTTGTATCATTCAAGGGTCTGTAAGTGCGACCTTCCCTTCAAAGGTAGCAATGCCCTATACCCTTATCACCTTTGTCTGATCGTTATTATGTGAGATATTTGCGTTTATCTTGGTTAATTTAATAGAGAAATCACAGTTGAAATAATCAGTTTTTTTTAAATTAAAAAAATTGTGTACTGAACTTAGGATAAGTTATTTACTCCTTCTAATGCTTTTGCAGGGGGAGAGATTTAATGATGAAAGCAGTTTATTCATTTATTAGCTTCGCATTGACTCTGGGATTATATACTGAAAATATAGACAATAATTAACTAGGTTATACTTACAATTGTTGATATTAATGAATAAGATTAACATAATTCAATGAATTTTATTTACCTAAATTTGCAGGAATCTCTAAAAAGGAGAAAAACCCTCAACTCTTTTCTTCCATATTCAGTGAAGGTTAAACTTGAACTGGGGTGGGCTAGGCATTGTACTATGCAGATAGTTAAATAATAAGGAATGTCGTCTTACAAAGAGCAATTTAACCTTACCATATTGATATCTAATTCATTGTCGATCAGACAAAGCTTTCAAGGGTACCGTTGTGAATTGGACATTGCTATTTTGGGGCCTATAAAGGGTCGCTTTAAATTACGCTTACAGTTTCTTTAAATGTTTTTGTTCTATTTCCAGGTTCTGGTTCATTCTCCGTTTGAGTTTCCTGTAGTATCCAAGAAAAGTACTGCTGTCTCAATTGGAGCTGAAACTTTTATCGGTGTTTCATCACAAGCTACAATATCGTAAGCTTTAAGGGACTGTAAGAGTAATTTTAAGTGAACTTCCATTCACAGAGGTTAAAGTCCGTTAAAAACGTTAAATAAAAAGCTATAACGGTAAATTTCGTTATTTGCTGATCAAAATTGCATGATTTTTTTTTAATTTTAAAATTTTCGCGTTTTGATGTTTTTAAATGGTGTCTTCCATGTTTATAAACCATTGATACAATGCATTTCGCCGTTAACGCCGTTAACGCCGTTAATACTGTAATATACCGTTATTGTGTCGTTCATGATGTTTTACCGTTAACAAAATGGTTTAGCACTTTGCGCCGCTAACGTTACATATATCGCACCGTTAATTTTGTTATATATAACGGTACCATTAACGGCTAGATTGTTGAAAAATATTCCGTTAATGCCGTTAATAAAATTGAGATTGTTAACTAACGGTAATATTTAAAAAAAAATGCCGTTAACGGAAGGAACATTCCGTTCATACCTTTAAAATTAACGGCTAACTGAAATTTTTGATTTTTTAACAGTTGGAACTAACTGTTGGAACTTGCCCAGCCCTATCACTGCTCATTGAGAACAAAGATCTCCCTGTATATATCTCACAAATATTGCTCAGATTTCCATAAATCCCGCGGAGTTACGCTCGTGTACAGTAGGAACTCAACACAGCTAACGTTACTTGCACAAACAAATTTAGGTCCAAGGCGGTTTTGAAAAGAGCGTAAGTAGATATTTATTTTCAGTCAATATCAATATTTTTAATTTAAATAAGCTAGAAAACAAAGTGTTTGTAGATTATCAGCATTTATAAAAACTTAAATAGAAAAAATCCTTGATTAGTCAAAAGTTTAACCCTATAAAGGCTGGGGGTCTGAATCTATGAATAGCCGGGGGGGGGGGGGGTTGGGCGCCCCCCCCCCTAGAAAAAGGCCTCAGAGAATAGGTATAGGGTTGAAATGCATGTTCATAGCCCAGTTTTCCATGGCAAGCTCAAAAATAAATAGACCGATAACTTTAATAGTTTGGGTGCTAGGAAGGGTGAAAAAATGCATAAAAAAGGATAAAAAATGAAGAAATTTTTTTTAAAAATTTTTTAAAAACAAATATCAAAGTGTGACACATGTTTCTACATGCAATTTTTGCAGACCGGACTTTTTTCCGCCCTGTACCCTGCCCTATAAATTAAAAGAAAATATTTTTGTGACAAAAATTCCTTTAAATTACTTTTCATTAAAAGTCACAAAATTTCACGGTGATAGTGTCAAAAATGAGAGTGCTAGAACTAAAAAACTACAGGGGTTTAGGGTTACAGAGTACAGTATTGAATCGAACACGCCACTCAACAACTGGAGGTTCACTTGAAATTACGCCAACAATCCCTTTAACCCTTTCACGGTGGACTATGCCAGTGGGGTTGGTCAAATAGGCCTATAGGATTAGGCCGGGTACTGTAAAAAGTCTGAACGCGCCATGGGAGTTGTCATAGTTAGCCCTCCGACGGGACTATGCCAAGAAAATTTACCACTGTCGTATGTTAGTCTGGTTAGGGCGACACGGCCGACGTACTCAGAATATGGAACCGGGCTACCATAGGATCGGGTTAGTACAGCTGTTATCTGGCAGGCCGGTACAAACTGGGCAGGTCCTGTTCGTATTCAAATTTACTACGGCCCAGAGTGCCTTACTATCCAAACAGAAATATATGATTTGAAATATGTTTCTATAAAGTCCAATTTTTCAAGGCATTGAAAAAATAGAAAAAAATATGAATAAAATACAAAAAGTTAAACCTCTAACTTTATTGGTTAAAATTAAAGGAAATTTGAAAATTGACAAATGTATAATATGATGATAATAATTAAGCAGAAACGTTCAAAAGATTGTTGGTACCCTCATCATCTTATGAAAACTCTTGAGTCAAACGCCTTTTAAAAGTCTAAATTAAGTTTCCATCCCCTTATGGGGTGTTTTGGGAAACTTTTTTCTATTTTTTCTCTCAGGGTCAAAATTTGGCATTGTGTTAAAAAACAAATGTTTAGAATAGAATACACAATTTTGAAACCTGATGCACATTCCTAACTATTTGGATTAGGCTTAAAGGGAGTATTCGCGAAAAATTAAAGGGGGTTTAGGACGGCTTATGTCGAAAAATTGTCGATGGTGATCCCTATTAATCTTACTTCTACATGTTGCGTCTCCAATGAGAAAATTGTTATAAAAGACTCATACCGAAGAACGAAGTGTCCATACAAATTCAGAAAGTTGCAATATTTGACTTAGATCGTATAAAAATAAATTTAATTCCAAACAAATCATTCAAATATTAAAACCTATAATCATCGATAATTTTTAGATGCATTCGAATAAAATTAATATTGCATAATATATTTTGTCGCTTGGTGTCGTAAGTGTCTATTTCATGTGGAACTAGAGTTCTGGGACCAGAAGCGTCAAGAGCAGAGACACCTAGCGGCCAAATAACCGTCCTGTAAAGTATATTTGTGTGGACGCTACGTTCCTTGGAACACTCCCTTTCATATTTAAAATAATTTTGAAAGTAAACTTGTTCATCTAGATCTGACAGTGTAAAAGACATGTCACCAACAAGAAGGAGATGTCTGCTTCCAGAGGAAACCAATGTTCCTAAAATGAATGTTAAATTGGAAGCATTTGATACTTACAATCAGGTTGGGGGGTAACACCTGTACTGAGAATTTAAACTAAATAAATACAGCTGAAAGAAGACCGTGAAAAATAAAAGTGTGGAGAAGGGAGACGACAATTATACTAAAGTTTTGCTTTCAAATATGCAAATGAGCATGAAGCACACCAATTGTGGTTTTACCCAAATCACATGAAAAGTTGATTTTAATCTATTGGTGTAAATGTATTTGACTTATGATAACATACAATTAACATACAGGGTTTCCCATAAAATATTCGACTTTAATGATGACTTGGAACTCATTAAACATGAAAATCTGAAGATTGAATTTGACGTTTGCTCTGAATTCATACTTGCAATGGTAAACTAATCGATTTGACACAGAAAGAAAAATGTGAAAAAATGATTGAATTATATCCGTTAAATCCTTTTTGAGTAACCTTATATTACATATGTCATATGTCATATTATATATTACATATTACATATTACATATTACATATTACATATGTCGTCTTCCTAGTCCGCAGTAAAATTGGTCTCACCGTTAAAGTTAAATTTTGAAGATTAAAATATCTAAAATATAAAAAAAAAACTTTGTCTTCGTCTTCTTCAAGAAGACAAGAAGAAAAACATAGTTTAACAGTTTGACAGAAAAAGTAAAAGGAATAATACTTTGAAAATATTTATGCCAGGAAAAAGACTATGGCTTTCCAAAGTCTACTGCGGTCACATTGAATACTTTGATACTTTTACTAAACCAATATGTATTTTAAGTAGAATGAAAGAATTCCTAAAAATGTTTTAATTATTTGAGAGTTGACTAATAATATGTTTATGCACAATGATTGTAGATACAGGGTGTCCCAAGAAACATGACACTTGGTGAATAGTTTTGAATGTCTTCTTCCATAATTTGTTAAGTTGTTAGATACTAAAGAAAATAATGAAAATATTATAGTAAAAAATATTCAAGCAAAATATTTGTTTAACGAAATAAACCACAAAAAGCCTAATACAGTATATGGAAGACGACATTTGTAACTATTTTATCAACTGTCATGTTTAATGGGACACCCTTTATATTAGTTCGTCTTAACAATACCAATCATGACAAAATTAATCGACATTACTTTTGCTCATTTTATATATTTTTTATTGTTTTAATTAATCTGAACCATCATACACTATCCTATTATATTTGCATTGAAAAATAAATATTGTTGGTGTGATAAATTAAAGGAAATGTTCGCGAATAGTTAAAGGGGGTATAAGCTGATCCAGAATTAAATTCTGTTTCGGTCGCTACTAAAATAATCATGCAACTCAGTGAATTTTTATGGGCTGGGGCTGTGTGCTCTTTGGTGTAAGGCGTTTTTAACCATTTTCAACGCAACAGACAGAAATTAATTGAGTAGCGATCGAAACCAAATTTAATTCGGGATCCTTATATTTTTCGCGAGCACTTCCTTTAAGGCGAATTGTCTGATTGAGTGTGCTGCTACTACTATGCTAAAGTTGTGTGGATGTGTACCTTATTATTTTCCAACTCTACCAACATCATTTATACAAGAAAATGTTAGAATGGGCAAATATCCAAACAGTTCTGGATTCTGCTTGTTTGAAAATCTGGTCTGTCTCAGTGAAATTCAAGGTAATTATTATATTTTACCTTTAAATGGACTATACGCCTAATTGAAAGTGAACTTCAATTTGAAAAAGGGAAATCCCCGATTTATAAATGTACCCTTAAACCCTTTGACAATCAATTTGTAGAAAAATCATAATTGAAAATTATCAGCTTTTATAAAGCAAAAACATTGATATCTAATAAAATTTGAGCAAACAAACCTTTGAAAGATATTATTTTGAATCTAGAATTGCTTTCTTTTCGTGGAGAGACACTTGGAACTATGTTTACATTACCATTAAAGCCTTATTCTGAGAAAAAAAATGAAGCTATAATTTCTAACAAATATAGTTCCAGGTGTTTCATGGCAATAGCGCTGGCTCATTTCACATTTAATGTTAACTAAAAAGTTTTTTTTTAATTTTTACAAAAATTTTATAATTTTTTACTTGAAGTAAATAGATTATTAAAGACAATAGGTGGCAACAGAGAAATTTTCTCCCATTAGTTGACATGTTTTCCAAGATTAGATAAAAAAATGTAAAAACAGAAAAAAGAACATAAAGTGTACTTATTTCACTGTAAAATGAGCACTTTTCGTCTCTATTGTTATTTTTTTTTGTTGGACAAATAAAACTGTTGACTCTTGTCATGTAAGAGTAAAGGTGCGCTGAGAGTGTACAAATATTACGTTGCCATCTATTGAAATTGATACTCTACTTGATAGTATAAAAGTATTCCTTCAATATTCTTGAATATTAAGGATATCTGAATGCATTTGCTGCTGCTGAATCTGGAGAAACGGATGGAACTGATGAAGGATTGACTTGTCATTGCCCGGATGATTGTGACCAGATCTTATATAATAAGGTTTGGAAGTATAGGGTTCCACTTTACAAAACTTAGCGTATGATGGTTTGCAATTCATGATAATTTTGCAACCTTTTGCTTTGCGCAAAAAAGTAATTGAGTCAATGCCACAAACTCAATTTTTCTATGATTTCTAAATTCTTGCAACCATAGATATTTCTAAATATATGAAGATCAAATAATCTGAGCTTGAAATACCAAAGATTTATAGCATCAGGTTGCAAAGATATTGGGACTAGACAATTTTAGATTGTGGCAAAGACTTAATTTTTTTTAAACAAATTGATCTAGGAGGTGTCTACGGGAACAGCTAAGGATAATAACACGGCAAGTGAATTAAATTATTTTTTTCTAAATTTCTTTGACAAAAGTCAAAACATAATTCTTTGTAATATTCGGGTTTTGGGACTTAAATTCCACTTTATTTAGGACATAAATTCTACTTTATGTAGGACATAAATTCTACTTTATTTAGGACTTAAATTTTACTTTACTTAGGACTTAAATTCTACTTTATTTAGGACTTAAATTCTACTTTACTTAGGACTTAAATTCTACTTTATTTAAACTTTTGTGGTAACTGCAAATAGGAATTTTATCTAAAAGCATTATTTTTCCCAACACCCAAAAGATGATCAAATGATAGAAAATTACATATTTTTTATGATCTGTAAGCGTAATTTTAAATGACATTCCTTGTAAAGATGGCAATGCGGAATGGTTTTATTCTCAATGGTCCCCCCTTAAAACCTTTACCTGTTCAATACTGTGGAAGATATTATGGTTTTTCTAGATTAAAAAGAGATTAATTTTCATATTTACATTATGTTTTCCTGCATGGGAAGTAACTTTTGTAGAGAAAATAATCAGTTTTTAAAATTATAACATTGATAGCTATATTATACTTGATCTGCAAACATCTTTGTTTGGAGAATCTTTTTAAATTACGCTTACAGTCCCTTTAAATATTAAATCTTTAATTATTAATTTGTATTCCTCCAGGGCCTACTAAATACTGTCTTATGTCGTGGAAAAAATGAAAAGAATCAACCAGATTTAAATCAGAATACTTTTAACCATCTTAATTGTTTTAATACTACATTCAAACAAGAATACCAAGCTTTGAAGAACCTTCATTATCACAACAACAACAATAACAACAACAGCAACCTTGGAACTAATGAGGAAATTAGTGATTGCGTGGAAAGGTATTGGGTTTAATTAAATAACCTTTTCTCCCAGAAAGAGCATACTTTTTTTAGGCTTTAAGGCAACTTTTCTTAACGTTACGTTAACAAAAAGTTGCCTTGAGGCCTAGATTTTTGAGGGATCTCAAAAAGTTCTAGCCCGGTTTTTCATTTTATTGCTCATTTTCAAATCAACAAAAAATGTTACATTTTACTTCATCCTTTTATGAAACTATTGAAAAAAAAACATTTTTGTCATCTATAAAGCATCAACATTTAGATTTTTAAATTATTAGAACATTTAAGAGAAAGATGTCTAATACAGCGCTAGTTCATGTTTACTACAGAGATATGGGTTTAACTAAATTTACAAAAGACCAGCTGTACGGATGGCAGGATATATTAGGTAAATAATATTATTAAAGGGACTGTACGGATGACAGGATATATTAGGTAAATAATATTATTATAATATTATTGAAGGAACTGTACGGATACCAGAATATATATTAAGTAAATAATATTATTAAAGGGACTGTACGGGTACCAGGATATATTAGGTAAATAATATTATCAAAGGGACTGTACGGGTACCAGGATATATTAGGTAAATAATAATAGGGACTGTACGGATACCAGGATATATTAGGTAAATAATATTATTAAAAGGACTGTACGGATACCAGGATATATTAGGTAAATAATATTATTAAAGGAACTGTACGGATACCAGGATAAATTAGGTAAATAATATTATTATAATATTATTAAAGGAACTGTACGGATACCAGAATATATTAGGTAAATAATATTATTAAAAGGACTGTACGGATACCAGGATATATTAGGTAAATAATATCATTAAAGGAACTGTACTGATACCAGGATATATTAGGTATATAATATTATTAAAAGGACTGTACGTACGGGTACCAGGATATAATAGGTAAATAATATTATGAAAGGGACTGTACGGATACCAGGAAATATTAGGTAAATAATATTATTAATGGGACTGTACGGATACCAGGATATATTAGGTAAATAATATTATTAAAGGAACTGTAAGGATACCAGGATATATTAGGTAAATAATATTATTTAAGGGGTTGTACGGATGGCAGGATATATTAGTAAATAATATTGTTAAAGGGACTGTACGGCTGGCAGGATATATTAATTAAATAATAATATTAAAGAGACTGTACGGATACCAGGATATATTAGGTAAATAATATTATTAAAAGGACTGTGCAGATGGCAGGATATATGAGCTAAATAGTATAATTAAAGGGACTGTACGGATACCATGATAAATTAGGTAAATAATATTATTAAAGGGACTGTGCGGATGGCAGGATATATTAGGTAAATAGTATAATTAAAGGGAATGTAATCTTAATAACAAGAGATCCTTTATGGGAATGTGAAAGATTTTTCGGCTTAACAGAGCTAAACTTTGATAATACCTGCACCTGTATTTTTTCCTTCAGTTGAAATGCGCAGGTCATTTTTGTAGAGAAGCTACATTTGAAAATAATCAGTTTTCAAAATTATAAACATTAAAACCTTCTTACTTACCTTCAGACCTAATAAGACACATTCTTCTGCCGCTTTAGTAATTGTAAATTGGCGGTACAGGCCAAAGTAGAAATTTGTAAAGGTTGGCCTAGCTCGGATATTCAAATGTACACCGGTGGTGTTCTGGGACATAAACCCTCCCAGGTGGTTTGAGTTTAATATTAAGCTTTCAATTAGTAATGCTGCTATAAAAATAAAACACCATTGTATGTGCCTTAGATTTATTTATGTCATCCAGTTGACATACAGTAAACAAACAGAAAACAGATTCTAAATACAAGAATAATTTAATAAAATATAAAGATTTATGACAATAGCTAAAACTGTAGCAGTGACTTATGCCTCAATGAAGAGGATAAGCACTGTACTTTAACCTTACAAGCTAATAACTCCAATGAAGAAGTTATAACATGAAGGTTCTTTCAACAATTGCTCAAAATGTAACAATGTAACATGCTCCAATTAAGGGGATGCACACTGTACATTTAGCCAAACAATACAAATAACTCCATTTAAGAAGTTAATGAATGTTGACTCTTTGACTGGTCCCTTTAAATAAAAAGAGGGAACGGTCCCTTTATTGCTGTAAGTTAAAATACTTCAGTATATTTAATGCACTGAGGAAAGAAAATATTAGGTTTAAAAAATAATATAAATTTCCTCACCTAATTTTTTCCGGCTATTACTGTTTCACAATTTATATTAAACTGAGGAAAATTTGTAAAACACGAGAGATATTAACGAGAGAAAGCCGAGTACGTGTCAACTTTATACCGGAAGTTTGGGTCACGAAACCTCTAATCCTATTTTAATTATACAAGTCGATTTATCCCGCAGAACACTGCCGGGCAAGAAAGTAGAAAAAAGAAAAAACCAAAAAAAAAGAAAATGATGGTACTATTTCTTGCTTTTCTTCTTCTTGTTCTTAGCCAGGAAACTCTTCACGAATCTTGCAGCTCCATCATCCAAGTTGAGGACAACTTGCTGCTTCCCTTCCTTTGTCTCAATCAGTTCCATATCCAGACTTGAATCTGAATCACTAGAAGATACTTCAACCTCTATAACTCGTCTTTGCTCAGAGAAGGCTCTTTCAACTTCCACAACCTGTCTTGACTCAGAGGAGGCTCTCTGTTTTTTAATAGCTTCTTCAATCCTCTTTGCCTTTCTTTTCAGATGTTTTGTAACATTACTCTTTTCCTTGGAATTGTTATTTATCTCACACTCAGGTGAAGAAATCCCTTGAGATATCTCAATTATCTTAGAGAATTTCACAACAAATCTTTTAGGGATAATAGGATAATTCTTGGAAGCTGATGTTGCTGATGCTCTGCTTAAGACTAATGCACTAGAAGAAGGTCTTAAGACTGCTGCAGCAAATACACAGCCAGCTGAAGAGCGGGAACCCATTTTTGCTGGCTCCTCAGGATAGAGATTTGTTATAGACTGAACTTTATTTCCATTAAAATCAGGAATGTCTATAGTTCTATTGGTTGAATTCCAGCCAATACCAAGATACTTTGACTTTGATGGATTCATGGGTTTTGGGATTTTCTTTAAACCCCATCTTGAAACGTTTTCCACCAAAGTTTCTTGAATGGTCCACTTCAATGATGTGGGTAAGTTCTGCCTTCTAAGGATTGGTTGGAGAACTTCAACTGTATGATAAAGTATCCTTCCCAATGAAGCTGGGCCTCCAGAAGTAATATTTGACCAGGTTGGCATCATCTTGCTAAGTTCAGCAACACTAATGATTGGAGATGTTTCAGTAGATTCCACCGTTACTGGAGACAATGCTGGTACATGGCCAAACTTAGTGTAGTAGTTCTGTAGCTCTGGCTTGAAGGTTAGTTTGGATAATGTTTTCATGATGAAGGAATTGAACCAATGTATGAAATCAGTAGGTTGGAGCAAACTTGACGTATAAGCGATGACTGGTGAGGGGAACCAATGAAGAAGCAGACATGTTGATAAGGTGGTAAGTGCATTCTGCAGTCCATAAATTTCTCCAATTAGAAATAAATCTTGGCCTCTCAGCATAGGGTTCACACCCCACTTTCCAAACCCAGAGGAGACAGTCCACAACCTGTTCAGAAGACCTCCTGTCAACATAAAATTGACTGTTGAAAGATTGGAAGATGGTAAGTCCCATCCAGAAAGGGTGAGAAGCATACCTAAGGTGACATAGTTATTTAGGTGGATCTGCTTGCTTTCCTTGGTGTTTAGTATCTTGTTGAAGAATTTAGCTACTCCCATCAGCTCATTGGGATCCAATATAAAGGGAGTGAAGGGCAGAGATTCTAGGAGATCATACCAGACCATGTCAACTGTATCTTTCAGGTCTAAGCTGTAAATACCTTCATTGGTAGTTTTCTTTATAAAAGATGCTTTCCAGGGTATTATGATCTGGTACCTATAGTAGTAGTCTCCAAAGCAGATAACAGCTGGCTGTGGTCCACTATCAATTTCCTTAAGTATGGCTCCATGCTTCACAGTTGAAGTTTGGCCGGCTCCAGTCTGAATCATGGTAACTCGGAAAGGTATCATCTTGTTGGTTTTCTTAACAACCATTTTTTCCACATTAGTTTTGAATCTAAGAACCTCCTCTCTACTAGACAATCCAAGTCGGATAGTTCTGACTATTTGACAAGATTTGTTTGAAACCTGTCTGTGCAATAAAACAGATTCAATGGAAGAGCCAACCCAAGAGAACCAGGATCCTCCAATCTTTGAGAGCTGAGTATATTGCAGAATAATCTTCAGATGATCAGCAACTGGGGCTCCCGCTACAAGATTTTGGGTAGTATAAACAAAATCAGATGGGGAAAGCTCATTCTCCTTACAAGTCTGCAGAAAATACTGGTAACAGTCTTGACGGCTTTTCTCATGATTGTGTTTTTCTGAACACAGGTTTGTAAATGACTCTTCCATGAGTACTACAGGCTTTAATGGTTTCTCCAGATCATTCATAGTAACCAGTTTGGGGAAATCTGTTTCAAACTCCCATCTTCTGTTAATTGTAAAGAGTTTCACTTTCAGTGATCTTTCCTCTGCTGGATCATCCATACTACCAACATATTTATGGTGTTTAAACTCAAGAAAATTAAATTTAACAATATAAAGCTATTAACCCAGCTTAGAAAGTGGGTTAAAGTTTATATATAGGTAAAGAAGAACAGTAAAGGAATAAATCTGTAAACCCAGCTAATAAAGTGGGTCACAGTTTATTACTAAACAAAGCTGCAAACCCAGCTTATTAAGTGGATCACAGTTTGTTTTAAAAATAAAGTTTTAGAAAAAATTCTAAAAGAATAAATCTGTAAACCCAGCTTATAAAGTGGATCACAGTTTATTACTAGAAACAAAGCTGCAAACCCAGCTTTAAAAGTGGGTCACAGTCTATAATACTAGATTTAGTAACTCAGGAATATAGGAATTTTATCAGCTACTTTATCATACAGGAGAAGGAACAGCATCTGTATTCCAACCTTGGTATTATCTAGCTTCACATGGAACTCAGAGCCAAGCATCTGGAATATGTTGACACCAGGGATCTGCGGTCCACTGTTTGGATCATGTTGAAAATTCAAGTTCTCTTTAGAAATGGTTTTCCAACTCTTGAAGGCATAGTGAAGCTGAGGAGAATCAACCATGATTATGACTCCAGAAAAGGTTTGCTGTTGTGACTTCATCCCTGAGTTTATCAGTTTCCAAGTAAACAATTTTCTGGATATTTTCATAGAACCGACTAGATCCTTCTCTGTCTGTGGGATTTCAGGGTTAGAATGGGTTTCATTCTCAAGCAGGTACTTGTTGGACACAAGGTTAGCTTCTTCAGTAGAATTCAGGGTAGAATCGGCCAGCTGGCCAGTAACATCTTTAGTGAAAGGAGTACAATCAATCTTTTTCAGCAGACTGTCTCCAGTCTTCAGTTGCGGAAAATACTTCTTTTTTAATTGATCTACTTTCCGCCTCCAAAATATGAGCTTTCTATCAATATCCAGGATTGTTGCATTGGTAGCAGCTTCATCCAGATCATAGTCTGTGTAGTCTTCAGCCACAGCGTTGTAGGTCTCCACCAGTTTCTTTACTCTTCCTTCCTCACAAGCAACATATTCCAAAAACTGCATCTTTGACAAATCCTCAATATTGATTTTAAGTATGTTGTTAATCTCAGAAGCAGTGTTTGTCAGCTTGTCTATACATCTAATATGTCTGTTACTGAGTACTACACTCACAGGTAAGGTTGGTTGAAGAACCACATTACGTTCTTGAGTCTGGTAGTTGTTAGACAAAAGGTTAGCTTCTTCAGTAGAATTCAGGGTAGAATCGGCCAGTTTGCCAGTAACATCTCTAATGAAAGGAGAACAATCAATCTTTTTCAGCAGAATGTCTCCAGTCTTCAGTAGCGGAAAATACTTCTTTTTTAATTGATCTACTTTCCGCCTCCAAAATATGAGCTTTCTATCAGTATCCAGGATTAACGAGTCTGTCACAGGCTCATCCAGATCAAGGTTTGTGTAGTCGTCAGCAGCAGCTGTGTACACCTCCATCAGGTCCTTTACTCTCTCTTCTTCATTAGCAACATAACCCAGAAACTCTGTCTCTAACATATTTTCAATGTTGATTTTTAGAATGTTGTTTATCTCAGAACAGACATTTGCAACCTTGCTGATGCATCTAACGTTTGTATCCATTTTGGTTTTGAATTCATTCAAAGAGAATGACTTTTCTGCGACCATAGATTGCTTTAGAGCTTCTCTGAGTTTGAACTGGTCTTTAGCCGATATTAGATTTAGTTCAATATCAATTTTTATACTTCTCAGAACTTGGATATCTTGAGGGTGGAAAACATAAATACTTGCAACTTCATTTCTCACAGATTCTAGATCTTCCACTAATTTACCAAGGTCTCTATATTCAGCAGCTCCCAGGATAAATCTAAACAAGTTCTTAACTCTATGAAGCTTCTTCTGCACCAGGTTTCTATCTTGTTCATCAATCTCAGAACTAGACTCTAATGTACCATCCTTAACCTGTGCTGAGCCTTCATCATTTAAGGATAATCTATCAAGTTTATCCTTAATAGTACTTTGGTTATTCAAAATATATCCATTTGGATCTGTTGTTTCCCCGATTTCTAAAGAATTGGGGAGAGGGTTTTGTGTAGGAACTTCTCTATCAGGTTTGTCTTGCAGGATCCTCTGCTCCACATAGTGGCTCCATACACTCTCAATCAGTTTTGCCTTTAGTCCCTGAGAAGAGAGACCAAAGTTTTTCAATTCTTCTCTAAGGATTCGCACCTTGAGAGAACAAACTTCTTCATAAGTGAAGTTATTCATCTTCATATCATACTTTAAAAAGAGTTGCTAAATCCATTTATAATTTTACAACCCCCCAAAAAGCTGAAGATTTAAGTTTTCAAATTTTGAAATCTATAAATTTAAACTTATAAATTGCCAAAAATTAGAATTGTTCTGGGACATAAACCCTCCCAGGTGGTTTGAGTTTAATATTAAGCTTTCAATTAGTAATGCTGCTATAAAAATAAAACACCATTGTATGTGCCTTAGATTTATTTATGTCATCCAGTAGACATACAGTAAACAAACAGAAAACAGATTCTAAATACAAGAATAATTTAATAAAATATAAAGATTTATGACAATAGCTAAAACTGTAGCAGTGACTTATGCCTCAATGAAGAGGATAAGCACTGTACTTTAACCTTACAAGCTAATAACTCCAATGAAGAAGTTATAACATGAAGGTTCTTTCAACAATTGCTCAAAATGTAACAATGTAACATGCTCCAATTAAGGGGATGCACACTGTACATTTAGCCAAACAATACAAATAACTCCATTTAAGAAGTTAATGAATGTTGACTCTTTGACTGGTCCCTTTAAATAAAAAGAGGGAACGGTCCCTTTATTGCTGTAAGTTAAAATACTTCAGTATATTTAATGCACTGAGGAAAGAAAATATTAGGTTTAAAAAATAATATAAATTTCCTCACCTAATTTTTTCCGGCTATTACTGTTTCACAATTTATATTAAACTGAGGAAAATTTGTAAAACACGAGAGATATTAACGAGAGAAAGCCGAGTACATGTCAACTTTATACCGGAAGTTTGGGTCACGAAACCTCTCAATCCTATTTTAATTATACAAGTCGATTTATCCCGCAGAACAGGTGGGGTGTGAGGACAAAGCTTTGGGAACTCATTTTAATTGTGAACTTTGCAAAATTTTTAAACCGTTTTTAGCCATTTGAAGTTTATTAGATACAAAACAAACAGCTAAGCCAAATATTTATTTATATAAAGTTGTAGTCTCTGTTCGTCTGTTTTTTTTTGTATGTCCGATTTGTCAATTTTGACTGATTTGCCTCAAATTCTGATTGCAGAACTCAGGAGTATGTTTCTAGCTTGGTTTTGAGATTCTAAGTTTAGTGGACCGCTTTTGTAAGAAAAAATAGATAAAATCGGAACTTCTGACAAAGCGCGGGTAAACGGAGGCAATTATCAAGCTACTAAATAACATAGGTATCAATCTAGTAAATAACATAGTTATCAAGCTAGTAAATAACATAGTTATCAAGCTAGTAAATAACATAGTTATCAATCTAGTAAATAACATAGTTATCAAGCCTAGTAAATAACATAGTTATCAAGCTAGTAAATAACATAGTTATCAAGCTAGTAAATAGCATAGTTATCAAGCTAGTGAATAACATAGTTATCAATTAATGTAATTTCAAGTATCGAATTCACAACGTTGCTAATAAAAACAACTTTTTAGGCCAATTTGGTGGAACAGGTGGTCTATGTATTGGATTCAGTTTACTGAGTGGATGTGAACTCATCTACTTTCTTCTGTGCAGACGTTGGCTTAAACAATAATGAAATCTTCTTTTACTGATTTGCATGTCGGATTTACAACTATATCCTTTAAACCTTGTAGTTTGATCATCAATTGCAACTAAATCTGTATTTTTAGCTAAATATACAGACAATCCAGAGTAAAGGGTGTCCCAATAAACAGACCATCTGGAGTAAAGGGTGTCCCAATATATAGACCATCTAGATTGAAGGGTGTCCCAATTATAGACAATCTAGAGTACAGGGTGTCCCCAAATACTGACAATCTAGAGTAAAGGGTGTCCAAATAAAGATGGGAATTGATTGAGGAGTTCTAGTTAGTCTAATAGTTAATAAGTATCATGTAGAAGTGTAATAATATCTGATTTTAATCAAAGTTATAATGCAAGGAAAGTTAATTGCAGTAGCGTATACTCTGCGTACACTATGAAACCAGTTCTCTCTGGGCGGAATTTGTAAACAAGAATAGATACATCTGTGTTCGTTTATTATCCGATTAGGATAAAAGCATTGAATTTTGAAAATTTTGATAATTCACATAATAGTTTCCTATGACCAGAATATTTGATCGATTTTTTTCTATGTGGAAGAAGGATTCCATGTCAGGCTGTAACATCCATCTTGTGTTTACATTACCATCCAGAGACAGTGCACTGCAGTACACCTCTGAAATAAATTTCCTTGCATTATAACCTTGATTATGATTATAATTTTATCTGCTAAAATTTCTATTGTTAAATTGGTCCAAGGCTGAAAAATGTGTTTGCAAGATGAACAATAAAGACGTAAAGTTTAATATGTTTTCTTTCAGACATTTTTGTGTTTTACTGTTCACAACCTTTTTTTTCCCTTTCTAAAAATATAATGATGAAAATTTTTATCTCTTTGTTTCTGCCGGAAAATAAATTTTAAATTCAAAAAATATGAAACAGCTGACATTCTAAATAACTTAAGAACGGCTTACATTAGAACGCTAAAACTATTTCAATTTTTCAACTTAACAAATTTTGCTAGCAATCTTTTTTTGTATACATAGGATAGGGTGGAAGTCCATGAAAAATGGATATAATAACATGTAGCACATGTCATTATTGGTCAAAATTAAAACTAGCTATTTTTAAAAATTTTTTCCGACATTCTTTTCAAACTTTATTTTTGAATCCATCTTGCACCTTAACTATAAAAGTTAGAGTCTAAATTTTAGAAGGGGGAAGGAAATCACCCCCCCCCCCATCCATATTAGACAAAAATAGCCCAATCGGGATAGGGTTAACAAGGTATTATTGTGATCGTTCAATTTCTGTCCTCAAACTGAAGGTCATATGAAATTATGTCTTTGTCACTTCAAAATAGATATCTAAGATTTGATGCAGCTTCGAAACACTAGAAATGTTTCGCAATTTTTGTTTCAAAATATTTTCTTGACTTTGCTAGATGCTCAACTTTTCAAGTAAGCTGATTAACATTCTATTATTTTTGAACACATTATTTTATAGATTTAATTATATATTCTTTAAAAGTGGGATAGTGAAAAGTGATACATTTTACATATTTCTTTCAAACAGCGTGGATACATACATACAAACACGGACGCAAAGAGAAGCTGTCAACTTTACAGTTTCTCTTGGTTTCCTTGTAAACTTTTAATGTTAAAAAACTTGTTAGAAATTAGAATTGAAATTGAAAAGTCGTCTTCATTTATTGATATAAATGCCGATCACGGTATTATATCACGTCATATATTTATCATTTTATGCAATAATAAACATATTTATACATAAAGTTGTAATCTATTTTTAAGTGTTTCTTAGTTATTTATGTATGTCCGATTTAGTCTTTAGAACTTTTTTTCAGGCTAATACTATGCTGCCAATTTCATTCATAAAACTAAAATAGTCTAAACATTCCACGCACCTTTGACCCTTCAGTAAAAGTAAGTTCAATCTGAAGTCTGACCCCGTCAATATTGTTGCACCTTTGAGTGTCCTTTGAGTATCTGCTTAATTTATCCGCTGTACGGGCTGTACGGGTGATACAGTACAATCTGGAACCGGAAAGGTTGACCCGGCTCGGAAATTCAAATGTACTACGGCTGCCAGTGATCCTATATAACGTCATTATTTAAGATAAAGAGATCGAAGAAAACAGAGACCACATTATGCAAAGCTTAAAGGCACTGTAAACTTAATTTGACTCCATTGATTGACACCTTTATAAATCTGGGGTTTCTGAAATTTAAAGGTCGCAAAAACTTGATTGACACCTCTATAAATCTGGGGTTTCTGAACAATTAAAGGTCGAAAAAACTTGAAGTCAGTTAATTACTCATAGATTAAAGAACTGTAAGCGTGATTTCAAATGATCTTCCGCGATTAAAAGGGGCTTTCCCGATTTACAACGGTGCGCTAGCGTACACTCCAATTGTAAGTCTTTTTACACAGCAATTAAGAGATATATTCACTGAGATCTCAGTCTCGATCGATGATCAGTGAAAGGTTTAAAGGGTCGATTTATGAATCGAGGATTTTTCTCATTAAACGAAAGGTCACTTGAAATTACGCTTACAGTCCCTTCAAAGACGACATTATGTCATCTTTGTACTTTGTTACAATGTCTACAAAGTTAAGAGAAAAGGGGGAAAGTAAATGGAATTTAGGGATACACCCTATTCAATGGGTGCCGGGGGGGAGAGGGGGGGGGACACCACTGAGAATTAAGTCACAAGCTTTCTCAATGGAAATAGATTTAGTTGTAAGAGACGCATGTAGTACTGTTCATCTGAAAAATTTTCAAACAACTAATGGAACAGATAATTTAAACTTTTTAATATGATCATAATAAAATAAAAACAAGAACTTAATGAACTTTAATTATATTACACAGTGAAACCAGAAAACAATAATAGCCCTTTTTTTAAATTTTCAGTCTCGCTAATTGTACTTTAAAAGTTTAAATTATTTCTAAAAAAGTACACTGAAAATTAAAAACCTAATTCTAGAAATATTTCAATTGCAAGAATTGCAGACTACAAAAGTCTTAACGACATTTGTTAAATGAAAGCAAGAACGAAGACGATATTTAGTTTGTAGTATTCCTATTCTTATTATATATCGATTTATAATTATATAATATATTATTATGTATATGGTATATAATATAATATTTTATATAGTATATATTATTAAATAATATACTATATTACTTTATATAACATTTCATATTGTATAATATAATGTACTACTTTATATAATATGATCACTCTTTAACATTATGGCATAGGCAAAACTTTGAAAGTATTAAATAGGATTCTGGATATTGTCTCGAAACATTCCAAATTATTATGTACATTCAGAAAATTGTAAAATGACTCCTCCTGGATGTTTCCTATGTTTAACAGGTATAGTGTAATCAAACCAATCATAGAATTTGAGTCTTTGACACATACTTTAATTGTTTAATCCCTATATCAATGCAACCTGATAATGTAATCCTTAATTATTTAAAACTTAGTTCTTATAATCTAACAGAATTCATAGTTTTAACAATGACATTTAGTTGCAAATATATTGGAATTAGAAAACCAGAGATAGTGGAAAAGATCAATTCCTTTTAAACTAAAAAAATAAGGATCAAGAAACAATTTCGAGATCGTTACGTTCGGCTTCTTCAATATGGCTGTAATTACTTTTTTGTCTATAATTTAGTAAACTTTAAAGTAACACCGTTTTTGTTTTACTTTTCATTTCATTCACCGTCAAAGTAGTTGCCATGGACTGAGCTGTGTGACGTACAGTGATAACCAGAGAACATTGGAATACGAAGACGACTTGTTGAATTGTTGAATTGTATAAAGTTAAGAAATTCCAACATTTTCATAAAATATACTCAAGCAGATACGCTTTCTTATTCATTTATAAATTATAAGGTAATTTATATAGACGATCTCGAAGTTGTCATCATTCGATTCCCATGTTTATTAGGTAACTATACAGTCATAATAAAAAAGACCCGGAATTAATTGACAGTTATATATCTCTGGTAAATCTATATATATCTCTGGAATCTATGTATATCTCTGGTAAATCTAAACGCACCATAGAGTCAGACCACATTTTGGAATTAGCAAGACTAGGTTTTTTTGTTATTTTCGTTTTTATAACCATATTAATAAAATTAGATTGTAAAGGCGTCTTTAAAAATTAATTCCGGGTCTTTCTGATTAGGACTGTATGTTTACAATCAGTATAAATAATTCATGTTGTTCTCTAAAATGTTGGAAAACTTGATTATATAAAAAAACTTGATCTTTTTTTTTGGTTTTTGCAGAAGATGCAGAAAAGTGCAACATTTGCAACATTATCGCGAGTTGTAAAATCCACTTACATTTACACAGGTACACAGAAACTACAGTACATAATTTTATATTGAAAAGTACATACAGAGATGGTTCAATATAAGTTTTATATCTGTACTAGTACATACAGAGTTTAAAATAATATTCAGACATGTGCAGAACAAATATTAAAATATATTTAATTAGTTTTACATGAATAACAATTCGGTTTAAAACACACATTGTAATGTAATTTTCAACAAAAAAAGAGTCAAGGGGGCATGTTATACCATATCTTTAGAAGAGAGCTTGACGGTAAATACTGCCATGAGATCTCTCAAAGTTTCCAAGCTTTTAAACAATGTTTTTAAACAGTTTTTAAAACATTTATCTCTTTTAATTTTAGTTTTAACAGCATGTATAAACTAAATAGATGATGGTCCTAGCAATTAAACAGGGTGCTCACCATAGATGAAGATAGATTGCGCATAAGACGAAATTTTTCATCTTGAAAGATATAAATGTACAGAGATGTTTTAAAGATATTCCTATTATATAGATTAACTAGGTCGGTTGTGAACATTGGCTGTTCTTATGTCATGCACACGCCTGTACTTCAATTTCTGTACTAAACTCTTGTTTTCCACTGTTTTTTCCTGTGCTTCAATTTTCCATCATGTTCTTGGATAAATTTTCAAAGAGAAGTTTTTTGGACGTCCTGATGACCACCAATATCTTTATTATTTATTAGAAGTTTAAGAGAGGTGATATTTACATCTTCTTTTTTCTTTTTGAAGTACATTTAAACATATATTTATAAGTACATACAAAGATAATACAGTACATGAAAACATCTGTACAAGTACATACAGAGATTATTCAGGACATTAAAACATTTGTACAAGTACATACAGAGATTTTTCAGTACATTAAAACATCTGTTCAAGTACATACAGAGTTAATTTTGTACAATATAACATTTTTATAAGTACACAAATATATGAAAATAATAATTCCAGATCTAAGTCTGGAGAATGTTTTCCATTTTATCTTCAAGAAAACGAAACAAAAGGTATACAAACCATTTCTAAATTAATGCATTAACATACAGTTACTGTTAAACCTTAAATGAGCCAAACATTGAAAGAATTTATCAAATGTCGTCTTGACAATTTATCAATGGGTTTCATACTATTATACGTAAAAAAATAAATAGCCATGAATGTGCGGAAACAGATGATCATTTAATTAAAAAAAAACTAAATATCTGCAACATTCCATTATCAGAAAGTGAAGAATACGACATTTGATGAATTCTTTCGATGTATGGCTTATTTAGGATTTAACTGTAGTAAACCTAATTTCAAGTGACCCTTCCAAGCAGACAGAGAGACACACCCCGATAATAAAAATTCATTGTCTTAGCGATATAAATGAAGATTAAGGATATCTCTTTCATGTCCTATAAACGGAATAAAGTGTACTTTGTGAATCGATCCTCCACTCGATAAAACTTATAATTAAGTTTGCAGTTAAATTCATAATTTGGGTTTCTTTTAATATTAATTTTCTTTAAAATGATGTTCCAGGGCCCAAAAGGTTAAATTGTGCAAATGTGTGAAGTATACCTGCAGTATGGAAACAATACAACAAAATGGCCGATTTACACTTTTTTCTAGTAAATTCCACTCTAATATAAATTCTATTCTCTTTTTTTGCAGTCCTTTTAACAAAACAGATTTATCTAGCGTTTAACAATATTATATTTCTAATAATAAATCAGGTCGCTTTCTGGTTGCAAGCCGAGACATAGAACCTCTACAAATCATTTTGGAAGATACCCCTGCCTGTACAGGTCAATTATATGATATTATCCCCCGCCACCTGTACAGGTCAACCATAGGATATCATTCCCTGTCTGTATAGGTCAATTATAAAATATTATCTCACGCCGGCCTGTAAAGGTCACTTATAAAATATTATTCCCCGCCTGTACAGGTCAATTACAGATTTTTATCCTTCGCCTAAACAAGTCAATTATAGATGATCACCCTGTCTGTACAAATATTTTAATTATAATTACAAAACTGTAAGATGTCCAGTTTACTCGAATAACAAAAAAAGTCCGGAGAAGCACCACCTCTTTTAAAGTGAAATTGTCAGACGACATTTTCTCAAAATTTTTATAAAATTCTGATTTTACTGATTTCACTAGGTCCGGTTCACAGTACGGTTCCTGTGTGTTTAGAGTGCGGACATATTCTAACATCTTTTGACGAGGTTAGTCACAGACCCAGAGCAAAAAAAAAATTATCGAAAGCTACTTTATTGTAAAACAATAAAATAAACCTGTATTTAGGTTTGTGAGTGTAGTGGTTGTGGAAGCACCCTGTGCTCTCGGGAATGTGATAAAGGTCCCCAACATGCCAAGGAATGTGAAATCTTTAAGTCCAGACAATTTTCTATTAATCCGCAAAGGTAATATCATTTTTTGGTAATGGTACTTTAGACAGAAAATAAAGGAGCGGTTGAGATGTAACTTAATTCTTTTCAACCGCTACAATTGGTTTAACCCCTTCAATTGATTCAAATGCTACAATTGGTTCACCCGCTACAATTGGTTCAACTTATACATTTGGTTCAACCACTAAAATTGGTTCAACCACTACAATTGGTTCAACCACTATACAATTGGTTCAACCACTACAATTGGTTCAACCACTACAATTGGTTCATCCACTACCAGTTGTATTTACAGAATATATTTTCAGACTGAATGTATCTACAGAATATATTTTCAGACTGAATGTATTTACAGAATATATTTTCAGACTGAATGTATTTACAGAATATATTTTCAGATTGAATGTATTTACAGAATATATTTTCAGACAGGATGTATCTACAGAATATATTTTCAGACTGAACGTATTTACAGAATATAATTTCAGACTGAATGTATTTACAGAAGATATTTTCAGACTGAATGTATTTACAGAAGATATTTTCAGATTGAATGTATTTACAGAATATATTTTCAGATTGAATGTATTTACAGAATATATTTTCAGACTGAATGTATCTTCAGAAGATATTTTCAGACTGAATGTATCTACAGAAGATATTTTCAGACTGAATGTATCTACAGAAGAATATCAATTTGTGATGACTCTACGCCTTCTGCTTCTTGACAGTGCCAGCCTTGATCTTGTAAATCGTTTAGAAGATCATTCAAACCTTCTTTCAGAGGTATGTGCTGTGAATAGAATCGTGCTTTTTGTTGGTTCGTTTTCTCTCGTTTTTTGTCTATATTTTCTATCAGGACCAAAATTTCTCTTAATGTAAGTAAAGCATTATGTTTTCTGAATTTGTTATGCCAACTTTCTCTAAGTTTGTTAAATTTTGATCCGGACAGAAAATCAAAATCCTTCAATTATCATACAGGGAAATTTTTATCTTTCTAAACATCCCAGGAAAAGATTTTACAGGTTCTTGAAGTGAAGTGAATTTACTTTAGTTTGCCGTGAAGTGAATTTCCTTTAGTTTGCCGTGAAGTAAATTTCCTTTAGTTTAACATGAAGTGAGTTTACTTTTGTTTGCCGTGAAGTGAATTTACTTTAGTTTAACATGAAGTGAATTTACTTTAGTTTAACCTGAAGTGAATTTACTTTAGTTTGTCGTGAAGGGAATTTACTTTAGTTTGCCGTGAATTAAATTTACTTTAGTTTGCCGTGAATTAAATTTACTTTAGTTTAACCTGTAGTGAATTTACTTTAGTTTGCCGTGAAGAGAATTTACTTTAGTTTGTCGTGTTGTAGAATGAGTTGAGCGTGTACAAGAGGAACGTGGTGAATATGATCAGGGATAGGTTAGGAAACCAACAGTGGTCTCAGCAGCTTATCATTAGGTATAACCGTATTATTAAATACTGAGTTCTTAAAGGGACTGTAAGCGCAATTTCAATGGACCTTCCATTTATAAAGAGGCATATCCGATTCAGAATGTTACTCTTTCAACATTTGTCCTGACAATGATGAGGTAGATGCCCTTATTTGTATAGCTAAAGATTGATTGCCATCAAACCAACAAACAACCCAGAGGAATGGACCACTTCTTAACTATCTCTGAAACACAATGTTTTAGTCTTTTTAATTTCATTTAGTCCATAGAACACTATAACACTATATGTCGTCTTTTCGTCAAGGCAGCATGCGAGTAACTCCTTTGGGCTTCTACCACAGATTTATAAATCTTGAAAGACGACATCTAGTGTTCTCTCTGTAGTGTTATTAATCTATGATTTAGTCTATCTAGGGTGAAATTTCATAATGATAAAAAAATCTTTTTAAAAAAATCTAAAAGCTTTTGTAATATTTTTATGATTGATTTTGTTCTTTTTTAGATTAATATCTATCGTGAGAACAAATGCTTTCCTAGGCCCTGGTAAACTTGGAAGGTATTATTTTGTAAAAATTTAATTTTTTATCAACTCAATCTTGAATACTAATGATTTCTTATATTTGTAATCAAAATTATACATATTGTTAAAAACTAAAATAAAAAATAATAAGTGTTAATCAACGTGCTATATTTTGGTTTTTTAAAAATATTTATTTATTTTTATTTTTTTTTTATGTCAATTACATATAAATTTATTAAAAATAACATCAATAAGAAAAATTTATTTATGGGACTACCCTATGTATTTTTGGTGCCAATTTTTTATGGTATTTTTCTGAGATTCAAATTATTTTTTTCTTTCTTTTCTGAACAATCTTTTTTTTTGTATTTGAACCAAGTAGTGTATACTTTTATTTATTTAAACAATTCTTTGCTTTTTAATGTTCTAAAAGTAAAATATGCAGTGCTATGAAAACATTATTAACCAATGTCAATTTTACAGATAATTAAAGTTAAAAGATAAACAAGGGAGACGCCATTTTGGTGGGCCTCACTATCTCCTATTTAGAGGAGAGTTTAAATGTCTGCTTCCTCTGGTTGCTCTCATGAACCATTCCTGTCAACCAAATACAAGAATACATCACAAGGAACAACAAATATTCATCTTTTTTTAAAGGGAGTGACCGGCTATAAAAAGTTTAATATGTCTCAAATGAATCCGAAAGAAGTTTTCCACAACACTGCATACTCAGCTCAACTACCTTACATAGCCGGTCACTCCCTTTAAATATAAGAGTTTCGTTCAATTTCAATTTCGAATGGGGATTGACAATAATTTAGAAAATATTGTGGTTTTCTAGGATTTAAAATGCTTGATTCTTAAAATTCCTACAATTTTGTAATAATCAGTTTTCTATACTATCGACATTGATATCGTATTCATACTTGATCAGAAAAAGCTTTGAAGGGTACCATTGTGAATGGAATCTATCTGCGCAGGAGGGTTACTTAAACTATGCTGACAGACACAATTTTTACCACATGGATGGACAGGATGTGTTATGAAAGGATATTTTGTTTTTTCTATCTTTTAAAATTAGTTTAAGCATGAAGATTTTTCATGGAATTTAGAAACGAATTTGTTGTATTTTAGGAGAATCTGGCGGTTGTTAGGGAAAAATAATAATATTTTAATGTATTAGTACTTTTTCGTATTCTGTTAGTGTTTCTTCATTAATTTAATGGGAAAATAATTTTTTATTTTGTTGCCTTTTGACGAGGATTTATAACCCTGCATCACCAAATTTACAATTTTATAATTGGATGTTATTAACCTGTCAATATAACGCACACAGATCTAGACTGCTATGAAAAGTTGCGTCAATAATTAAGACTGGAATCTATTCGATTTTACAGTGTCACAACGCCTTGATCTTTAATTTTATGTCACTAACTCACCTATCCATTTTGTAGCTCTAGACATGCCAATTTTAAAACTTCGAAGCGCTTGTTTTAAGCTTAATTGTCAAAATTCTTAAAGATTTCTGCATGTGAACTTGCAACCCGTCTTGTCACAGTGAGCGATATAGCTCTGTAGAAATCGTCGCTTACGCAAAATAACCACCAACTTTTATTTCAAAAAGATTTTAAATAAACAATTTTTTCCAATTTTTTTCTGTAAAGCATTGTTGAAACATGTAAAAGCTATAATTAATTTAATATTTAGAGAATGAATTATAGAAAACTTGAAGGGAGTGACCGGCGCTGTATGGTAGTTGAACTGAGAATGTAGTGTGCTGATGTGTTGTTGAGAAATTCTTTAGGATTCATTTTAGACATATAAAACGTTTCAATGATGTATATTTTCAATTAGTTTACTGTAGAATTTTTTTTTTAAATAGATTCTCAAAACGTAACCACCCAAATGTATGATTTAAAAAGTCGACTTATCGCTCAAACTCAGTAATTATACATGATTACAACGTTTTATATGTCTCAAATAAATCCTAAAAATTTCTCCACAACACTGCATACTCAGTTCAGCTTCCATACATTGCCAGTCACTCACTTTAATAGTTATATTTTTTTGGCGGTACACTTTAAAATCTTAAAGTGATGGTGGGGGGGGGTGGGGGGGGGACTTCTAAAAACTGTAAAAATTGTAAATTATTTGAACCAGAGCCACAGTACCAATTAAAGAGGTAATATGCAGGGAGTCCCAAAATAAAAAGAACTAAAACTTGGCTTCGTCTTAAATCTAACAGATTTTTTATCTGAGAGCCATTGAAAATCTAGTTTTATCCTAGGACTTTTCTTTAAATTCTGAATGATGGCTTAACTAAAATAATACAAAATTTTTAAATTTTCCTCATTTTTTTATTTATTCAGGGAGAAGAAATATTTATGAGCTACACAAAAACTTTTGAGAGTTATATTTCGAGAAGAACAAACATTATCAGGAAAATATCAATTTATTTTGTTATCAAAATAAATCATTTGCTTAAATTTTTTCTAAATGAAATAAATGTTTACTACTGTCATCAACGTATTTATCAATACAATGAAGACATCTTTCAATTTAAATGTTTCATTTTTACCAAGCTTTCAAACAACAGCGTTGATACACATAAACATGAAAACAAAGCGAAGCTGTCAATTAACAACTTATTTTTGTTTTCCTGTAAACTTATTAGAAATTAAAACTTGAAAATTCATCTTCAATAAATTGATTTAACGCCAAAAACTGAACCTAAATGAGAAAAAATTTCATACTTCTAAACAAACGATAAAGAATTAAAATTGAAATTGTTCAGTTGCTGGCATTTTGTCTGCAACTGTGTCAGGTATCTAACGATTTATCTAAATATTAAATTTAATATTTTTCACTTTAAACAGTGATTGTAAAATTGTATTACTAATATGAATATACATATTTTTTGTTGTCTGTGTTCAGGAATTTTCAGTTTTGATTTGTTTTATAAAAGAATTGAGTCTTTGCCTCAAACTCAAATTTTCTATTCCCTTTATCTTTGCAAGTTGAAAAGAATTCATAGTTTGAAATAAAACAGTTCTAAAATATAGGGATTAGAAAATCATCTCAAACACGTCTAAATATCAACTGTAATTTTGTAGGATATGAAACATTGAAAATCCACCACTGAGAGAAAAATATGCGATTTTAGTTAGTAGTATTTTATCATCAAACCTTTACAATCCACTATCGCGTTTTTCTACCTAAAGTTGTATAGAAGTATTGGAAAAATCCTAATTAGTGCCAAATATTTTTTTAGATGTGTGGATATGACAGATATGGGGACCTATGCCAATTCCTTTATATGCCAAGGTAAACATATCAAAGGGAGTGTTCTGGAAAATATGAAAAGGGGTTGATCTTGATAAATAGTTACTAAAGCCTTAAATTGGCACTTAATATTGCCCTGGCCTGTCTGATTCTATTTTTCGAGCTGATAAATGAGTATTTTCAATTGCAATTTCTTTATATTAATGACTTTAGGATTTATGCTGATGAGGAAATGAAGGAAATTGTCAGAATTTTACACCTAATGAAAAACGACGATATAATGGTAGTCAATTTAAAGGGTAAATTTGACAAGCCACTAATCTTTAAATTTGTTATATATAGATTGTAAAGGATATATGCATCCTAGAATAGATGAGAACCTTGTTGTGTGGACTTGTGCAGAATGCCGCAAAACAATCTCAAGGAAAAAAACACAAAATAATTAGCCATAAAGTGTTTTTACTCATGAAATTCATTTTTGCAGTTCCCTAGAGTTTATAAAATAAATGTTAAAAAAATCATCAAATTTTAAAGAAAAATTTGATGAAGGTAGGGTGAGGGTAAAAATGTTAAATGTTTTTACTTGAATGTTGAATGATTGTTTAAACGTGACGATATCATTGAATATATTTGTAATTTATACGTGTCCCATTATTTTGTGAAATGTTTAACAGTGAAGATATTATTGAATATATTTGTAATTTATATATGTCCCATTATTTTGTGAAATGTTTAACAGTGACGATATTACTCAAAAACAGGAAGAGATCCAATACAAGCTTCTTAATCCAGGTATTTTAGCCTTCATTGAACTTTTGAAGAAAAAAAATTAAATCTTTAAAACCATAAAATTATAATAAAAACCTCTCATGTAAATCTAAAGTAAATGGCACGTCAGTTTGAATTATAAATCTTCATATTGTAGAGATATTCATAACAAGAACAAAAAATTTCATTTTTTAACTTTATTGATTTACTCATACTGTAGCATAAAATCAAAACTAGAGGAGCTATGAGGTCACAAAGTCGCACGCCATAAATTTTATGTTCTCTCTCTGTCAAGTAAGAAGTTAGAACCACAGTTATAGATTATTTGATGAGATCTATTTACACAGAGAGATGATTGACCCAGTTTTATCCAAAAATTGTAGGCTAGACCCTAGAGAGGTGTAGCTTTGTGAGGTTCTCTGTAGTTTCAGTAGAAGAAAATGTATCCATTTACTGTTTAGCACAGATATAAGGATTCATCTCTGATAGATGATAATACTGCCATGTAATTTCTATTGGTTCAGAATAGACACCAAACACATGACAAAACCCTGATTGGATTAGGCGCTAATAGGAGGTCATGATATCGGACAGTTAATGTTTCGACCAATAAAATGGCTGAAATATCTGTCAGAAAAAGTAGTTAAACCATCCAGACCTGGTTCAACTATAAATTTTTATCATTTAGAAATATCCTGTTTTATATTTTGGATGAATTTGTTGATATAAAAAAATGTTTGATTTAGATTATTTGAATGGATATTGTTTAACACCTGCATATAATTCTTGTCAATATTATAGGAGCAGACATTGTTGAGCACCTAGAAATGTTTCTAGCGGACAACAGTCGTGTTTTACACACTAACAATCTAGACATGGTGATGGCAAAGGTTAAAAAAGTCAAATATACTTCTTGTAAGTTTTCTTTCATACAGAACCGCAGTCAACATAGAAGGGCATCGTTTTTATGAACGAGCAAATTTGTTAGGAATGATCTTATCGTTCAACAAAGATCGAACGGTGGAGGAACGATTTGGGATGTTCAAAGCTATTTTTTTTCGTTTTTCAAAAAGGACTAAAAACAAAAGCGAAAGATTTAAAATCATTTGAACAATCTTGAAAGTTCATTAACGATTTTGTTTTTTATTGAACGAACGACTTCTCCGAAAGATTATTAAGAAATCAATCGTTTTTACTGAATCCACAATTTTCGCGAAAAACCTTTAAAATTTTTTTTTTTTTATTTAAAAAACAATTTTTAAGAAATTAAAAAAAAAAATTCAACTGGTCGTTAATCTTTTACTTGTTACTTTTTTATTTTGAACTATGACAGCGTTTGAAAAAAAAACAATACAGCACAGCGTATCATATCTAGGGCTGGGCATCCTTCCTGGGGAACAATCTTTCTTTCACGAGAACAAAGGGAATTATCAAGAACGATCCCATCGTTCGGAAAAAAGAATGAAGGCATAGAACACGTTCTTAAAAAAATGGAACGATTATTAAAAGAATGAACAAGGAACGAATGGAAATTGCTTGAAAAGATCGTTAAAATCAGGAACACATTCTTATTATCAGGAATGTATTATCAGTTGAGAACGCATTTTAAATTAGGAACGTGCAGAGGCGTACAAGGGGAGGGGTCTTGGTGCACAAGCCCCCTCTCCGCGTGCCCCCTCCCCAATTGGGAGAGGGTGCACGCATGGTGGGGGGGGGGAGGTGATTATTTAATATTACACCTGTAGACTTGTTGAAAAAGACCTTGGATTCTTGATTTTGGAGCCAGACTTTTAAAGCTTTTAATTATCTTTTTTATCATTTTGTAAATATCTTTTTTCAATTCTGATTCACAACAATACCCTTCAAATCTTTGTCTGATCAAGTATTGCATTAAACATCCATGTTCCCCATCTTGAAAACTAATTATTTTTATTTGTGGTTTCGCTACATGCAAAAGGGAATCATATATCAATTGCTTCAGAAACGGTGGAGAAATGAAGGTTTCAAAGGCACATCGATCATGCATAAGATGCCATTCTATAAATGGAGGGCCACTTGAAACTACGCGTTTATTCTACGAAATGTGCGCCATCAGAAGGTGGGTGGTGAGGATTGTAAAGGTCGGAGAGTGTTATGAATGCCAGAAACAAGCTTAAAACAATTGATTTAATGAGAATCGATACCCATATTGTAGTTGTGGTAGTGAGGGTAGTTCCATTATAGATTCAGCTTCAAGGGTGTGGCTGGGGTCTCTCTAAAAACAGACGGTAGCTGGGGTAGTAAGGGTAGTTGCCATTCAAATATAGCTTCAAGGGTGAGGGTGGGATCTTTCTAAAAATGGACGGTAGTTGGGGTTGTAAGGGTAGTAGCCATTCAGATTTAGCTCCAAGGGTGGGGGTGGGGTCTCTCTAAAAACAGACGGTAGTTGGGGTAGTAAGGGTAGTTGTCATTCAGATTTAGCTTCAAGGGTGAGGGTGGGGTCTCCCTATAATGCCAGTTGGGGTAGTAAGGGTAGTTGCCATTCATATTTAGCTTTAACACTTTGGATGGAACTGTTCTCGACTAAGAACACAAAGAACGGAACGGAACTAGATGGACCGTTCTTGACAAAGTAAACCAAGAACTTGAACGGAACGGAATGGAATGATTGGAAAAAGAACTAACGAGGACGGAACGATCTAGCTGAAGGGCAAGTTTTAGGGCAAAAATTCATTTCCTGAACTCCCCTGTATTAAATTTTTTTAAATGGGATATTGTATAATCTAGATGATGTTAGCCCGGGAGTATGGAGAAGTAATGGCTCGACAAGAAGCTGTTGGAAACTCCTGGAAACTAAAACAAGTCAAGCGTAAGGTCAAATCAATTTAACAATTCAAGTGTGTATAGTCAAATCAATTAATCCTTTCTAGTTTAAGGTCAAATCAATTAAGTAATTTAAATGTAAGGTCAAATCAATTAATAAAGTTGAGTGTAAGGTCAAATCAATCAATTTCCATGTGGTCTGAATAATTAATCAATTCAAGAGTAAAGTCAAATCAATTCAGGTGTAAGGTCTAATTTATTAATCAAATAAGTGTAATGTCAAATCAGTCAATCAATTTACATGTTAGATCTGAATAAGTAATCAATTCTCGTGTAAGGTCAAATCAATTAATCAATTCACGCGTAAGGTCAGAATAAGTAATCAATTCAAATGTAAGGTCAAATAAATTATCTTTTCATACATAAGGTCAAATCAATTAAAAAGTACAAGAGTAATTGATCAAATCAATTAAAAATGAACCACAAAGAACAATATGGATCGTCCAGAGAAATTTAACAACAATTTTGAAAAAGGAAAGAAAACAATTTAAAATCAAACGAACAATCTAAATTGTTCGTTTGAACAAACTTTAAAAAACTAATTTTTATTACTGAATAAACATATTCAATGAAAGATTTTGAAAAAGCGAAAGTTTTTTTAACTTAACGAATGATTGTTTTGAACAAAATTTTCAAAAAACGATAGTCTTTTTACTGAACTAACGATTTTTGTTTCAAAAAGAAACTTTAAAAAAAACTACAGTTTTTTACTGAAAGAAAGATTTTATTAAATCAATTTTACTGGATGATCATTCAGTGTGAAAACAAAAAAGATAAGATTGATAATGAACAATAATTTTGCGAACAAATAAAATAATTTTATTTTTGAAGAATTAAATAAAAGTACGAAGTAAATGGGTCACGAACGATGATTAAACAAAGAAAAAAGCTGAAGGCCCCAGTCTCAACAAAATAATAATAAATTAGTAAAGTAAATAAGTTAAAATCAATCATTCAATCGACAATCGACATATCATGAAATATTTAAAAACTCTCTTTTATACTCCATTCTTTTGAGCAAACAAAAAATGCATATAAATTTTGCTGATTAAATAACTTATTTTAAAGGTTGAACTTTGTGAGGAGAGTTTAAAAGTTATTTCAGCAATATATCCTGGTGTAATTGATCTTAAGGTAAATACAATTTGTGGACTAAGCCTTGTGTTGTTTATGGGTTTGGATTGGTTTTGAAAAAAAATCAACAAAGCTTCTAAGATATTAATACCATATCATATTAAAGTTTACATTAACCTTTGCAATATCTTTATTCGAAAAAAGTTTTTGAGCCGTTTTTAACGTAAATCTTCTGTTAGGGTCAAAATCTGACATAGTGTAAGAAGGCTAGGCAAATAAACAATTTAGAAACCTTTGCTCTTATCTTCTTACTCTATTGACCCTGCAAAAGAACATAAAAACACTAGACAACGAGCTGTGTTACGGCATCCTAGGTTGCAATTTTTGTATCTGTATCTGCTGAATAAAAGTTTATTAGAAAACAAAGCAATATAAAGAAATTGAGTCTGAGCCACATAATTGGATTGTTAAATCAATTTATCTTTGGAACCTAATGACGTACCCCTTAAATATTTCAAGCCATGAATTCTGTTAGATCAAAAATATAAGTTCGAAATATCAAAGGTTTAAACATTCATGTTGCAAAGATATAAAGATTATAACATTTTAGTTGTTGGCAAAGACTCAATTCCTTTGTAATCATTGTATTGATATAATCGCTTACCACTGTATTTTATCTGTAGGCTAACCTTGGCTTAGAGCTGGGACCTTGTGCGTTTGTTCTCTTACAAAATCAACTCAGAAAAGTAACATTTTATTTATCTAAAAATATACAATCTATAATAAATAGATTAATAAATAATGAATATAGATAATTTCCATATTCTGAATTTGTTATACAGTTAGAACGTAGAAAAAGAGTCATATTTACAGAAAATATATATAAAAAGTATATAAAAGAAACATATTTTACATAAAAAGAATAAATTTAATGGTTTCTTCATCCCTTGTTCAAGTCATTTTCGGGATTTTCTTGAATTTGCATTGCTTGATTTTAGGAGACGACTTTAATAAATATTAACAAAACAAAATAATTTCTAAATCGAAGAAAAAGTTTCTGTTCATATTTTAAAATAACAGTTAAAAAGCTGCTTTAAAAAGGAATTTTCCTTTATAGTTAAATATTTACTATATTTAGCCCTAGATGGCTAAATCACAATTATTTTCGTTAAACGTCATTAAAAATAAGTTTCGAAAAAAAATTATTTGAATTTTTCCAAAAAATTTAAATTCGGTAATGATAGCGCAAAACTCTAGACATAAAGTGGGGTACCCTTTGCAGAGCCTTTCCTTCCTTTCAAATTCATCCAGGGCGGTAAAATTTTGTAAAAAATAATTCTTTTGTAAAATAGGACCTTTTTGCCAAATAAATTAAAAAGGATATAATTTAATCTTACAGATGATTTACTGCAGGGTGGTAATGTACAGGGAATGAAGGAGAAGGTTGAGGAGTTGATCAGCATAACCCAGATGAGTCTGACCAGCTTCCAGCTACTAGAGGAGATAGGTGATACACTCAAGGTAGGAGGAGTTGATAAGCATAACCCAGATGAGTCTGACCAGCTTCCAGCTGCTAGAGGAGATAAAAGATACACTCAAGGTAGGATTCCAGCTACTAGAGGAGATAGGGGATACACTCAAGGTAGGATTCCGGCTACTAGAGGAGATAGGGGATACACTCAAGGTAGGATTCCAGCTAGTAGAGGAGATAGAAGACATACTTAAGGGATTAAATTCTTCATCTGGAAAAAAAAATTTTAAAATAATGAAACCAACTTAAATGTTGTTTAACTCTCACCAAATTAATCTTGAAAACTTGAAAACTAATGAAACAAACACATATTTAGACAAACTATCATCAAATTCATTTTAAAAACTTCAAAACTAAAATAACCAACTCAAATTTTGGAAAACTAAAATCAAATTCATTTAGAAAAATTTAAATATAATCTAACCAACTCAATTCTTTTAAATTCTTTTTAAATTCATCTCAAACGTAATTTAATTCCAACTCAACTGTCATTAAATTTATCTTAAAAACTTGAAATATGATCTTACCAACCCAAATTTTGTAAAACTCTCATCAAATACATTTTAAAACTTGAAATATAATCTAACTAACCCAAATTTTGTAAAACTCTCATTAAATACATCTTGAAAACTTAAAAACTTATGAAACCAATATTTTGTAAAACTCTCATCAAATTCATGTTTAGCATAAAACTAGGAAACTAATATTGCTATATAGTGTGTATTTAAATCTCTTCTTAATTAACCCTAAACAGGTGGGGGGGGGGGGGGGTTTGGCGCCCCCTCCCTTTTTTCTGAAAATAACAATTTAAATAAATGATCAGACAAAGAATTTCAAGGACTAATTGTAAATCTGACATGTTGAAAAACGCCTACAGTCCCTTTAATATATGTTTTTTAGGCTGAAAGATGCAGCTCATTACTGAGAGATCTGGAAGGATTCAAACAACAACATTTTCCTTAATTTCTTGAAATACACATATACTGAGATATTTTAGACTGAAATCTGATACAGTTTAATTCTACCAACAAGTTGATAGTGTACAAAACTTGTTTACTTATTGTACAATGTACAGGCCAAAACCTGCAGAGTAAGCTTACTATGTCTACATAATAATAATCGTTCTGCAACTAAGAAGAGTTTTGCCACAAACTCAGTTTTTTTCATTCCTTTATCTTTGCATCCTTATTTCGTATACCTTTGACATTTCAAACTATATTCGGCTAAATAAAAAAATCAAATTTTAAATTATAAAGATTTAAACTATCAAAATGCAAAGATAAAGGGATTATAAGATTTGTGTTTGTGGCAAAGGCTCAAATCCTTTATAGGTTTGAACCTCCTAAAATCATATATAAATGGATCTGTCTTAATTGTAGACTCTAGCTTTTTAATTTAAAAAAAACCGCGTTGGACACAGAATATTCTAGATTTTTAAGAAATATGTGTAACTTCTGCGGCATTGAGTTGAACACTCAATATTCTAGATTTTTGAGAAATATGTGTAACTTCTGCGGCATTGAGTTGGACACAGAATATTCTAGATTTTTGAGAAATATGTGTAACTTCTTCGGCATTGAGTGCGACACAGAATATTCTAGATTTTTGAGAAATATGTGTAACTTCTGCGGCATTGAGTTGGACACAGAATATTCTAGATTTTGAGAAATATGTGTAACTTCTGCGGCATTGAGTTGAACACAGAATATTCTAGATTTTTGAGAAATTTGTGTAACTTCTGCGGCATTGAGTTGGACACAGAATATTCTAGATTTTGAGAAATCTTAACAGGAATGTTTTCTTGTATATGATAAAACATTTCTCAAAAATCTACACTGAGAAATTTGGGAAAATGTGTATGGAAATCAAAAGCAAAGTTAAGAATTATTCCATGTTGTTGCTAATATAGGCATTATATCTTTACATAACTTTACAAACTTTTGAAAATTTGAAACATCGGGAAAAGTTAGATTTAAAAAGTTTAAACTTTCGCTATTTATTAATGTTTGAAAACAAACAAGCTAAAATTCTTTTAATCTCTTGTTTTAACAATACAGAGCTGAATATATATATCTTAAAATATTATAAAAGGAGTCCCACAAATGGTTTGGTCCTGATTTTTTTGTAACCTCATATGACCTCGGGGAAGGTTCGAGTTAAACAAATTGTCCTCCAACAATTTAAACCGTTTTGAAACAACACTATGAAAATCTTTTTACAAAATATAAAATATATAAAATATGAGTAAGATTAAATTATTCCAAGTTGAGCAATAATTAAATGCTAAACCTATTCCGTGGTTGATTTATTACTAGATAAAGTGCCTGGCGTTGTCCGGGTTTATATAGTTTTTCATAGTCATTGTTACTCCCTCCGTTTATCCACGCTTGGTTATAAATTATAAATTTGGCTAAAGTGCCCGGGGTCTTTTTAAGTAGTCTATAAACTGTCATGTTTCGTGAGGCACCCTGTAACTCTATGCAAAAAAAACTAACGAATTAAATGAAATAAGTTTTTGCCACAAACTCAAATTTGTAATCCCTATATTTGTGCAACCCGATGTCGTGGACATTTGATATTTCAAACTATAAATTCTGTTATATCAAAAAGTCTAAATTTGAAATGTCGAAGGTGTACATCATCAGGCTGCAAAGATATAGGGATTAGAAAATCTAAGTTTGTGGTAAAGACTCAATTCAGAAAACTGTGTTTAGCATTATTTATGAAATCAGGAATTTCTTGGCTTTTCTGAGGTTTGAATTTAATTCTCCAAAGCGTTAGTTTTTAGTTGCTAACACCCTGAGTTAACAGGAGGTTAAAAAATTTTGCAAAAAGTACGCCGTAAACATTTTTGTTCACATGTGCGTTGTTGAAATTATTTAATTCTACGGAATCCCAGATTTTAGGATTTTTTCCAGGAAAAGTGCAACAAATGTATGGTATTATTGAGAACAGAAGTAACAGTTACTTATGATTTATTAATAAAAGTTGGTATGGAACTTTTTTATTAAAATTTTTCTTCAAACCTGTAAACAATATATATATGAACAATGTTGGATCTAATGCACATTTATATACTCCTATAAGAGACTGTCCACTGTTTTTCAAGTGAGGTTCCAACATTAAAGATTTTGTTGTACCGTTTTATGTTAACAGACATTCACATATGACATGAGAAAAGAAGGAACATTGTGGGTTGACAAAAAAAATCACCAAAAATAAAAAAAAAGTTTTTAAATCAAGACAAACATTTTTATCCCATGATGGGTCACAACGAGATATGTTTCATATATCAAATAAAAAGACATTTACCGGGACAATAAAGTTATCCCGGAATTAAACCAACTTTTTTGTCCCGGCTCAAAACCAGGCGGGAAAATAAAGTAGATTCTGAAGATGAGGAAGGAAAATACTAGAGTGACATATAAAATGATTTGATCCAACGAGTCGAGTTTCCTGAATATTCATTTCTCCACAGTTGTATAATTGATTAACCGTTTGTGCTTTATTGAATAATATATTAACCGTATATTTATTCTTTTGACACTAATAGATCTAACCGCCTTCCATAATATATCAAATCTAGGCTTATCCTATACATATATTCACAATTATATATGATATACATATCTATGTGTATTAAAAAACCTCTTCTCTCATATAAAATATAAAAGTATATTCGTGCTCTATAGCTGACCAACGAGTTGGACCATATGGGCCATTGAATTGGACCCTGGCACGGTGGACTAGGGCCTCAATTTGAATTCGAACCGGACCACCACCTTTTACCATCATGCTGCTTAATAAAAATAATGTAAGTATTAATAAATCCATCATGTCAAATAATAAACACAGCTTACGACATAAGAAATTTCTTCGAAATGATTATCATTGTCAATTTTCTTTCATGGGTACTATGCATTCTCTATATAGCTTTTCAATAAGAGGGAAGCTATTTTTGAAAATATATAAAATTTTAAACATGACAAGCGCTAAAATGTAAAAATGTTTTTAATAAGTTTCAAACCTTTAAAGTTAAATAATTCAAAAGTTTTTACATGTCACTTAAAAACAAAATTTTAGAATTCTTCAAGGAAAATCCTTTCAACTTTAAAATTCTAAATAAAAAAAAATTAAAAATGTAAGCTAAAGTTTAAACCATTGACAATATTTTATCACAAAACCTTAATTTGATAAAAGTATTTTTTTATCCCAATATCTTTCAAACTAATGATTCAAAGTTTGTACCTCTTTATTTAAGTTAATCTGTTTTTTCATAAAGATTATTTTACAATTCAACTGAGGATTAAAATGTCTGAGATCGTTATAAATTTAGCCATTTTTCTTTTACTTTAAATCTTGTAAACTGTATTCATAATTCAAGTTTGAGCAGAAAGGAAGATTTGAATTTATGGACACAATTTAATATTAATATTATGCTCAGACGTGTTTTTCTGTATATTTATGCAAAGTTTGTTGTAAGGTTTAAACAAAGTGTTTTTGTACATGACATGCAGAAAATTGTTTATTTCGCAGCTTTCTTTTAAAAATTAATTTTTCAATTTTTATTTTGTTTCTGATTAAAATTACCCGCACTTGGTCTTAAATCATAATTTTACCGGTAAGTTAAATTTTTCCTATAAAAGTCGAGCCACTCAATTTAGAATCTCAAAAAGAAGCTAAGATCATTTCCGTGGTTTTACCCCGAGTTCCTAAATCAGTTCCTAAATCAAAATTTGAAGAAAAATCGGTCCAGGGGTTCAAGAGTTATGATCGGACAAACAAACAGACAAACAGACCACTGTACAGTTATATATATATATATAGAAATTAATATGTTGTTTTTAAAGAAGAGGTTCATGCTTAATTAAGTATTGTATTAACTAAGGACCTTGTTTTTCTAACATATGTTTTGGTTGTTATTATTTAGAACAAGAGAAGAATATATATATTTATTCCATTGTTTCTCTCTCATAGAATACTCGATGCACTTGCAATTTTCATTATTATATTTGTGCATATTTGTCCCAAAATATTATTATGTATATATATATATGTTTTTAACTATTATATGAATATAATTATTAGCGAAAAAGAAACGAGTATATTTATAGCATAAATATTACTGATTAAATATAGGGGTTCCGCTGTAGGTAAATTACATACATTTCCGCATGCTTTTTGCATTACATTTAAGCGAATTTAAGCACTAAATTTTTTTTCTTTAAAGAAAACACGAATTAATGTAAAATAACATCAATTAATGTTAAACCATTAAAAGTATATATTTGTGTAAGCCATGCTCATCCTTGTTGCAGAAAGAGATTTGTTTACTTTCAGCATATACTAGGCTTAAATGAATGCCAATTGCCAATCGTAACCATATACGAAAATAAATATTTAGGTCTTTGAAAAGATTTATATGTTGAACTGCAAATTTACAATTTTTTGTTCATAATTGTAAATTTAAATTTTTCGCAGATTTTTTGTTTTTAATTAATTAATAATAAAAGTAGATATTTTTTCAATTTGTTCAAAACTTGTTGGTAATGTCATAAATGTTTTTTATGGAGAGATGTAAAGGATTTGAGTCTTTACCACAAACTTAGATTTAATAATCTCTTTATCTTTGCAGCCTGATGATGTACACCTTCGACATTTCAAATTTAGACTTTTTGATATAACAGAATTTATAGTTTGAAATATCAAAGGTCTCCGACGTCGGGTTTGAAAGATATAGGGATTAGACATTTGAGTTTGTGGCAAAACTCATTTCCTTTAGTAGCAGTTAACCTTTTAAAACTCTTATTATTTTCTGGTCTTTTATTATGTTAAAGTATACACAAATAAGAAGTTTGGTTCTAGAAACTAGAATTTGTCGATACCTAAAAATCACTGACGAAAGAGTAAGATTGAACAAAATGTTCTTCCGCTGAAAGAAAACAGAGTTTCTTGGATAAATTTTAATGGATTTTCTGAAACTTTCAATAAAAGTTTAATCTAAATGTTTAAACCATTCCCCCTAAAAGTTTTAAAAGAAATTTTAAATAATCTGCGGTATTTTGAGAACTTTTTGCTTTATTGGAATTCTACTTTTACCAATTTTAGGATTTTCTGCAATGAAGTTAAAATCATTGATATAGCTTACAATTATTATTAAGGAAAAGTCTTAATTGTTTGGCACAGTGTGCCATGAGACACTCCAAATATTTGTAAAAATAAAGAACATTATTTACAACATTTTTACGACGTATAGCATTAGCAAAAATAGCCATTTTTTATAGGGGGGAGGGGGAGGTGGCATGTGCTTTTCCTCTGGTCTATTTCCAGCCCCCCCCCCCCCTCCTAATTGTTTAGAGTTAAGGGTTTATATACAGATGTGAAACTAAATGTTGAGGTCGTTGGAAGAGTGGATTTATGAGTCTGCAGTGTGGTAAGCAATAAATTAAAGATACAGGGGGATCCAAAAAGCTTGAGACTTTGAGAACAACCTAACTATGCCTTAGTAATCAAAAATTAAACAGATGCATTATTATGTCAGACCTCGTCAATCTAGTTGCACCAGCTTGCCCTGCCTACTGTAGTTAGTGTACCAGGTGGGGTAGTACAGGTTCAAATGTACAAGAGTTGAGTGTGTGGCAATCTCTTTGAAATAACACCATCTAGCTGAAGGTTGAATTTAGTTTTCATTGTCCTTATATATCTTATGTATAGATGGTCTTATATGGTGTATTGATCTGGTAAAAAAGCTGCGTGGAACCATTGAAGAAATATCTTTCTTTGTGGGTAACTCTGTATAATATTAAAAGTATCAAGTTTAAAAATACATGAATAATGCTGAATTATTGCAGATAAAATAAGAGCCACAACATACAGAATATAATCTTTGTTTTCATTTGTTTTGAGTGTTTTAGTTAATTTTCAAAACATCATTGATAATTGTTTTTTTTTCAGTGCACAGTTTCCCACAAAAGATGTGGGAGACTTTAGCGACAAATGATGTGGGAGACTTTAGTGACAAAAGATGTGGGAGACTTTAGTGACAAAAGATGTGGGAGACTTTAGTGACAAAAGATGTGGGAGACTTTAGTGACAAATGATGTGGGAGACTTTAGTGACAGAAGATGTGGGAGACTTTAGTGACAAAATTCAGTGTTATTTCTTAAATTATTGGTTTGACCGCGTGATTGTAAGTTTGTTTCAATTTTTTACATTTAAATGCTATATTTTAGAAAAATAACACAATTAACCTCCAAATCATCGTATTTAAAGAGTTGGTAGCTTTTACAGTATGAAAAACATGTATATATATATATATATATATATGCATGTTAACTTTAGCTTGTCAAACGGCTGAACCAAATTTTTTTTTCAAATTTAATTTTTTTTTTTCAAAATTCGAAATTTGTTTTCAAGTGTTTCTAAAACTCCATGGGCAAAGCCGGGCTCTTGAGCTAGTAAACAAATAATATTGAGAGTATATATATATATACTGTCTATTTATATGAAGACTGATGGTAGATGAAAAGGAAAAATTGAATTAATCAATTGAATGGATTCTTGATTAGCCTCGTTTCTTTTTTCTACTTTTTGCACTTGATGTCAATTAGACAATAGAAACACACACTGCAAACTAAACCAAGGAGAAGGTCAAAATTTGTGCGCATTTACATGAACGACCTTGTGCGCATTTACATGAACGACCTTGTGATCTCAAAATTGTAGTTTTGATTGTATTCACAACAATGAGAAGTATCAGAACATATTAGGAAAACGCCTAACACACGCACTGAAAAAATCTTACGATTCAGTAAACTCTAATTTGCAAATATTTTTGCAACTGAATTTATACCTTTTTATATTTCAAAATATAAATCCTAAGCTGGGATCTCTTCTGTTGGATTCTCTTAATTCCGATCGCTTGATCTCGACATACTATACTATGGGCACTTTAAAATTGATTAATACGTAATCTTTTAATATCATGTATTCCTATACCTGAACAAAAGTTCTCTTTAACCCCTGACTGGATAGGATAACCATGCGGGATAACGTAAAATATCACATTATGCTGCAGATTAACAACACACCAAGATCAAGCATTGATCTTGATATCGTGAAAAGATCACATTATTCTGCAGATTAACAACACACCAAGATCAAGCATTGATCTTGATATCGTGAAAATATCAAATTATTCTGCAGATTAACAACACACCAAGATCAAGCATTGATCTTGATATCGTAAAAATATCACATTATTCTGAAGATTAACAACACACCAAGATCAAGCATTGATCTAGATATCGTAAAAATATCACATTATTCTGCAGATTAACAACACACCAAGATCAAGCATTGACCTTGATGTCCGTGCTGTGTTCAAAACATTATATTTAAAAGTGAGATTCTGACTAGACAATAGACATCCTAGTTGAACTGAGAGAGAACAGTTTTGTAGAGAACTTTTTAGAAATAATTTGAGACTATAAGACGTCTGGAGGGTGTATAATTGCAAAGCGTAAATTAGAGTTAGAGGCGAATAATCAGTTAATTTACATTCTTTGGTTAGCTTTAACCCAGTCCTTCATTTCACCAAAATAATATTACCTAATTTCTACTTTATCATTCATACATATTTTAAGGAAACATATTGAGGTCAAATGTTAATTTCATCTTCCGTTGGATGGTATCAAATATTAATTTCATCTTCCGTTGGATGGTATCAAATATTAATTTCATCTTCCGTTGGATGGTATCAAATGTTAATTTCATCTTCCGTTGGATGGTATCAAATGCATTGATTCTAATTTGTCTGATAGTAAATGACATTCCTTTTTAAAAAATAACGAAATATTTTTATTATTTATCATTATTTTTAAAAGGGGCGGGATTAAATGAAAATTGTTGCATACTAAAAAAACCAGCTTCTTATCAAGGAATATGCATTTCTTCATAACAATCCTGTTTTTTTTGGTATGCAACAATTTTCATTGAATCCCGCTACTATGAAATCATTTCTTGTGATTTAAATTAGAAGTTTTCTATTAAATCTCAACAAAATTTACTGCAGTCAAAAATTGATCCCATGCTAGGCAAACTTGCCCGTCAATGCTTTTTCTCTTAAAAACACTTTTAACATATTTTAAAGCACATTTTCTTTAAAGGATAAGATTTCAAACAACAATATATTTCAATATCTACAGTATTTATGTAACAATTATCAAGCAGGAATATAATCAAAACAAAGCAAATATTCAGATATTGTTAAAGGGAAAGTTGACATTATTTTAAGCCATTCTTCATATGTAAAGTGACATTTCCGATTCACAACGGTACTCTTATTCTACCTTTGTCTGATTAGGGGTGAATGAGATATATAAATAAAGAGTCACTTGAAATTTTGTCATCATTCCCTTTAGCTTTATATACTATAATTTAGTTGCAGACTAAGTATTTAACAAAATGTAGCACCAAGGAGTTTGACAATTATAAAAACAAAGGAAATGAGTTTTAGCCACAAACTCTGATTTTCTTATCAATATATCTTTGCAACCCAATCTCGCAGACCTTGGATATTACAAACTAAGAATTATGTTAGATTAAATAGTCTAAGTTTGAAATATCAAAAGTTCACACCATTGGGTTGCAAAGATATTGTAATTAAAACTGTGAGTTTGTGGCAAAGACTCAATTCCTTTTAGTCATAATTTGTCAAATCAAAAAATTACAAATTCTCTGAAGCACTCAGCTCTAAATCCTCTGTAGAACATCTTCTCCTGAAACAATAAGTATTTTCAGAGGAATCGAAAGAATTTATAAAATGTCGTTTTGACAACTTTTCAATTGGTTTTATACTTATACCTAAATCTTAGTAATTGTAAAATAAAACTATGCGGGAAACAGATTTAAGAAGCTCCATATAGTTATTCAAATAAAAAACGAAATATCTGCAGCATTCTGCATTTCATTAACGGTAGGTTTAGAAAACGACATTTTATAAATTCTTTCAATATCTCCGAAGTACTGGGTTTAACTGTAGTTAAATTATGGATTGTTATTAGGTCCGTTGTAAGTAAACTTAAAGAAAATCTAATTTTGCAAAGTGTCAAAACTTGAAGGTTTTTTAAAGTATCTCTCAAGCCAGAAGCTTTAAATGTTTAAAAACAGACCTGAAAAAGATGTCCATAGGAAGATGACTTTTAGACTCAATAACACAACAATTGTCAAGTGTAAACAGACCCATTTCACTTATTTAGTGATTTTCAAGCTACTGTGCTTTATAGATATGACAGTCTAACAGTATCAAAGAATGTTTAAATGTCGTTTTTTTGTTCCAAAGTTTTATAGGCCCTAGTTTAGATATGAAAATCTTTAAATATTTAGATAGGTTTGAAGGTTTGTTTAGAACGCTAAGAAAACTAAAAAAAAATTTAATATTTTTTTTATAAAACTGAATCAGAAAAAAAACAATCAGAACAATTATAAAATTATCAAAAAAACATCTTAAAAAATCAGGTTCATTAAATAAATCAATGTATTTTTTGCGAAAACATAAAACTTACATAAAAGCAATGTTTGCTGAGGCAACTCTTGTTTTAGCCTCATTCCTCCTTTTCGTCATAATAGCCTAGAGATAATAAAATAAAGGGAGTGTGCGGGAAAAATTAAATTTTAAATTTTTAAGTTGTCAGCCCTGATCTTGGAATTAATGAATAAGGAAAAATATTAAACTTCATGGCCACAGCTAGTGCTGGGCAACGCTCCGTAAAGGAACGACAATTTTTTTTAATTAACGACTGATTCCTTTAATGAACGGCAAAAACTTTTAATTTTGAAATCGTTAACGAAAAAAATTAACGGAAAATAAATAAACTAAAGAAATTTATGACGACTTTTTTAATGTTTCAGCGAAAAATTGCATGTAACTTAATTTTTTTTTAAAATAATTAAATGCTTATGTTGATATTTTAAATGTCGTCTTCTAATTTTCCCAACTATATTTACATGAAGTGATAGTGAACGAAACGCGCCAATTACGATTTCTAAGATATATTCTGTTCACGCCTTTAATTAAAAAATTCGTTAACGAACGGTAAATTTAGGAAAGAACTGAATATAATCCAGCTACCTTGAAAGCTGGAAACGGTCAGCTATTTCAACTAACATTATCGAACAACTTGAAAAAAGACTGAACGTTCCCAGCCCTAGCTACAGCTATTTAAACTATACTATCCTTATTACTTATTGCCCGCGAAATAAAAAAATCGTATTTTAAAGAAGAAAAAAAACTTTTTAAGAATTAAAATCGTTTTTTAAAAAAAAAATTAAAATTATTTTAGTCTATGTTAATGCTATGGGTTCCCTCAAAAAATGTCAGCCAATTTGGTCTAACGGTTTGGCCAACTGTAATATGAGCGAAGAGCTTTATCATAGATATTGTCCTTACCCTCATCCTTGTTTTAGCAGTACAGCAGAAACAAAGTATCTCTATTGAAGCTTGTCGTAGTCCTCTACAGTACAAGAATAAGATTTATTATGTGTAAATATAATAATTACACTGTAATGCAGTATTATGCATAATTTACTGATTCAATGCACCAGCAAAAGAAACTCAACATATGTCTCTTATACATATAAAATCCTTACATCTTTGCAACCAAATGGCGTATACCTTTGATATTTAAACTGTGGCTTCTGCAAAATCAATTAGTTAGTGAAATATTAAAGGTTTACATGATCAGGTTGCACAGATAAGGGATGAGAAAACTAAAATTTTGTGACTAAGAATCACTTAATTTATTATCATTGTTTTTTTTTCGAATTATCAATTATTTCAAAATAAAACCTTCAAAAATTTCAATATTAATGAAGACTTTAATGACATGTGTATATACTGGCTAAGATTAGAACTAAACAATATTGTCCTTTGACTGTGTTTTCCTAGTTTTGCAAGAATTATTTTTGTTTTGTTTTTAAACAAATTATTCCGGGATAGAGTTGAAAAACTTTTCCTGGAATAAAAATGTTAAAATTCGTATCCTAAAAGTTAGGTAAGGACACGTTTTGACAAATGATAGCTTGTCCACCATATCTTTCCATTCTTCACCCACTCCACCCATTGCTTCTCCCCCCTCCACCCATCCCTCCTTCCCCCCCTCCCACCTCCATATATTTCCATTCTTCCCCCTGACTCCTTCAGCACACAATTTATTTTCTTATTACGTAATGGAATCACAAAAAAGTATGTTATTTGGAAAAATTGTAAAATGTAAAAATATTTTTTTTTTCAAAATATATTTTCTGGGATATTAAATTGTGCAACCACTTAAATAATATATATAATTTTTTAGCCATTACAAGACAATGTCTAAACCAGATTGGGCATAGAGATGGAGTGAACGAAATTTTTGAGAACGAACGAAATTTTTTGTGAAAAAAGGTGTTGTTCAGAAAAAAACGAACAATACCGATGGAAAACGAAAAGGATCGTTTAGAGAAATGAAAAACGATAGTTTTTTTACTGAACGAATGATTTTTTGGAACATACTTTTTATAAAATGATATTTTTTACTGAACAAACGATTTTTAAGAACAATGTTTTAAAAACTATCGTTTTTTTACTGAACGAACGTTTCCACTTGACGAACTAAATTTGAAGAAAAATGTACAATAATTTTGAGAACAAACAAAATAAATTTGTTTAAACGACTGAAAAAAATGGGTCGTTCAAGAATGATGAACAAACGAAATTTAAAAAGTCGAATGTGCCCATCTCTAGTTGGACAGAATATTGGCCAAGCCCTGCGTTCAAGAATGCATTTGTTTTTAAACAAAGTAGGGGGGAACTTTAAATCCGCATAAAAGATATTGATTAAAGAGTCCACTGACCTGTGAAGAACAAGGAAAAGTGCAGGGTTTACAAAACTGTGAACTAGAGCAACATGTAATGTTACTTCATGGGCTATTGACTGCTTGCCCTATATAAAATTAAATATATTTCTTAGAGAAATTTTGATATTTCCTTATTTTTTTATATATATCTATTTATATAGTATAACAATTAAACGTCGCAAAAAAAGTAAGCGACGCGACATTTTTAGCAAAATAACTTAATATCTACGTCATTTGTTTTGTTTTGTTCCTGGTTATCACTGTTTATGTTATTCATTATTCCTGAATAACCGTTGCATCAAGACAAGGAAACAAACATTTCATAAAATTTTCTATATTTCTTAATTTTTTTATTCTTTATGTATCTCAAAGTTCTTTTTTATTTTTTTCCACGCTATAAGCTAAAAAAGCATAAACCTTCTCGATAAAAGGCCAATTGTCTGTCCAACACTTTATTGCTAAGCGAATAATAGTGTTATATATATATAAATATAGTTTTTTTACCTCTTGCAGCTCCCATCCGTAGTTAAACAAAGTTACAAGGAAGAGAGGTCCCCAAAATATTAAATAGGCCAGAGTTATTATTAGAAACATCTGAAATAAAGAATTTATAAGGAACAGAGTTTTAATTAGGAACATCTGTAACAAAGAGGTTTATAAGGAACAGAGTTATTATTAGGAACATCTGAAATAAAGAGGTTTATACGGAAATGTAGCTGTTATTAGGAACATCTGTAATAAAGAGGTTAATAAGAAACAGAGTTATTATTAGAACATCTGTACATTGAAGATGGAAAAATCACAACAGATCTCTACAGAAAACCCACAGATAGATGCATGTACCTACCTACTTCCATCATCTTGCCACCCAGCACATATTTCTAACAACATACCTTATTCACTTGCATACAGAATTGTACGAATTTGCAGCAAACCAGAACTTAGGGATGCCCAATTCTTAAAACTAAGGGATTTTCTTCTCAGCAGGGATTACAATTCTTCAATTGTTGACTCTGCTATAGTCCGAGCTAAAGCTATACCTAGAGAAGTTGCTTTAAAGAAAGTGGAGAAAAAGGAGAAACCAGATCGAGTTATATTCTCTATCTCATTTAATCCCCAGCTGCCTTGTATCTCCTCCATCATACAGAAACATTGGAGAACCATGGTCCNCCATCTCATAATCTGAGTTCTTTTCCCTTATGTCCATTTGACAGCCCAAATTTTTATTTTGAATAATTTTTTTGTTTGTTTATATTATTGTGATTTTTACATTTTTTTTTATTTTTTTAATCGATTTTGATGGTTATTATATCGTTAGAACTGACGAGGGTCAACCCAGACCGAAATATATTTTCAATAAATGTGGAACTAACATCTACTTTTTTACTCTACAGAGGTTTGGTCCATCACCATCACTGAATTTTAAATAGAACATCTTTGATAGCGAGATTTATAAGGAACAGAGTTATTATGAGGAACATCTGTAATAAAAAGGTTTATAAACAAAAGAGTTACTATTAGAAACATCTGAAATATAGAGGTATATAAGTATTAGTAAGAGCTTCTGTAAAAAATCGTATATAACGAGCAGAGTTATTATTTGGAAAATCTGTAAAAACGAGGTATTATAAGGAACAAAGTTATTATTAGGAACATCTGTATTACAGAGGTTTATAAGAAACAGAGCTATTATTAGGAACATCTGTAATAAAAGGTTCATAAGGAACATAGTTATTATAAGGAACATCTGTAATAAAGAAGCTCATAAGGATCATAGTTATTATAAGGAACATCTGTAATAAGAAACTGAGTTATTATTAGGGACAGCTGTAAAAAAAGAGGTTTATAAGGAACAGAATTATCATTAGGAACATCTGTAATAAAGAAATTATAAGAAATAGAGTTATTATAAGAAAAGTCTGTTTTAAAGAGTTTTATACGGAAGGGTGTTATTATGAGGAAAATCTTTGATAGAGAGGTTTATAAGGAACAGAGTTATTATTAGGAACAGCTGTAATAAAGAGGATTATATGGAACAGAGTTATTATTAGGAGCATCTGTATAAAGAGGTTTATAAGGAACAGAGTTATTAGGAATATCTGTAATGAAGAAGTTTATAAGAAGCAGAGTTATTATTAGGAACATCTGTAAAAAAGAGGTTTATACGGAAATGTATCTATTATTAGGAACATCTGTAATAAAGAGGTTAATAAGGAACAGAGTTATTATTAGAACATCTTTGATAGCGAGATTTATAAGGAACAGAGTTATTATGAGGAGAGAACACCTAAAATCGTAATGTAGAACCAGTGAGAAAATTTTGAATTTACGAATTATTTTTTTTTTTAATCTTATATCCTAATATTCTATTTGTAATTTTGAAAAAAAATTTTCTCATTTCCAAATGTGCTCTCGGTAATTTTGATATTAAAAGGTCTGTAAATGTAATTTTAAGTAACCTTCCAATTATTGAGTATAACTGTCCGATTAACAAATCTTTGTATGTTCAAGTATGTGCATGTGCATACAGTCCCGTTAACAGTGGATTATTTAAAAAATATTAAAAGTGAATCCTAGCAGGCAGCTGGGTAAAATATTTGAAGTGAATCCTAGAAGGCAGCTGGGTAAAATATTTGAAGTGAATCCTAGCAGGCAGCTGGGTAAAATATCAAAAGTGAATCCTAGAAGGCAGCTGGGTAATATATTTGAAGTGAATCCTAGAAGGCAGCTGGGTAAAATATTTGAAGTGAATCCTAGAAGGCAGCTGGGTAAAATATTTGAAGTGAATCCTAGAAAGCAGCTGGGTAAAATATTTGAAATGAATCTTAGAAGGCAGCTGGGTAAAATATTTGAAATGAATCCTAGAAGGCAGCTGGGTAAAATATTTGAAGTGAATCCTAGAAGGCAGCTGGATAAAATATTAAAAGTGAATCCTAGAAGGCAGCTGGGTAAAATATTTGAAATGAATCCTAGAAGGCAGCTGGGTAAAATATTTGAAGTGAATCCTAGAAGGCAGCTGGGTAAAATATTTGAAGTGAATCCTAGCAGGCAGCTGGGTAAAATATTTGAAGTGAATCCTAGAAGGCAGCTGGGTAAAATATTTGAAATGAATCCTAGAAGGCAGCTGGGTAATATATTTGAAGTGAATCCTAGAAGGCAGCTGGGTAAAATATTTGAAGTGAATCCTAGAAGGCAGCTGGGTAAAATATTTGAAGTGAATCCTAGAAGGCAGCTGGGTAAAATATTTGAAGTGAATCCTAGAAGGCAGCTGGGTAAAATGATTGATGTATTGGATTCACTCACTCTTCATAGATATAAACTCAGTCAGAATCTATTCAATCAAATCCTTTAAACCATAAATGATATTTCTAGAAATGTTCAGATATGATCAGACCTACACTCTAATATATACATTATACAATCCATAAAAAGCTTGAAAAAGAAATTGAAAGCTATCTTCCCTCCACATTGCTTACCTAACTCTGTTTTTAAATCTCATCGACAGTTCCATATCAATAGTTGCATATCCGATTTAAAACGTTATATTGTTAATTGTTTTATTAAAAAGTTGCTGAAGGCTTTGCGTTGCCCGTGGAATTGAATAAAAAAAATTTAAGTTTTAAAAATGTCAGCTCATGCGGTCCAGCCAATTGGCCGGCTTTAGGGAACATATATACGAATGTCTTGTTTTATTATTTAGATTGACAGTTTTCAGACTAGCGAAATGCCACAGAGAGACAACGAACAAAATCTACAAAATTAAACGAAAACCTATGATAGTTTCTTTATTGTGGTGCAGTAAAGGTGTTTGTTGTGAATCGGGCATTCAACTCTTTAATTGGATCTCACTTGAAATTACATTGATAGTTTCTTTAGTAAAGAATTTGAAAGCTTAAAGGGAGTAACTGGCAATGTATGGTGGTTGAATTGATTGTGCAGTGTTGTAGAAAATCTTTCTAGGATTCATTTGAGACATATAAAACGTTTCCACGATGTGTAATTACTGAGTTGGAGTGCAAAGTTGACATTCAAAATTATGAATTTGGGTGAGAATGATTACAGAATCGGATTTTTTTTTTAAATTATTAAATGACGACGACAAAATATAAAGTAAAAATAATACAGTAAACTAATAGATGGTTAGGAACTTATTTCTAAAATGCAATTTGTCAATAAATTAATGTTAGAATCAATTATTTCGTTTTCATCATTATATCGAATTTCTTATTTTCTATGAATTTGTTTGCAGATTTCTACAAATTCTTTAAATGTCGTCTTTTCAATAACATTCCAGAAAATCTGCAGAAAATCTTAGTGAATAATGAGATGTTATAGAAACTAATAATTGAATAAGATTACTTATTTTCGATGATAAGAGTCAATTTTTATTCTCTCAACCTGTTCCTAAACAATTAATTAGTTTACTGTAGAATTTTGTTTACATTTTTTGTCGTCGTTATTTAGTAATTAAAAAAACGGTTCTGAAAACGAACCCACCCAAGTTCATGATTCTGAACGTCGACTTTGCGCTCAAACTCAGTAAATATACGTCGTAGAACCGGTTTATATGTCCTAAAAAATATGTCAACAACACTGCATACTCAGTTCAACCCCCATATATTGCCGTTCACTCCCTTTAAACATCTTGAAGTTTACCAGCTTGAAATCTAACTGAGAAACTACAAGTTTAAAGTAATTTGCTTAATAGAAATTATTCCCTTTGAATTTTATTTTATTAAATAAAATGAAATTAACTGAGTTTTTATTCTAATTCCTCTTTGTTAAAGAAGAATAAATCTTTAAATAAAGTTATTAATTATCTTTTCAAACTAAGAGAGTTTTACTTTTGTATAAGAATCATTATCAACATTGCAAAAAGTGCATATTTGATTTCTTAATTAATTTAATTTATTTAATTAATTAAATAATACATAAACTGTTCACTATAATTTTTTGTTATGACCTTAGAAAATTTTTTAGCTGCTGCTTTTTTATTTTTAAGCAGAGCTTACATTCTTCCGAAGTTAAGATTTGTCGAATTTCATTATTGCATACCATTGCATACCATTGGAACAGGTCAAAATACCCGCCAAAAGTAGAAATACAGTAGAAATAAGAAAACCGTAACCTACTTGCATTAATCCCAATCTTATTATGGTTGTACGACCTAATAAGATCATTCAAACTTTTTACTTTTAACCAATCATATTTTTTGCACAAAACTTTGCCAAGAAAGGTTAAGATCTCTTTGACTAAAAATAATCTCAAGAATTTCCAATAAAAAGGAAACTTTTCTGCAACTTTCCTGGGAAGAGGACTCAGCTCAGAAGTTTGATTAACGTATAAAGATTAACCATTCAAGATTCTAGGTCAGCTCAACCAGAGCTCGGAACTTTTGAGGAGAGTATCGTTAATATTGAACGCTTGATCTCAATATCTTATGTGGGCACTTTTCAAGTTGAGAATAAATTCCTGTTCTTACAAAAGAAATTCCCTTTAGAGGTTGGAACTTTTGTGTGAAGTATTGGTAATCATGCTTGGCCATAATAACAGATAGTTCAACAATTTTTTTGTTTCATAATCATAGATATATATATATATATATACAGGGTGATTAGCGGCGTCAGTTGCAAAGAAATTGTTCTTTTTGTTCATCTCTCCTGAATGGTGGTTTTTTCAACATTTTTTGAAAAAATTTTCTTTCTTTTGGTACTCCAATGGCCCAAAAAAATCCGCGAAACTTATAAAATGTGTATTTATATTGTTTTATCAAATTCTAAAATTTTATAAATATTGAATCAAAGGAAATTCGCAAAATTGTAATAACAAAATTCGCAATTATCAGTTCCATTCTGGTCTAATTTTTAGGAAAAAGTTGTTTTTCAATGGCTCTTCAGGTTTCAACTGAACAGCATACATTTATAACTTCAGAAGATACAAAGAAGAAAGGAACTAGAGGATTTAAAAAACTTTTCTTTAAAAATTTTACCAGAACTGAAACTTATTAAATTTTGCAAATTTTCTGTGATTCTGTAATTTAATCTTTATAAAATTTTAGAATTTGATAAAAATTATATTTTTACACATTTTTGCTTTCCTGATGAGAGAAAAAAATGGTTCGCGGATTTACAATTTTGCACCAAGCGCTGCTAATCACACTTTTTTTGACACACCCTGTATATAATTTATACATACACATACACCTTGCTTGTTTCTTTGTGTCCATTTCCAATAAACGCGAGAACGGTCTAACCGATTTGGTCCGATTTTTTGTGTGGAAACTAATATAACCCAAGGACCCAGGGAAGATTAAATTTAAAAATCTTGTCTGAATAAAATGTCGACATTCATAAGTTTAAAAAATGCATGGATTTAACCAGAACAATTCCTAGAAAATTTGCGGTATTTTTTAGAAGGAAATGAAAAATACTGACTTTTAGAGTTAAAATTGATTGCTATTAGAAGATTGGACACAAAGTGACGTAAAATGCGAGTATTATTTAATTGGTATATTTTGACAAAATTACCTTGACTCGTTCAATTCCTTCTCTTTCAACCTTGTTGAGGTAAATCTTTACTTTCTCAGGATCCGCATACAGTATCCTAAAACTTCATAGATAGGAATTGAGTATTTGCCACAAACTCTGATTTTCTGGTCCCTATATCTTTGCAACCCGATGTTGTAAACCTTAGATATTTTAAGCTATAAATTCTGTTAGATCAAATATTCTGAGTTTGAAATATCATAGGTCTATGACATTGGGTTGCAAAGATAAAGTGATTAGAAAATCAGAGTTTATGGCAAAGACTCAATTCCATTAATTATATTAAAGGAATTGTACACGTAATTTGAAGAATCAGACCGACTTTTAGGCTGCTGAAGCAAGTTGTAAAAATAAATTAACACAAATCATCCCATTCTAGTGAGATTAATATCACATTTAAAGAGGGATATTTCCGGTTTACAACGCGGTACCCTTTAAACAATTCTAAATTCTAATTTTAAGAACAAGAAAAGAATAAGAAAATCCTAAATATTTTAAAAAGAAAACTTTCAAATTAATTGAAGAATATTCCTGGAAAATAATAATTATAAAACCTTGGTTTTGTTGGAGAGGAGAAAAGAGACTGATTGTGATTACAGGAATTGTGCAGAGCAGCACCTTCGTTAGTACCATTGGGTTTCTTAGCAGTACCATTCAGTTCCTTTGGTCGGCCATTTTGTTTCTTAACAGCACCAGCTGCTAAAGATATAGCGGTTGCAGCAGCAGTAGCAGTAGCGTCGGTGGGGATACCACCAGTTGAAGTATGAGCAGAAGTAGCATTGGATAAAGTAGCAAGGTCATTATCCTCTTCTACAAGAAGTATATTTTTAACTTGGCAAAAATGGCGCTTTGTGCCCTTATTCTTTGTATTCACAGGCAATTCTCAATTTTTAAATATTAGCATTTAAAAAACCGCGTATTTTTCTGTCTGTCTATTGTCAGGTTTTGCGAAAAATTTTAATTTCTTTTGCATCTTTTTCATTTTCACCAACCATAAATCTGCTATGGTGTGATGTTAGCTAACACAAAAAAATGGGCCCGATTGGTTCAGCCGTTTTGACATTAAATGCAAACATTTCAATGGACAACCAAAAAATGTATATGGAGGAAAGACAATTCCTTATTGAAGTTTGACTTCTCATATGCCGAAATGTTTTAAATTGTTATTTATTCACACATGGTATAAAATTTTTACAATAGAATATGTCGAAAAACATTTGATGGTGATTGCTATTCTTATTTCTATCTGTTGCGTCTTTAAGGAGAAGATTGTTAAAAGCGACTCATATCAAAGAACGTAGCCTCCATACAAATTCAGAAAGTTGCAACATTCAACTCGGATTGTAAACAAATCAAATTGATTCCAAACAAATCATCAGATATAACAATCTATAATCATTGATTTTTTTAGACGCATTCATATATAGTTGATACTTCATAATATTATTTTATTTGCTTTAGATATACAATTGAACTTAATACGACGATTTTCAGTCCGCTATGTGTCTCTGCCACGCGGAATAATGCAGAAACATCGAGAGCTGAGAAACTTGGCGGCCAACTAACCGCCGTTTAAATTGTATCATATATCAAATATAAAATATGATATACGAATGCGTCGAAAAATAATCAATGAATATAGGTTGTAAAATCTGAATGATTTGTTAGGAATTAATTTGATTTTTTTACGATCCTACCCAAGTAACAATTTTGCGGAAAATCCGCAGAAATTCCCAGGAATCTTTCACAGGAAAATCCGGTGAAAATGCCTACAGCTATTCCGAGGAATTTCTCGCTACCCATTCCGAGGAACCAGGTCCGAAAAATTTCTTGAGTTGAATATTGCAACTTTCTGAATATATGTATGGATGCTACGGTATGAGTCGAATTAAGCCATTTTCTCCTTATAGACGAAACAGAGAGATGTAGCATCACCATCGAATATTTTTTTATGAAAGCTTATACCCCCCTTTCATTTTTCGCGAACACTCCCTTTAAGATTTTATCATTTTAACAAACTCTGTATGTGTAAACGTGAAGGGTAACAACAAAAGATGTAATTGAGCAAACTTTATTCCTTCTTTTGATGTAATTATTTCAGAAACTTTGTTTAAAGTTTTAAAATAAGATAAAGCCAAATAAAATTTGGGATTCACTTGTTTGTTTCTAATGCAATTAGAAGTAGAATGTTGGTTGATTCTAATTTAATAAAGTTCAAATTGAATTTGTGCAAATTTCAAAGAGAATTTTTCAGATTTTTATTTTATTTCCGGTGGGTTGAAAACAAATTAATGTTATGCATGACATATTCTAGATGAGTTTGTCCTTATAAATTACAATTCAAGCAAAAATTCAGGAAACTTATTATTTTGATTCAATATCAAAATAAGAATTCTTAGAACACCGGAACAGTAATTTTTAAATAAATAAGAATAAGTTAAAATATTTCTACTTTTGGTGTTACTTTGCAAGTTTATGTATTGTGATAGATTCAAAAAAATAGATTTTGGAAAGTTTATGCTATTGTTATGCAGGCCGAATTAATGTTCAGTGCCTGTGGGCTGTGATCTAATGAATCTAATAGAGTCTATAACATTGAGTCTTGGCATTTTTCTTCATGCTGATGCTACACATACATTATAGACTTTCTAGGAATAGAATATACAGAAACATTTATATGGAAGGACATTGGAAAATTTGAATGATATTATTGTGAAATTAACAATATTTATTTACCCACCCATACCCCAACATGACGGAAAAAAACAAAGGGTTCCAATGAAAGGTTCCCAACAGCCAATATTAAGCAAAAATAGTCTATTAATGATATTTATGTTATATTACCTGGATTAAGTATAGATGTAACTAGTGTAGCAACCCTTAAAGCATCCTCGCTAGTTTGAGAAAAGTATCTGGGTACATTCCTTTATCAATCCATTCAAAAATAATCAACTATTTATTTTTTTTTGGCAGCCAGGGTTTCTGTGCTCATCTAGTAAGCCATCAAAATACTCAATTAAATGCATAAAACAAAAATCAAGCTATAAATCGTCTTATTTTAGAGTTTTTACAGTCTCGTTATAGTTAACCATCTAAAATATAGATTTATTATATTATGAAAAGTATGTATGTATATATATACATCATAATATTGGAAATTAATTCTTAAAATTAAAGTCTGTCCCACAAAACATTATGCAAAGTATGTATGTATATATATATATACATTGCATGAATATCATAATATTGGAAATTAATTCTCAAAACTAAAGTCTGTCCCACAAAACATTATGGTTAAGAGACGACTCAAAGACCATCTTCGATCTTTTGGATCATTTGCCAGATTCATTTGTCAACCTATTTGAACTTTATACTTTTAATTTATGTCTTATTTATCTGTTCCCTTCAGTAAATTGTCCACCTTTGAAGAAAAGGAACAATTTATTTATGAAAACGAGAATAAGACTGATTCCCTATATTATTCATAATTTATATTTGTCTAAAGCAAAATTACATTAAACAATATAAAAGTTTACAATTTAATACAAATACTCTTTTCTCTGGATATCGCATTTAATGATTGACAGGGTTTGCCAAAAATCAAGTGCAACAGAAAAGGGGTTTCTTGGTTCCAGTCCAGCGTTTCCAGATTTCTAAAAATGTGGTATGATGACAGCACTGCAAGGCTTGATAGAGTTTTGCACATTGCTTTGAAACTAACACTTTGTTTGCAGAGCTTATGCAGTTTCTTTAGATTTGCTTTGATCGTGAGATATAGCCTCTTGAGCCGATTTCAAAAGGGTGAACAGACACATCCCTAGTTGCAGTACAGATGCATTATGCATGAGGAAGTAAGAAATAGTGATGAGAAAAGAGGTAAAAACTCTTAACGCAGCAGGAGAACAGAAACGGGGGGTAGGGGATAATGAAAGTAAAAAATAGCCAAGAGAAACAGATGAAAAACTATGTTAACCCCTGTGCATGAGAATAACATAAATAAAAATGAATAAAAAAGGAGAAAAAAAGAATACAAAAATACCAGTTCTTCTGCTAAAGAATAACAAAAAAAATTTTAAATCAAAGAGAAAAAACATCATTTCTAAAGATAAAAAATGAAAAAAAAGAGAAAAAATAAATAAACAAAAAATTCTCCATGAAGTTTTGAAACTTTTTGTTTTCTAGATCCTAGTACACGAGTACGTCGTAGAAATAATGAAAAAATGAGAGTCAAAGGTATGGAAAACGGAAGTAAGATTAGATGAAGCAAAAAAATGTTGTCTTTAAAATTAAAGCAAAAGTTTCCAAATATATCCGAATTTGTTCATTTCTGTAATTTTGAAGGCTTAAAAAATGGAAAATTACATTCAGGAAATGCCAAAACTATTAGCACTAATACTTTGTAATTATTGGTTCAATGATTTTACTAGTAAAATTGGGTTATATATGAATGCTGCATATTATTTCAAAAATCAAAGTCGGCTTGTAACTGTCATGCTTTGTAAAACACCCTGTATGCTGTATACATTATCTAATGACTCGAAGAGATGAATTGGTAAATGATATGAGAATGCCTGTATAGTTTAAGAAGATGATATATTGTAAGAAGGATACAGATTAAGTTGATTGAGATCCACAACAAGTTAAGGATATAATGTCTATAATGGTTCAAATTAATAATATGGTTAATGCTAATGTATTAAATTAATTAGCATCTCTAAAATCTTTCGGATAATTATCATTAATTTTTAAGAATACAGCATTTTAGAAATGTGAATTTAGTGCATAAAGAATAAGATACAAATTGTCGAATAGTAAACTTATAATCATCTTAATAGGACATTTAAAGAGGCGTGCATGTCAGATTCACAACGGTGTTCTTTAAACCTTTTTCTCAGTTACTGGAGTAATTCATGCAAGTCAAAGAACGTATTACGGAATTACAGAATTACTTTTTGAGGTCATTGAGCCTCAGAAAAAAATGATTGAAAAGTACCATTGTGAATTGTTCATTGTGGAGGGAGTGACAGCAATTATCAAAAATGCCAAAAATAGGAATTTCCCAAATGCCTGGGTATCTGGGAAGTTTCCCAAATACCAACAGATATTTGAGTGTGGTATATTTTTAAGATTTTGGGAATTTCTCAAATGACTGGAAATTTCCAAGATACCCAGGCATTTGGGAATTCCCCAAATACCCAGATATTTGAGGAATTTCCCAAATACCCAGACATTTGGGGAATTTCCCAAATGTCTAGGTTTTTGGGAGACTCCCCTAATATCCAGTCATTTGAGAAGTTTCCAAAATCTTTTAAATTTACCATTCTCAAATACCTATAGGAATTTGGGGAATTTCCCAAATGCCTGGGTATCTGGGAAATTTCTCAAATGTCTAGGTTTGAGAAATTTCCAAAATCTTAAAAATATACCTCCCTTAAATACCTATAGAAATTTGGGAAATTTCCCAAAATGCCTGGTTATCTCGGAAATTTAACAAATGCCTGGGTATCTGGGAAATTTCCCAAATGCCTTTTTTTAAAAAAAAGTAAATGCTGTCGTGTCATGCACTCTTGTTAGCCTGCAGTCCATTTAAGTAGATCTTTTTTGTAATGGATAATTATAATTACAATTTTTTTCTGAGAATTTATTTGAACTATTCCTGTATGGACCCTGCACCAGGGGACAGGATGGCTCTCGCGGCCTAAATATAAAATTTAAAAAAAAAGTATGATTATTTTATAACACTGTAAAACGAGTTTTAGAACGTCCGTCTAATTCTAAATGTGAAATATTAAAGGTTTCCAAACTCCGAATAATATGAGAAAATTCTGATTTTCTAAAATGGTTTTTCACCAGCTGTTATGTGTTCTAACATAAATGTTTTGACTGACACCATCAAGGGCAAACTTGTGATACGGGATAGCACTAAGCTTTAGCGACTAAACTAGATATCCACTGCACACACTTTTAAATTAGAGGTTAATGTTTTAAATAGGAAAAAGTTATCTATATCAGAGGCAATTGGGATTTTAAAAATTGAGGAATTATCCCAATCATTTGAAGTTAGCCAGTCAATATCTAAATTAAGCACTGCAGATCAGCTCTATCTCACTTTAAAAAGTTTTCATCACTAACAAAATTTAGAACTTGAAAAGTAAACAATATCACGCTTGATTGCAGATTTCATCTTTTCTTTCAAGAAAATCCCAAGAGTATGGGGTGAAATGAGATCATATTGCAAAAAAAAATGAAAAATATTTACTCGTTCAAACCAAATTTTAAATAATAATGGTTGGAGTGCCTTCATTTTAATACTTTGGTTGAATAAGAAAAGAAAAAAATTAAAAAGTGGGCAATAAACAGTAAATTCAAAGAATAATTAATGATTAATAAGATAATTTTACAATTTCTTTAATTTTAAGCTTTGAAACCTTTGCACCTTTGTATATTTTTAAGAATAACCTGGTTGGGCGGGAGGTTGATTTTTAAAGATCTAAGGGAAAAGTAAAAAAATTGGACATCAAAGGAAATTTTCCCAAAAGGCCAACTTCCCAAAGGTTACGTTAAGCCTTTGAAGACGCCACAGGCTGCAACGAGGGTCGAAAGCTGTGGCTAGGATGGGGTAGGGACCGAGCGCTACGGCTAGGATGAACTAAGGGTCTAGGACTGGCTTGGGAAATTACCACTTGTGATGAAAATGTCATTGGGGAAGTTGCCATTTGGGAAAGTACCTAACGTCTCGAATATTACCTAAAGTTTGAATTGGCCGCCATTGTACCACTGAGGAAGGTGGGACCAAGGTTTATTGTGATACTTGCAAACCTATAGTATTGATTTTTATCTATCTATGTATATATATATATACTTTGCTTGTCTGTTTGCTTGTGACCTCAAAACGGCTCAAACGATAGGGCCCAATTATTTGTGGGACCTCACTTAACCCCAGGGAAAATTTATATATGATCAGAATTTCAAAAATTTGCCTCTAAATCCCTTCAATCTTCATAAAATTTTGAAAATCCACAAAAATATATTATCAAATCCACGAACTGTTTATGATATCGTTAAATAATGTAAACAAAGAGTAAATGTTCTTAAAAAGAGCAACAATTAAATTTTTCTTTAGAAATCCCTTTACTTCTTTTATACAGGGATACCCACAAGGGATGAGACATCAGAGACGATTGCAGTACAAAATTTGTTTAGTCCGTTTTCTTGCATTTATGGCTCCTTGTATGCCCAATTTGCCTTATTTCTGTGCTTAATCTTTTAGTAAACAATCAAAATACTCAATTGAATTTTTTGGGTCGGCTTTACAGTGTCATTCTTTGTGGATAACCCCGTATATATAAAGTACACTGGATTAATAAATTAGAGTTTTGTTAATTTTCAGAAATAAGTTTTCACCAGTAGACATCGTTCTTAGAATACATGAAAGAATTGTCAACAAATTATATATTAAACTTTTCTATAGAACACAGAGCTAGAAGAAATAATTTTATTTAAAAATCTAGAAAATCTTGTTTAGGTTTCAGTTGGTGACGTGAAGAAACTGTAAGTGTAATAACATTCCATTCACAAAGATACCATTATAACAATTTTATTCTTTTTAAAAAATGTGAGAGAAAAATAAGGATATCTGTATCTTTTTTGTTCAGACGAAAACATAGAGGAAACCTTCGTGAATTAGACCTGCATCACTTTTTGTCGAAAATAAGGAAATCAAGAAAAATAATTCATACTCTCGCAATCGATACTTTCGTTGTGATGTACACAAAATAAAATATGCTTGTCTGTATGATTATTTGAGTGTCTGTTTGTTTTTATCCAATAAACGTCAAACGGCAGAACAGATCGAGTCATATTTTGAAAATCCACGAAAAAATTTTTTAAATCCGTTAATTTTTTATTTTTGTACAGCACAGAAAAGGCTAAAAGATTGAGCAACTATTAAAAGTTGAAAAAGAAGATGTGCCCGCAGCAACTCGATGTCATAGACCTTTTACATTTCAAACTATTACTTCTGATAGATTAAATAGTCTAAGTTTGAAATATCAAAGGTTTAAACCACCAGGTTGCAAACATAACGGGATAAGACGTTTAAGTTTCTGACAAAAAATCATTTCCTTTTTGTCCTATAATATGTCGAAAGATGTTTTATCACAGATGTTGATGACAAATCATAGATTTCATTCATAGAGCCTGTGAAGCACTGCAATGCACATAAGTTCAAAAACGGGTGTGTGGCCCATTTCTTTAGAAATAAGCATGAGTAAAAAATTGGGGTTTTAGGATATTTTTTTCTAAGCAAAACACGGACAAATAATTAAAATTGTTTACTTTTTTCTAAAATTAAAATTACAATAGGAGATATTTTTATATCAAAACCCTTGACCTTTTTAAAACACTGCCAGGTTTTTCATTTTAATTAGTGTCAGAAATGGGTCAAATCGGAGTTTGGGACTTATTCCCCCTGAAGTGAAAGCTTTGCAAATATCAGACTTCTAAACCATTTACTATGTCGTAAACTGATATTGAGAGTTTAACAGAAATAAAAGATAAACATAAAACAAACATTTTCTTTATCTCAGTTTTAGATATTTAATTTTACTAGGTTTAAAGGCGCTTCCCGCCCATCTTCTATTTTAACTTTAAATTGAGGCTCTATATCTGTGAGCATCTTCTCCTTGTACAAAATAAAACAATAACAAAATAACGTTCACGGATTTTCAAATATTTTTCGCGCATTTTTGAAATTTCACAAAAACCATAAGCAGCTTTTAGTAATTCTAAGCATCCATGAACCTATATATAAAATGATGTCTCTTTATGTATAGTAGATTACCATATTATGAAGATTCCGAAGAAAACGCACTGAGGACTGTCCAGTAATATAGGGATTGCATCTTCTTCATTATCATCCGGTAGCACAGGAGCATCATTCAGTACAGTTGTCAGCAGGTTTATCTAATCATTCATTACAGTTGTCAGCAGGTTTATCTAATCACTCAGTACAGTTGTCAGCAGGTTTATCTAATCATTCAATACAGTTGTCAGCAGGTTTATCTAATCATTCATTACAGTTGTCAGCAGGTTTATTTAACATTCAATACAATTGTCAGCAGGTTTATCTAATCATTCATTACAGTTGTCAGCAGGTTTATTTAACATTCAATACAGTTGTCAGCAAGTTTATCTAATCATTTTATACAGTTGTCAGCAGGTTTATCTAATCATTCAGTACAGTTGTCAGCAGGTTAACTAATCATTGAATGCAGTTGTCAGTAAGTTTATCTAATCATTCAGTACAGTTGTCAGCAGTTTATCTAATCATTCAGTACAGTTGTCAGCAGGTGTATTTAACATTCAAAACAGTTGTCATCAGGTTTATCTAATCATTCAGTACTTGAAATTGCGTTCACCATCCCTTTAACATTTCCATGTATCTCTAATATCCGTTTAAATAGCTGAATTTAACCCCACAGCTACATTTATCTTAACTGCACAATATATATTTTACCAGCCAACATAGAACCCATTAGTTTCCTTTATGACAATATTACATTTTTCGAATAATTCATCATGACGCCTCCCTCTCTTGGATTTTTTTATACTTTTAGGGAAAAGTGATTAAAAGAACTATTTTGAAGGGAGTGACCGGCTATGTAAGGTAGTTGAACTGAGTATGCAGTGTTGTGGAAACTTGTTTCGGATTCATTTGAGACATATTAAACTTTTTAAAGATCTGTAAATCCCGAGCGCAAATTCGACGTTCAAAACTCCTACTTTGTGGGTGGATACGTTTTTTAAATTATTAAATAACAACGACATAAAATGTGAAAAAAGTTCTACAATAAACTACAGACGTAATGTATAGGAACATGTTGAGAAAATAATAATTAATCTTTTCATCGAAAATGAGTAATCTTGTTCAATTATTAGTTTATATTTTCTCATAATTCTGGTTTCTCAGTATTCACCCAGATTTTTGCAGATTTTCTAGAATTTTTATTGAAAAGACGATATTTGAAGAATTTGACGAAATCTGCGAATAATTTCAAAGAAGATATGGAATTCAATATAATAAGGAAATCGAAATAATCGATTTTAGCATTGATTTATTGACACATTTCTTTTGAGAAATGTGTTCCTAACCATCTAATTATATTACTGTATAATTTTTACTTTATTTTTCGTTGTCTTTATTTAATAATTTAAAAAAAACTAATTCTGAAAACGTATCCACTCCAAAGTAGGAGTTTTGAACGTCGAATTTGCGCTCAAACTCAGGATTTACAGATCTTTTAAAAGTTTAATATGTCTCAAATGAATCCGAAAGAAGTTTTCCACAACACTGCATACTCAGTTCAACTACCTTACTAAGCCGGTCACTCCCTTTAAAACATTTTTTATGCAAAGGGTAAAAGGGCTAGTTCGTGTTTAAAAAAATCTGAAATAGTTCATTCCTTTTCTTCTTATTAAAGCTACAGATTTAAAAACTACATTTAAAAAAGACCTTGAAAAATGGATATATAAATATGCTAGATATTTCTTAAAAACAAAACTTGTCCGACCTTTACAATGCAATTTGCATTTTATTTAATACCTTTCAACTGATCGATTTTATAAAAGGAAATATGTTTTTGACAGAAGATAGAATATCCCTATCCTTCCATTAAATAAAAAGTTGAAAAATACTTACTGTAGATGCAGTTACTAGAACTAAGAAGCTTGTTTCTACTAGCGAACACTGTCATTGGTATTATTTACTCAATTTCTTGCATTATATAAAGATAAAATATTAATATAATAAACAATATATGAAATTATTGAATTTTGAAAATATTACAATTAATGTATGAAACTATAGCAAATTAAATTTAATTTACTAAAGAATTATAATTTTTTTAAATTTTAGCAAATTAAACTTAATTTAATAGAAAAATTATAATTTTTTTTTAAATTTAATTTTTTTTTTGAGTTTAAATAAATATTTTCCTTTGTTATTGGCTGGCAGCCAAGAATAGAAACTCCTGCTCCATACAAACCAACTCATAAACAGCTGTCAATCCTTTTTTTGAAATATATTTTAACTAGGGTTCATTCGCGAAAAAATGCTAAATTTCTAGATAATTTTTTCAAGTTTTGCATTTTTTTTCGCAAAAAATTATCATTTTTTCGCGAAAATTTATTTAGCAAAAGGAAGCGAGAACGATGCGGAAGTTTGTGAAAAAAAAAATATAGGAAATTTTTGCTTAACAAAAATGCAAAAAATCCTTTAAATTTTCGCATTTTTTCCATGAATAGAATGCGAAACGATTTCCCCATATCGCTGGAAACCCTAAGTTTATCCTTTGATCTTATATATATATATATATGTATTTTTTTGCATCTACTGCTTGTTTCAGCAAGTCAGTCCAATTTCAACATATTAACATATTTTGAAGCAGTTCAAAACACCAGTTTAACTTTACAAGTAATTGTGTAGTCAGCACTTGAAATTAGGAATACCATGAGTTGGCAGTTTTAGAAAATTGGAAGGATAAGAATTTTAATAAAATTGGCCTTTTCTTGACCTCGAGAAAATAGTTCTTCGAGGGAAGGACACCCTTGCCGCCATAGCCATTGAGCCTCCGTTAGGCAGAATAAAGCCTCGATCCCTAATTGCCATACAGTATGAGCCTCTTCCAAGTCTCCTCTTTAAAGGGACTGTATGCTTAATGTCAAGTAACCTTCAATGCACAGATGACAATGCCCGATCTACACCGGTTCCCTTAAAATCTTTGTCTGATCAAGTTTGGATTGTAAATTCATGTTTTTGCTTCTTTAAACTGTTATTTCCATTAAATGGTTTTACGCATTTCTTGCCCTAAAGAATCCATGTAGAAATTCACAGAAATAAACTCTTTTAGTGTTAGAAAAACTATGTTATCCTCCACATTTTCTATCATATTCTGGTTTCAAGGGTACTGTTGTGAATCAGAAATTACCCTCTTTAAATTACACAGATAGAAACTAGAATGCAGTAAAAAAGCTTCGACACACCTCAATTTATTTTTAGTACTTGACGTTATGTGTAATTTGTTAATTTTTATGATTACTGCTTATTTATCAGAATTGAAAACATGCGAAAAAGAATATGTTGAAAGCAAAAATACTTTAGAAATTAGATTGATTACATCGGAATTTATAAATATAAAATTATCAAAATTAAGTGAAGATAGAATTAAGTGAAGATTGAATTAAGAAAAGCAAAATAATTAATTTAAATAACTCGGTAAAGAGCAGTGTTGCCATGGCAAAGACTGATATTGTCTGGTAAATCAGGAGGCTTGAGGCCTAATTTTGAAGGCTTATGGCGGCAGGGCTGTCAATGCTTCGTTATCCAGGGCTAAACCAAAAATTGGAGAAATCTTTTGAAATACTTTTGAGCGGAGCTTGCGGAACTTTGTAATGAACACGCTTTATTTAATTCCACATATCTATATAATAAAGCTCTTCGCTCATTTATATTTATTTGTATATTGTATATAGTATTTGTATATTGTATTCGTATATTCTATATACGGCTGGACCGAATGGACTTAAATTTTTTGAGGGAACAGTTGGGTTACCCAGGGGTAACATAGGATTTTAAAAAATCGAAATATTCTTTTTCTTAAAAATTCGATTTTTTAAATCAATTTTTTTTTTCATTAGTAGATTTTAAAATTCCACGTGCAACGCCGGATAATTAAGCTAGTAATTTTATATTTTTATGATAAACAAAAATGATTGTAGAGTTATAATTAAGAAAATGCAAATTTTAGAGGNAGCAAGAGCTCTTCAAGAAGATTAAGCTGATTAATATCAAGATTATAAACTTTAAAGTTTAAATAAAACTCAACATAAATGGAAGTTACTCTAATCCACATTGTTTAAACTTAACTCTTAAAATTGTCTGGTAAGCTTTGTTTAACAAGCTATTAAGCTGAAAACAGGGAATATTAGAATATATTTCACATTTTTTATTTTAAAGGAACATAGAAGCAAATTCTAAGCAGGACTCAATTGGTTAGTGTACTTATGGGGGGGGGGGGGGGGCACAGCCAGGGTCACGAGCTTTTGTCAATTATGTTTAAAACGCTGATTTTTTGTATTTTCAGTTTTTAGAAAATCTGGGCAAAAGTGCGCGCGCCTGAGTCCATTTTGTGCTTTACACACCTATGCCATATGCCATATTCATTTTTACAATAAAACAAATTTTGGGTCCCCCTCCTCGTAACCACTCTGGGTGGGGGGAATTCGAATTTGAAATTGGCATACTACATTTTTGGAGTTCTACGCAAACGCACCTCACTTGGAATTTGAATTTGGAATTTAGAAAATGTCCGTCAAAAACCTTTATAGCACTGCGAACCAAAATAATATTGTTCTACTTAGTTTTTTAGTTTAGGGGTACACTGCCCATTAAACCCAGCTAGTTTTATGCACAAAATATCAGCTGATTGAATAATTTTGTTTTGGGTTTGGTTTTGTTTAGTTTAGTTTTCTTTTGTTTGGTTTGGTTTGGTTTGGTTTGGTTTGATCTGATTTGGTTTGGTTTGGAATCCCTAGAGGAATGAGTAGAGCTGAGCGTAAGAAATCCACCAGTGCATGGTGAAATACAAGACCTTGACTCCATCTAAATCAAATAATTGATTTAGAAAATACAAAAACTAGGAAAAAAACGTTTTCTTTAGTTCAAGAAAAAATTATATTAAAATAAATTTTTGGTAATATCTTAGAACATAAAATAGTGAAATAATGATGTGAAATTTTTTTTTTTTAATCCAAAGACCAAGCCACCATGGACTCAATGGCAGGGTGCGTGTGGTTTCTTCAATTTGAATTAGACAACATTTTGGTCTATAATTCATCAATCTTTAAAGGGAGTGAACGGCAAAGTTTGGTAGTTAAAATGAGAATGCAGTATTGTAGAGAAATCTTTTATGATTCCTTTGAGACTTATGCGACGTGTTTATAGTGCATATTTGTTCAGCGAAAACGCAAATCCAATTTTTAAAATCCTCATTGATTGTTAATTTTGAAGGGATGATTTTGAGAATCGGCTTTTAAAAATTATTCAATAACAACGACAAAAAATGTAACAAAAATTCTACAGTAAACAAATAAAATGTTTAGGAACATATTTCTCAATAGAGATGTGTCAATAAATCAATATTAGAAGCAGATATTTCCTTTTCATCATTATATTCAACTTCTTCTTCTTTACGAATTTGTTCACAGATTTCTTCAAAATCTTCAAATGTTGTCTTTTCAAAAAACATGTCAGGAAAATTTCTAAAAAACTAATTAGTTTACTGTAGAATTTTTGTTACTCTTTTCGCCGTCGTTCTTGAATATTTTTTTAGAAACCGATTCTCAAAACGTAACCACCCAAACAGATGACGCCGACTTTGCACTCAAACTCAGTAATTATAAAACAATAAAACGTATTCAAGTCTCAAATAAATCCTAAACAAATTCTCCACCATACTACATTCTCAGTTCAACTAACAAACATTGCCGGTCAGTCCCTTTAAACTTATGGAGTTGTTTTTCTTTGACTTTTTCATTTAAAACGGTTTTCATCGACAAAAAAGTATAAAAGAAACGGCTAAAAATGCAGTTTTTATAGACCAAACTTTGATCGAAAGTCACAGCTTGCTGGAAAACTCAGAGAACCAAACTTTTGATTGACCCGTTCAGCTGCCAGACAAATCCAACACTTGGCCTATTTAGTTTATCATAAAAGAAAATTTGTTGGTTTGATCCACAGCGCGAAAAAACGCACTTTGTGACCAGTGATCGAAACTTTTGTATGGATATTATTAACCTTGAACGTTTGATCTCGATATCCAATGTGGGCACTTTAAACTTGAGGATGATGATCAATGATTGATCTTTTAATTAAAGTTATCCCTCAAGGGTATGACCATTACGGGATATTAAAGAGCAATTAAGTTTTAAATAAGATTAAGATCAATGATTGATCCCGAGATTCAAAACACACAAGTTCTGACTTCAACATTTGAAACGAATCAGGAAGAGGTTTTGACTTTCATGTCTTTAGTCTTTTTGAAAAGGATTGTTTTTAAAGGAACTGTAACTGTAATTGTAAGTGACCCACCATGCAAACATGGCAATGCCCCAAGGTACTAATGCAAGGAAAGTTAATTGCGGTCGCGTATACTCCGCGTACATATTGAAACCATTTCTCTCTGGGCGGAATTTGTAAACAAGAATAGATGCATCAGTGTTCATGCAGTATCCGAGGAGGTTAAAGCATTTAATTTTGAAAATTCACATAATAGTTTCCTATGACAAGAATATTTCATAGATTTTTTTGTGAAAATGGATTCCCTGTCAGGCTGGGACATCCGTCTTGTGTTTACTTTTCCGCCCAAACACAGTACACTGCAGTACAAAAAAATGTGTACACCTCTGAAATAGCTTTCCTTGCATTAGTACCTTGCCAATGCCTTATGTGACCTATTGTCTAATCAAGTGTGAATTAATTTTGAAAATTGAAAATTGAATTTTTGGTTTCTCTTTAAAAGTGAATTTAAGAAATTATGAAAATTAAACACTTTTCAACCTTGAAAAATGGCAATGACTTCCACATTTTTGGTGAAATAAAGGTTTCAAGGGTGCTGCAAATTGGGAATGGAGGGCCACTTAAAATTACGCTTACATTACAGTCCCCTTTAATAGCGTGGGTTGGGGGAAATAGTACCTCCTAAGTCTACTTTTGAGGACTATGGTGAGCATAAGCATTGTATTTGCAAGCATGCCAAGGGAAGCAAGGACAAGGAGTATACTGGTTTCTGTCTCCGCATCCTGTCTACATGTGAACGGATGAGTCCAATTACTAGTTCTGTTCTCAAACTCATTCACTAGACCTGGATAAGTTTATATCCAATTAGAAATTGTCAAAGGAATATTTTCTAGATAAGATAGAAATAAAAATTAGCAAATAGCTTGCTGTAACTTATATTTTAGTTTTTTTAAGAAAAGATTTATAGTTAAAAATTAAACATTCCAATATTTCAGAAAAATCTAGTATTGAAGTAGAATTATTGAATATGATTCACCGAAAGAAAAAGATGCATCAGTATATTTCCGGAAGAAATGAAAATGGAAAACTTTTCCATTGCCAAAGTTGTAACTTTAAATTTTTCATTTTAAATTATGTAAAACGGGAACTTTTCAATGTCAGTTAAAATTCAGTAGGTAAATCGCACATAGTCTGATCGTAAAGCGGATGTAAACTGGAACTCCGGCGGAGACCCAATCCCTGAATGTCTGATGTCGGATATGATAGGATGAAATATGAACCTGGAAGAGGAGATTTGTTTCTACTAACTAGAACAGCTGTCATCGTAGAGTTCTCTATTTCACAGGGATCAATTACTAGACTGCAAACCAGACCAGGAATGGAATTGAGTCTCTGTAACAAACAATGGTTTTTCCACCTGATGGAGTAAACCTTTAATATTTTAAACATAGATTCTTTCATCCAACAGAATTCATAGTTTGAAATGTCTAAGGTCTACGGCATTGGGTTGTAAAGATATAGAATTTAGAAAATCAAAGTTTTTGACAAAGACTCAATTCCTTTAAAAGAATTTCGTTCTTTTTGAGGATATGTGTATTTGTGTAGATTTACACTGAGAAAAAGAAAATAAAGAGGGAATATGAAACTATAACCATATAAAATAATATTCCTTATTAAATATATCAATATCTACGACTACATTATCCTATTCATGAAACCCTGTTTCCGATACTGGGTTTCATGACGATACCCTGTCTTAAGTTTTGGGCTCAAAACTTAGTTTTTAAGCACCTTCACTCTAGGATATTCAATTTAAAACTTGGTTTCTAAATATCTTCACTCTAAGATAATATGTTTAAAACTTGGTTTCTAAATACCTTCACTCTAAGATATTCTATTTAAAACTTGGTTTCTAAATATCTTCACTCTAAGATAATATATTTAAAACTTGGTTTCTAAATATCTTCACTCTAAGATAATATATTTAAAACTTGGTTTCTAAATATCTTCAATCTAAGATAATATATTTAAAACTTGGTTTCTAAATATCTTCACTCTAGGATATTCTATTTAAAACTTGGTTTCTAAATATCTTCACTCTAAGATATTCTTTTTAAAACTTGGTTTCTAAATATCTTCACTCTAAGATAATATATTTAAAACTTGGTTTCTACATATCTTCACTCTAAGATAATATATTTAAAACTTGGTTTCTACATATCTTCACTCTAAGATAATATATTTAAAACTTGGTTTCTAAATATCTTCACTCTAAGATAATATATTTAAAGCTTGGTTTCTAAATATCTTCACTCTAAGATAATATATTTAAAACTTGGTTTCTAAATACCTTCACTCTAAGATATTCTATTTAAAACTTGGTTTCTAAATATCTTCACTCTAAGATAATATATTTAAAACTTGGTTTCTAAATACCTTCACTCTAAGATATTCTACTTAAAACTTGGTTTCTAAATATCTTCACTCTAGGATATTCTATTTAAAACTTGGTTTCTAAATATCTTAAAACTTGGTTTCTAAATATCTTCACTCTAAGATAATATATTTAAAACTTGGTTTCTACATATCTTCACTCTAAGATAATATATTTAAAACTTTGTTAAGTCACAATTACCATATTTAAGTCACAATTACCATATTTTAAGTCACAATTACCATATTTTAAGTCACAATTACCATTTTTTAAGTCACAATTACCATATAAGGTGTTAGACGTTGTGAAGTGCAGCCTGGAGAATTATTTAATCTTGAAAATATCTTTTCGTGATTCGATCTTCTTGGTTGGATCAGTATACGGTCCCACTGTTGCTCAAGATCCCGACTTCATGGTGAACCTCAGGAGAGATATTTTAAGTTAATATCTTCACTCTAAGATAATATATTTAAAACTTGGTTTCTAAATATCTTCACTCTAAGATATTATTTTCAAACCTTATATATAGCTAAATATCTTCACTCTAAGATCACTCTAAGACATTCTGTTGAAAAGATTTTTTTTGACAAATCAGCACAATTTATGCTTTTACAATATTCAAGTTGAAAGCTTTTGAATGAACTGAACTGTTTAAAATAATTATAAAAATTTAAGTTGGAGAAATTGGATTATAGACCATAGAGTTTTGAGTAAATTCCGTAACTTTCTTTTTCTGGCTGAAGCTTCTTTTTTTTATACGATAGTTCCGGATCAAATGTAACCAACATTTATTCATGAAACATATGTATAGAAACAAGACTCTAACTGGAAACAGTTTTACATAATATAGTATCCGGCTTGTGGACAGAGGCTAGGTTAGAGTCTATGTTGGTCGTATTTAGCTCTGCCACAAAAGTTCCCCCCAGCATCATCTGCGAGGTTGACAAGGAGATGAAGCTGTAGTTGGTTGTCTGGCCACTCTAGGAGGGTTTCTTCTAAGAACAGGAGAACTTGGAAGAGAGGGCAGGGAACTAGGTGGAGAAAGCAGAGAACTGAATCTAACCAGAGGCAGGGCTGCAGAGGGTGGAGAACAGTCCAGAGGAGCTTGCCAAGAACGTTCTCTGGTTGAAGGAACTTCAGGAACCATAACTTTGGTAGAGATTACATGGTGATTAGTAGGAGCTGAGAAACTCAGCAGGTCAGAACTGACTCCAGACTTGAATATCTCTGAGGGAAACTCTGGAGCATCAAAAGAGATTCATTAACAGCTTCTGCAGAGGAACAAGCTTGATCATCCTTTTGGAGCAGAACGCAAACCCAAAAGAACAAGGAGTTGATGATGTATCCAGTCCGAACCTGCTAACTTGGAACGGAGAGAACTCTTCAAGAAATTATGAGATCTTTCAACCATAACATTACTCTGAGGATGGAACAAGGTTTTCTTTGTATAAGAGATTCCAAGGAGCAGGCACAATTCTTTCCACAAGGAGGAGGTGAACTGTGTTTCACAATCTGAAGTAAGGACTGATGGAACTCCGAACCTGAAAAACTAATCCTGAGAGCAGAGCCTGAGCATAGCTAGAACACACCTAGCTGCAGAGATTGATGAGAGAGGGACAATCTCTGGCTATCTAGTATTAAGATCCATGGTAAAAAGATAAAAGTGCCAGAAAATGGAAGAGGTCCAACAAGGTCAACATGAAGATGGCTGAACCTTCTACTGGGAACAAGGATTTGTAAAACACTGGAATGGATGTGGGTTTGGATTTTGCTTTTCTGACAAGATATGCAGGAACCAGTCCATAGGCTAACATCTTTAGATAGATTTTCCAGACAAATTAACCTGCGAGAAGCTTAGGTTCCAGGGTGGAACAGACCATAAAGCTGGCAGAAGAAGGGTTGAGAGATGGTTGAGCAGTGTTTCTGGAGAGGGGCAGAGCAAGAGGCAGACACATGATGGCTAGGAAACTCCACCTGGCTGACAACAAAAACACAATTGTCCAGGTTGATTGTGAGGCCATGATCTTTGCAGAGCTGAAGGACTTGTTGAAGATGATCTTGGTGGGAAACCAAATTAGGAGAAAATATGTGAATATCATTTAAGTAGATGAAACAAAAGGGAAGGTCACCAAAGATATTACCCATCATCCTTTGGAACATTTGAGCTGCATTCCTATGGCCAAAAGGAAGGCACAGGAACTCAAACAGGCCAAAAGGAGTAAAAATAGCAATCTTTATAACATCCTGATCTCTCATAGAAACTTAATAGTACCCCTTCTGCAGGTCCAGCTTGGAGAACACTTTGGAGCCTGATATCCTGGTGGAGACATCAGAGACTGAAGGTAGAGTGTATCTTTCAGGAACTGTGACTGTGTTAAGTCACTTGTAGTCTCAACAGGGGCACCAAGATGCATCAGACTTCTTAACGATGTCCAGCAGGCTTGAGCAAGCGGAACTAGACCTCTGGATGATCCCTGCAGGCTCCATCTTTGGGAACTCAGCCTTGGCACAGGCCAATTTCTGAGGATCCAAATGTATTGCCTTTGAAAAAACAGGAGGACCAGGAATGGTGGAAGGTCAATTAAATATGTTTAGTAAAACCAGCTTTGGTGGAGTTAAACAAATTTAATATCTGCACTAAGGAATTGTTTACTATACTCTAATTATACCCTAATTTGTTCTACTTATTACGTCTTTGCATTCTGATGTGATACACGGCTTTTAATGTTTAAAACTTTGAATTCTGCTGGATCAAATAAGAAAAGTCTGCCTCATGAGGTTGCAAAGAAAAAGTGATTAGAAAATTAGGGTTTGATACAAGTGATAAGTTCTTTTGCCTCAAGTTCAAAAAATCAAATTATTCTTCTCAGATCCAGTTCCCAAATTTTTGTTAATATATTCTTTCCGTCCTCTAAACTATAAATCTTCTTTTAAACATTTTTTTTCTTTTTATGAGAATCTGATTCCACTCAACAATTCATTATCGGGTTTTAAATTGTGTACAACAAGACTTCTAGGGGCCTGGCCACTGGCCAGTGAACATATCGATAAGACAAATATTACATTAGCTTCCTTTTTTTGAAGAAATAGTTTCTTTTTTTTGTTAACCTTAAATTGACATTTTCTGCGTTCTCATTTTTTTAACCTAACACTACATGAATACTACTTTAAACATCGAAATTCGAATTCGGAGAGTGGGGGATAGCCCCCCTCCCCTCATTGCGTTATAGGGTAAAATTATCAAAATGGGTGAAATAGTGCCAGGTTTTTAAAAGGCTTATAATTTTTTTTATTATGGAAAAAAAATTAAATATTTGTAACTATTGTTTACACAATTTAAAACTAGAAATGGATATTTTTTTTACAAAAAAGTGCCAAAAGACGTTCTTTCATTACATGAAGACAAACCATATCATAAAAAATGTAGAAATGTTCATTACTTATTTATATCAGTCCATACTGCAGATATTGGTGATACTAGTATATCCTTATATAAATAAAGGTTTGTATGAACTTAGTCCATCTCACAGTGGACTAGGACCAATTTAAATTCAAACTGGGCCGACACTATGTACAAATTGTACCATGCAGCCTTAGACACGCACAACAAGTACGGGCCTGACCCTATGTACAAATTGTACCAACCTTAGACATGCACAGCAAGTACCGGCCCGACCCTATGTACAAATTGTACCATGCAGCCTTAGACACGCAGAGCAAGTACGGGCCTGACCATATCCTATGCTGGCTCGGTTTCAGAATACTTTTTTGGCGCGGCCAGACTTGTTACAGTACCCGGCCTATCATAAGCCTATTTGACCACTAGCTTAGTTTAGAGTATCTTAAATCTACAATTCATATTTAGTTGTTTTTTCTCTTTTATGGGAATAACATGTCAGATTCACAGCGCTTCTCTGGTTGATCAAGGATTACTAGAATTAAATACATATTTTTTATATGTAGTCAGCCTGAATTGTACACCTAATCCTACAGTCTTAATCCCGGCACAACATTTTCAGCTAGAAAATTAAGGATATCCACGACTTACAATTAGGTTTGATAAGTACTGTTTTTCATGGCGGTTTTTTTGATATTGAAATTGCGGTTCTTTTGAACTTTGAGGTGTCAATTAAAAGTTTTAAACCTTCATGCAGAAGTTACATATTTTGAAATATGTTAATTATTAGTTCATGCTATTAGCAGGTTAGCATCAATACCAAAATCCGTTAAACAAACAATAACATTAAATTCTCAAAGCTTTAAAGGGACTTTCGGCAAATTTCAAGTGCTTGAACATATTCAAAGAGTTGTACAATGTACATACCCGATTCAGAACGGTACCCATTAAAAGCCTTTATTGAGCAATAAATAGAAGGATCTTTATTAATGATCCTCAAAAATGTTAATTATTGTAATTTCCTTCTTTGGTTCTTGTTTTTAACAAAAACGAAAGTTATCAGTTTTTATAAAGATAAAAAAGTATACTAATCCTTTTTGCTCAGATGAGAGGTATGAAAGTTTACTCTAAATTATGTCAACAGTTCCTTTAAGAAGCTATTGCTAATGCATTATGGTCTTTGCAGATATTGGTATCAATGCGCCAGGAGAGTCAAAGGTAAGGCGGGGAACAGTTGTACACTTTTATTTAATGTTTATTTATATAAATGATCCATGCCTTGTCGTAATTTAGGTTTAGGAACAGGATCTCCAAATTTTCTTGTATTGTACAAGATTCTTCATGTAGAGGTGTGTGCACAGCATTAAAGACCTTCACGTACTGCTGGTTATTATGTACTAAAAATGGTGTGTACCTTGTACAGTTGGTATTACTTGGTTATTCTTACTTAAAATTCAAATACTGAACATTTAATAAGTACAGCGCTAAAAACTAAAGAATTGCAATTCCTCATGGATATCTCTAACCCTGATCGATATTCTGAATATCCAATGTGGAAAGTTTTAACTTCGTTCTTAATCGGCTCTTTTTCTCCCTGTGCAGTTTCCGACCAATTAGACTTCACTCATTAAATGGCGCACAAAATTTCAAATTTCCCGACTTCTCTGATTGGCTGTTCCATGGTTTCTCCAAATACTGCTCGATTGGTTGAGTTATATACACTTTTGTTGACACATAATTGAGATTAAATTAATCTTGAAATTAACTAAAAGGGAAGATCAAGCATCCACAATTCTTAAGTTTTCAGCTCAGGTGGGTTAACGAATGAAATGGAAAAAAGCCTAACTTGCCCATCTCTACAGGTGGGTTAGCAAACGTGTCCATCTCTACAGGTGGTTTAACGAACGTACCCATCTCTACAGGTGGGTTAACGAACGTGCCCATCTCTACAGGTAGGTTAACGAACATGCCCATCTCTACAGTTAGTTAAACAACCGTGCCCATCTCTACAGGTAGGCTAACGAATGTGCCCATCTCCACAGGTAGGTTAACGAACGTACCCATCTCTACAGTTAGTTTAACAAACGTGCCCATCTCTACAGGTAGGCTAACGAATGTGCCATCTCTACAGGTAGGTTAACGAACGTGCCCATCTCTACAGGTAGGCTAACGAACGTGCCCATCTCTACAGGTGGGTTAACAAACGTACCCATCTCTACAGTTAGTTTAACAAACGTGGGCATCTCTACAGGTGGGTTAACAAACGTGGCCATCTCTACAGGGAGGTTAGGTTTCTACTTGTCTTGTATTTTGCCACCATACGGATGTAAAGTGTAAAAAACTAAGAAAAGAACTGTTACCATGCTTTAGAAGAGTGAAGGATTAAATTAAATTGAAAAAAATATCTTATTTTCATTAATAGTTATTATAGAAATACTTTGGACCGGATATAAATGACTAATAAAACACTTAAGAAACATTTGTGAACAAACATAAAATCTTTAATTTTCAGAATTGACAATTGCAAATATCTTTTCTACCATGAGTCAATATTTTTCATTTTTAAAATACAATCCAATCTTAAAATTAAACTTGGTTATCAATTCTTAATGAATTAAACAGAGCTGGAATCTTTTGTGATGGATTCTCCTAATCTCAATTGCTTGATATTGATATCCACTCTGTGGGCACTTTTAATTTGAGGATCGAATGTTTCTATAAAAAAATAGACCATTCCATAAACCGCGACTGGGAACGATAACCAAGCATGAGGAATATCGAAAAAAAATATATTCTGCAGATTAAAGAGAGTGTTCGCGAAAAATGAATAGGAGTAAAGGCTGATATCGAATTGAATTCTACATTAATCGCTACTAATTTTACTATCTGTTGAGTCTCTGAGAAAAACATTGTTAAAAACGTAGCACCAATACAAATTCACGGAGTTGTATTATTCCACTGAGATCACAAATAATTCAATTAAATTTAAGACCACTCATTCAGATATTACAACCTACAATTGTCGAATAAAATTTTATATGTAGATAGTAGATATTTCATTATATTTTTTATCTTATGTGTTATTTTTGAATAAAGACGACATTTTCATATTTTCCAAGAATGTTCGAAAATCCAGCGCCAGCCGAGAATACAAGTTTTAAGAGAAATATTAATTTTAAAAACCAATATTACATTTAAATATTATGAAATATCAACTATAATATAGTAATACATCGAATTGAATTCGGCGTTAGTAGTTTGTAATAACCAAATAAGTTTCTTTTTATTTAATTGAATTATTTATAATCTAAGTAAAGTAATACCACTCCGTAAAATTGTATGGGCTCTACGCTCCATGTTGTATTCAATTAGACGTCAACCTATTTCCCCTTTCGTTTTTTCACGAACATTCCCTTTAACAAAAGATCAGATCAAGAATTGATATTGATATCCACAATACCGAGTTCCCAGCTCAGATAGAATATTATCATAATACCTTCTGAGGTTAGATTTGAGTAGAATTACGAGGATAAGGAAAAGATTAGTTAAACCACCCAGACAACCAACTCCAAGTAACAAACCAGATCCGACCTAAATAATATATTTTTATACACAATAATTATTATAAACAATAATGTAATTTATTAATTTACATAAATGTAATTTAATTGACGTTTGATAAAGGACCAAATTATCTTGAACTTTACACATTTGTGCTATATATATAACATTTACATGAAATGTACACTTTAAACTCTTTTTCATGCGCAAAGGGACTCAATAAATTCATACTGAGGGATAGTCTTATTTCCCTTCTATATAAATATTCTCTGTTCTTAGCAGAAATTTTTATCCCCCTGGCAAAAAATCCCCCCCCCCGTAACTTTTTACATTGAATTTGTATAATTTTATTTCAAAACCACAACCAGCACGGGGGGGGGGTGGAAGGTGTAAAATGTTTTAACAGGATTTGTTTATTTATAAAAAAATCTTCATTTGGAGTAAAAAAGTGGCGGAAGAGGCAAAATTTTATTTTAAAAATCAAAATTAAAGGGCTAGAAGGTGCCTGCTCTCTTTTTTGCGCTCCTGATTTTTCATGGGGGGGGGACGTCCCCCCAGTTTTCCATTACTGTTAAAGTAGATTTTATGTTGGATTAAATTTCTAATTATAAGCATAGTTTAGTTTTTTTTTTAAAAGAGCTTTTGGGAAGAATGAAACAGTTTTGAAATTTTAATATGCAACTAAGTTATTTGTCTTTCTCATCCTTGGACGCAAAATAAGAACTAGAAAAGCTAGGTCTTGTTAGGAGTAAAATTAAATAAATTTGAAAGTTTGTGTTCAAAATTTGTTTTTCTCAATCGCAATTACTTTTATGCCCATATCCCCGCATGGACTTTTCGAATCCCAAAATAGTACCCCCCTATCCCCCTATCTCTCCCTCCCCTCCCCCACCATCTCTGTCTCAATTTCCTTCCTGTAATACTTTAATATATTCTATATATTTTTGGAAATCTCTTAGGCTGTACTTCCAGAATCTACAAAAATTCTATATCTTGTGGAAATCTTATAGTTAACTACATTTACAAACCTAAACATTTTAAAAGTTTCTGGGAAGAGTCATTTAAAATATAATTTACAATTATTCACTTTGAATAAGCTAATTCCGGATAGAAATCATAATCATTGGAGTATTATAGAACACTCCTTTTCATTGGAGACCCCCTTTCATTAGACACCCCCTTTCATCGGAGACCCACATCGCCATCTCTTCGGGGCTTTTTATTGAAAATTGGGGGTTTATGAAGAAAAAAGCTTAGGGTCTCGAATGAAAGTATGGGAGTCCCCGACGTAAATTTGGGGTTAATAGATAAAAAATGGGGCTTTCCAGTGGAAAGTTTGGGGTCTCCAACAAATAAAATGGTCATGGAGGTCTCCGATAAAAGTGGGGTTCAGATATTACTCCAATGAATACAGTTTCTTTCCATAACTTAAAAAATTGTCCAATAATGTTCACTGAATTTCCTTGCTTTTGGTATAAGCTTTCCAAACTGATTTGAAATATTAAAATTCAAATTTCAGCAAATGGAACTAGAACATTCAAGTTTCCAACGGGAAATCTTTTAGAAATATGCGAGATATTCCTTAAATATTAAAGCTGGCTATAAAAAGACCGTTTTTATAGCATTATTTACAATTATAATAAGTGTAAAGGACATGTTTAAAAAAACTACTCTTGGGCCCTAGGATCGAGCCCCCCCCCCCCCCGAACCCTACACAGTGGGGTATTTGGGGTCAGCCAAAATAAGTTTATTCCATAAACCTCTTATTTACGTCAAACAAGGCTTGGCCACTTAAGAATTTGTTCTTCGAGAGAAGTCTTTTAGTTGTTTAAATGTTAAATTTTACTTTAGAATTTCGACCAAAAATCCGCTATTTCATTGAAAACTCTTATCATAGAAATTTTCAACGCGTTACTCTGACTAAATCAAGGTTTTGGCGTGCTGCCGACGCCCCTTAATCTTTTCTTTATGGCTGTTAGAATCTATTTATATATTTAGATTCCCCCGAAACTAATTTGCTTTCTTGTGCTTTTGCTATGAAATATATAATTCTTTTCAGAAATAGTCTCTTTAACAAAGGCGACATCTTAATATTATTGGGTTTACAGGATCCATTTAAGGATAAATATATGAACGTGAAAGTAATTGTAAATTGAAATCATTAACCCCGCCCCTAACACACATTTTTCAAAAGGGACTATGGGACTGTAATCGTAATTTCAAGTGCATGACCCTCCATGCAAATAGGGCAATGCCCGATGTACAACGGTACCTTTTAAACCATTGTGTGTTCATCATATACAGAGATCTCTGTGTGTAAACTTATCGTAAACCGCTTGTCTATTGATATTTATTGAATATATAACAGCTTGAAAACAAATTGTTTAACAATTAAAAACGTTTTATTAGATTGATACTGATATGTCTGACGTACATCCTTGATCAGTCAAAGGTTTTCAGCGTATCGTTGTGAATTGAGGAAGCCCTCTTTAAATGAAGGTTTACATGAAATTACGCTTACAGTCCCGTTTAAATATACAGAAACAAATGAATGTGGTTGAAAGTAAATGAAAAACTTTAAAATAAATTCCCTATGGTGTAACCAGAAAACAGAAATACTTTTTTAGGCTCAAGTTATCACATAAATACTCGAGCACAGCAAGTGCACAGTGTAAACAGACCCATTTTACCTAATAAGTAATTCAATGGTATTTGCTTTGTAAGAACATCAAATGCACTTCAGTATTGCTTTAATGTCGTCTTCCTATTCTACAGTTTTCTGGTATTCACCTAGTATTCAGGGAACCCCTAGGCTAAATCCAACATTAAGAATCTCATTCTTCTTTTATTTGTTATGAAATTGTATTTTCTTCATAAACTTTTTCTTTAAAGAAATGTACTCATTATTACTCGATCTATTAATATTCCAGTAATGTATTAATAACTACTGGCTGGAAATTGATATATCTTTACAGTAAGAATTAAAGAAGTATGGAATAGGAAGAGTCACGGAAGTTCGTAGTAAGATTTTGACTCCACTGGAGACCACCGGAGGGAATTCATTTTCACTGGAGGGGTTTGAAAAAAATACTTTTTACAATTTAAAACTTTACGCAGGGTGATTTACATTCCACTGGAGGGATTCAGATATCCTTCCAGGGGGTTTAAAATTCCATTGGAGGGATTCAGATATCCTTCCTATATGGGTTTATAATTCCACTGGAGGGATTCAGATATCCTTCATATGGGTTTATAATTCCACTGGAGGGATTCAGTTATCCTTCCTGGGGGTTTATAATTCCACTGGAGGGATACAGATATCCTTCCTTGGGGTTTATAATTCCACTGGAGGGATTCAGATATCCTTCCAGGGGGTTTATTATTCCACTAGAGGTTTCATATAACTTTCCAGGGGTTTATAATTCTACTGGAGGGATTTAGATATCCTTCCTAGGGGTTTGTAATCCTATTGGAAGGATTCATATATCTTTCCTAGGGGTTTATTATTCCACTTGAAGGATTAAGATATTTATCCAGGGGGTTTATAAATCCACTGGAGGGATTCAGATATCTTTCCAGGGGGTTTATAATTCCACCGGAGGGATTCAGATATCCTTCCCATGGGTTTATAATACCACTGGAGGGATTTAGATATCTTTTCAGGGGGTTTATAATTCCACTGGAGAGATTCAGAGATCTTTCCTGTGGGTTTATAAATCCACTGGAGGGATTCAGATATCTTTCCAGGGGGTTTATAATTCCACTGGAGGGATTCAGATATCCGACAAGGGGTTCATAATTTCATTGTTTGATTCAGATATATTGAAAATGCATTAATATACTTGGATATTAGAAACAAAATCGCTGAATGGATATTGGAAACCACTCACTCCAGAGGAGGGATATCTAAATCCCTACAGTGGAATTATAAACCCCTAGAAAGGAAATATGAATCTCTCCAGTGGATTTATAGACCCCCTGGAAAGATATCTGAATCCCTCCAGTGGAATTATAAACCCCCTGGAAAGATATCTGAATCACTTCGATGGAATTATAACCCCCTAGGAAGAACATCTGAATCCCTGCGGTGGAATTATAACCCCCTAGGAAGAACATCTGAATCCCTCCAGTGGAATTATAAACCCCTAGGAAGAACATCTGAATCCATGCGGTGGAATTATAACCCAGGAAGAACATCTGAATCTCTTCGGTGGAATTATAACCCCCAGGAAGGATATCTGAAAGTCTCTAGTGGAATTATAAACCCCCAAGCAGGATATCTGAATCCCTCCAGTGGAATTATAAATCCCTAGGAAAGATATCTAAATCCCTCCAGTGGAATCATAACCCCCCAGGAAGGATATCTGAATCCCTCCAATGGAATTATAAACCCCTAGGAAGGATATCTGAATCCCTCCAGTGGAATTATAAACCCCTTGGAGGGATATCCGAATACCTCCAGTGGAATTATAAACCCCCAGGAAGGATATTGAATCCCTCCAGTGGATTTATAAACCCCTTGGAAGGATAGCTGAATCCCTCCAGCGGAATTATAACCCCCCCGGAAGGATATCTGAATCCCTCCAGTGGAATTATAAACCCCTAGGAAAGATAACTGAATACCTCCAGTGGAATTGTAACCCCACTGGAAAGATATCTGAATCCCTCCAGTGGAATGTAAATCACCCTGCGTAAAGTTTTAAATTGTAAAAAGCATTTTTTCAAACCACTCCAGCGAAAATAAAATCCCTCTGGTGGTCTCCAGTAGAATCGAAATCTTACTATTAATGAGTCGAATAGGAACACGTTTTAAAAAATCTGTTAGTGTATTTAATTCTACACAAAGCGAATAGTTTAACTGTAAGTAGTTAATAAATGCCTTATTTTAGTGAAATGGGTCTGTGTACACTGCACAGTGCACAATTGCTGTGTTGTGTTTTTGAACTATTTTGGGTCTAAAAGTCGTCTTCCCATTCTAATTTTCAGATTCTCACTCTATATACTTATATTGAAAGCATTTTTATA